GGGGGTACCCCACTATTAATCCGACCGCCACATTACAATGCACCCACAAATTCTGCAACATCATGTTATGGTACTTGGGGCCTCCAGAAACCATGATCCCCAAACACGCCCATCGACTTCTTCGCTGTGTTACAGATTCGTGCGCGCCCGTCCAGAGCCCAAGACCCAAGGTGGAACCACATGTTTAGAAATTACATATGCGTAGCACCGTTGATATGTGAATCTACATAAGTACGAAACACAAGTGTATAGATACACACACACACATATATATATATGTATATGTGTGTGTACGTGTGTATGTATGTGTGCATGCATGATGCAGGTATGTGTGTGTGTGTGTATGTATGTACTGTACTGTATGTATGTGTGCATGTATGTATGTATGTATGTATGTATGCACGTACGTATGTACGTATGTGTGTATCTATACACATATATATATATATATATATATGTATATATATACATATATGTATGGAGTTCAGGTTTTGACATGGTTGTGTACGTATAGCACAGTAGACGTGTATGTAAAGTCGTGTATTTATATGTCTATATATACACATACATATGTGTATATATATATATATACATATATATATATATATATATATATATATACATACATATACACATTCATACGTGTATAGACATATACAGGTTTTCATATCTGTATACTGTCTGTATATGTGTATATGTATGTTTTTCACATATGTATATACATATATATATATATATATATATATATATATATATATATATATATATATATACGTTGTATAAGGGTAGACATGTTTTACATGCATTTGTGTATGTACCAACTGTGATTGGTTTCGTTGCTTACATCTATTCGTAAACCTGTGTGTGTGTGTGTGTGTGTGTTTTTGTGTGCTCGTATGTCCCTGCGACCACCGTGCACAAGACCCAGCCAAAACCTAAATAAAACTGTGTTTTTTGCCAGTTTGGTCATCAGGCTGCGCGGGCTCTTCTGATTCGGGTTCAGAACTTAGTGTTTAGGATTGACCGGAGCTTGGCTCAAAGACATGAAGGGTTTAGTGAAGTTTAGTGTTTAGACCCTGCAGAGAGAAACAGTGCACTAATATGTCGCTGCCAGTCATTCCCAAACTCTGAAATTCCGTATATCCAGGATAAGGCTTAAACAAACCTTCGACACCCTGCGCCCTCGAATACGTCGTGAATCCTCGATGAGCTTGGGCTTGGAGTTCAAGCCAGCAGGGACAAGTTTAAGGACCTCACGTGTACTGAGCTTTGTTCAGGGTTTAGGGCTTAGGGTCTGTAGGCTGTGTGGGGCTTTGGATTAGAGCCTTTTGGGCCTTACCGGTAAACCCTAAACCCTTAACCCTAAATTCACCCAAATGCATTTGACGGTGTTGTGCTCGAGAAGGCAAGTTCCATCCACAGCTGTTAGAACTGCCTTGCGAGTATCAACTGTTGACTTAATATTGACAACAGGGCTTTCGGGTAAATTGTGTTATAATGAGGAATCCCCAAAATGGTACTCGCCATGCATGGCTGTGATGGCGCTTGTGCCTGCATGTAATCATGTTATTTGTTCCGTGAAGTTCTGTGTGTGCAATTACTACTGTTTTGCAATGCTGTTGACGGATCTCTCCCGTCATTGCTGCATTTGCAGAGGTTCCGGAGGGCGTCACAATAATCAGACTTGTTTCAGGACAGTCTTGAGCCCGGCTACCTTTGGTTTTTAGCGAGCCCGCCGACACGGTTTTCGGCCAGTGAACATTCTTAATGTGGCCTTTGGAGAGTACTTGGAGGATCATGGTAAGTACCTTCGTTGAAGATGCATACAGTAATTATATCGTCACCTTATTTAGGGCCTTCGAATTCAACAAGGGTAGCCATCCGCTCTGCGATCAACACGCCGACAAGCGGTGGAGCCGCGGCACAGCGTCCTCAAGTTTCTGCTGAGCAGCGAGGACGCGCCATTGCAAACGACGTTATAAGTTCAAGTTCTGCTTGGTTGGCCCATGGAAGACATTACAAAAAGTTGCCAACCAAACAAAGCTTGGTAGTAGCACGTTTCCACCAAAAATGCATGTCTCTTCGTGCCTTAGTGCAGGATGCCAGATCCCGTTTTTCGTGCAAAACTTTGCGCCACAAGCGTGTGCCGCCACCCAACTAAGCCCTCAGCCCTGAAGACCAGGACCTAATAGTGAGCAATGAGGACTCAGAGAGTAGATGGGTGATGGTGGAAGATAGATTTCCGGGAGGGTTGTCATTCTCAATTAGGTTCTATCTTCGGTTTGGTGATTAGCGCGGCTTGCATGGGTTCAGCATTCTTGGGTTGTTGAGCATGGGATAACTGATGTTTTAGGATCTTTCTTGTTTTGCATGAACCTCCTTCTTCTTGAGATTTCAGGTTCAAGCCTAAACAACATGCAAAGCTTCAAACTTCAAGCACAACACACGTTTCAAACAACAAGAACACCTCAAACCACCCTACTTCCAAATCGCTACCCATGATTCCATGATGACGAACAACACCCTAAAACTACCCGAAAAACTCTTGCCTCCAACCCCCAAGCCTTATACCCCAAACTCTTAAGACCCTAAAAACAACCCACACCTTTACATAGCTCATACCAAGGCTGCACATCGCAGCGCAGGCGGACCACTTTTCCAAAATCACCGAGGATGACGAGATGCCTGGTTCTCAACTTTGTAGTAGAGTAACTAATCTTCAACTTTTTCGGGTTTAGGGGTTAAGGGTTGAACTATCACCCTATATATATATATATATATATATATATATATATATGGTACCCCCCCCCCCCCCAGTAACCAATACTTTTCTGAATTCTGTCAGGTACGCCTCCTCAAGAACGACTCGTTGGCCCTGCTCTTCCAGGGGGGCCGAGGGTCTAGGGTTCAGTGAGCCGCTGAAGTGTGCACTTTTCGTAGCATCATGAGCATGAACGTCAGCATCATGAGCAGTCGCTACGCGCCATACCTTTCCAAGCGAACTTACCATCATGAGCACAAATTACAGCATCATGAGTAGTTCTTCCGCGTCACTCTCGTCCACTAAAACTACCAAAGACGCTGGACTGTCCAAAAAACCCAATCTTTTTTTTGCAAAAGTGCTGTACTGTCCCAAAAAAAACAAAAAAACAATCTTTTACAGTCTTGAAGCAGCTACCGTGCAAGGGCCTCCAATAGATTGTTTTTTTGGGACAGTACAGCACTTTTGCAAAAAAAGATTGTTTTTTTGGGACAGTACAGCACTTTTACAGAAAAAACAGTAAAAACGCTGGACTGACCAAAAAAACAATCTTTTTTTGCAAAAGTGCTGTACTGTCCCAAAAAAACCAATCTATTGGAAACCTTGCACCACGATACACCAGGACCTCAGAAGATTGTTTTTTTGTTTTTTTGGGACAGTACAGCACTTTTGCAAAAAAAGGATTTGGTTTTTTGGGACAGTACAGCACTTTTGCAATAAATTTCACGAAAACACTGTACTGTCCCAAAAATACCAATGATGCCAAGGTCAGAACCTGTGGAGAAAGACAGCTCAAATGCTGAGAGTTCAGGCATAGACAGATACTCAGATACCGAAGTTGGGATGTGCGAGTAAAAGAAATCCAAGCTGACGTGGTGAGTTCGTGGACTCGGTATGCGTTGCCAACTGACAACCATGATGTGGTATGCTGTCCAGTGGCTCAGTTCGCCTCGCGCACTCACGGACCTTCCCCCATGGCGTGGACGTGGTCTCTACAGAAGGCTTTTGGTAGCAAGCTTCCGTTGGAAATCTGGGAGGATATCACCGCATACGCCGACCCTCGCCACCAAGACAGCTTAAGTGTGCCTAGTGCACCCACGGAGTTCCCCAGGCTGATTGGCGTTCTTTCGTCAGGCAGGATTTTCGCAAATTAAGTAAGCTTTGTGTTAGTAAAACGCCTTTGCTAATTGTTTTCCATCCATCCCACGCGCAGATATGGAGATCTACCGGCACAAGCACATCTTGTTTGTGTGTTGCAACGGGCGCGAGCACTACCTTCGCTGGGATGAGTTTCGCATCTGGCGACTGAGCACCGAGCAGTAGAAGTCTCCAGGAGACTCTCTGCTGTTCCTTTTGTATCTCTTAGCACCGGGGATGTCACGAAGCTTTCGCAGTCCTTTCACATTTGGGCATGGCACTTGCGCGGAACCACTGGCGAATGGGCGACTGTTACAGCTCACACATTCAACCATGATGGTCATGGTGGCCTGCCTGGACAGATATTTACATACTGGCTCAGGTGGTCCTTTTTCTGACTCGCACTTGTGGGATTCCCGTCGTCGGAGCTTGCCAACACCACAAACTTTTTCTGCCTGAGACGAGTGGGTTTGGCCTACGTTTTTGTCGCCTACGGGCTGGATGCAAGAGGTAACATGCTGAAAATCCTGCCCAATGGACTCGCTTTCGGACGCAGGGCGAGTGGGGTGGTCAGCACAGCACAAAGCACTCAGTCAAGTCTGGCGGCTCCCTTGATAGTGAGGGGCAGGGACACATCCTGCTACAGTGGAGCTGAAAGCTAGACTGTGGTTTGTTCGTGAGATGCATCGTGTACTTTTGGCTTACTTGATGTAGTTGATGTAGTCATTGTACGAATCGCCGAGCTCTGTTAACGCCATAATCGGCCTGTCCCAATGAGGGTAGGCTGAACGCTCGAGTATGTTTTCTTGCCTGTCAAACACCTCGTCTGACTTTGTCGAGCACGAGTGACAAAAATCTCTAAGAGATTTCAATCATCGAGGTTTGCTCTGCGACTCGACGAAGACAGCAGATGACGTGAACTGCAAAAGGTGAAGATTGCTTCTGCGCATGCTCTGTGATGCTCATAAGTCATAGCCGCCATGGACAAGTTGTTGCTATTGTTGTTGAACATTATGGTGACCGCTAACGTAAATATTTCGATGCAGGCATCCAGTGTTCTGCTCTGTAGCTGCCTTTTCAAATCTCGCTTCGCTGCTCCCTCATGGCGTCCGCACTCCCTCAGCGGCCCATTTCCCTCGCACAATCGCTTCATGAGGACACACTCGACGGAGCGATCACATTCGAAGAAGCCATCTCGAATACCGAAGGCTTGAAAGTGATTTTCCTTGAAAAGCCAATGATAGTACACAAGCCCGTGGGTTCAGTCAAAATAGGAGACTTGCCAGCCAGAGATGAAATCGTCGACGCCTTGAAGAAGAAGATTCAGTTTTTAGATGTCATCTTGAACCACAAAGGCGACTTTGACTTGAAACACATCGAGACGTTGTTTTTGCAGCAGAGATATCAAGATCTACCAGAGCCTCTCAAGATGAAGGGCAACAACCTCACCCCGTACACTATGCAGGTTTTCATGTTACAGTCCGAGGACAAGACGTGGAACATTGTGAAGCACGTTCGTTTCGCGGAGGGCACCAAAATCCTTGCGAGCACCATCATAAGCATGTGCACTGGCAGGCCTGTGGAAATCGACTACCGGAAAAACTTCCGAGACGGCACCAGAGCTTTGCAGTATATGCTGGAAGGCTTAGGTGGTTTCCAAGTTCGTTATCAAAAGCTCGTCCCCCTCAATGCAAGCAACAAGGTACCCAAGGAGACCGAGGACATCCGAGAACATTCGCAAAGGCTTCCAGTTCCTGAAAGAGCATGGCCCCCAAGAAAATTCGGACGGTCAGTTCACTTCTTGGACGGAGGAGCAGGTCAATAATCCGGATAGCATTCTTTACAAATGGGATCGCGGCACCATCAAAGAATTCCTTCGCTGCCAGGCAGACAAGGGCGCGCAGGCCGACACAATATCGGACTGGCCATGAACCCTGGCAGACTTCACTCCGTGGGCTCTCAACACCGTGATTGCCCCACTTCTGCCGTACTTGATTGAGCATGCGGTCATTTGGATTGGCAAATCGGAAGTAGGGAAGAGTCCAACCTCATGCACACTTTCTCACTTGATCTCTGCATTCTGGCTCCTGCAGGAAGGTCGTACTGACGAACTCCCTTGCTTTCAGACAGCCAGCTCCTTGGACTATTTCCGTAAGGAGCGTGGTCGTCGCAGCAAGCCTCGTGTCTTTGATGATGGCAACTTCTACCTGGAAACACCAGCGGCTGTCAAGGCTATCACAGAGGTTTCGGGTATTGATCGCAAGACTATGGCGCGCTACAATGCGTCCTCCTACGCCAAAAATCAGCTTTGCCAAGCTTGCTCCAATCCCTACGATCGGACAGGAGAGTCAAAAATGCGACCTGGAAATGCCTCAGACACAGTCTCCTTCGATGATTTCTACAAGCTCGTGCGTCCCTCGTTTCATCGTGATTTTGATGAGGAGGATTTGCTTGCCGTCTTCAAGCGTTCCTGTATCGTTGTGTTTACCGAGATCGGCATCTACATCCGCACCCCCGGGACATCACGCGATCCAGTTCCACGACACGCTTGGCCAGAGCGAGATTGCGGTATGGTATCACCTTGTGCCAGACCCCTTTTTCAGACCTACAAGCACGGAGGCTCCGCAGGCAATGTTCCTGAACATGCTCAGAAGGTACAATGGTCACTCAACTTCTTGCAAGCCGCACTTGACGGAGAAGCTCTGCCACGGTGTTCTACTATCTTTGGCAAAAATTTCGACGGCGAAAAGTATGTCATTGAAAAGCGACGGAATCTCTGTGGACCCAACCTTCTATCCGGACAAGATCGCGCAACCAAATGAGCCAGCCAAGAAGCGGTTCCGCTCCGTGAAATCATCGAGTGCACTCATCAGCAATTTTGTCCCTAAGCCCGAAGACAAAGGAGAGAACATCAAAGAGGATGACGGAAACCAGGAGAAAAAAGAGGATATTGAGGAGGCTACATCTTCTGCACGTGCCCATGTCCCCGTTACTTGGTTGTTGGCGTGTTTTTTGTTGCTTTAAATTTGCTTTCCATTTCACAGTAAGTTCATACAGGGGGACATGCTGGTTTAGTCTCATGATTACTGGGTCTGGTTGTTATTGCATAAGATATAGCTATTTTAGCAATCGCCAAACATCTACGTCTAAATCTGAATGTTTTAAAATTGTATTCCTGATATCCTTCAAAGGTTACGATCAAGCAAGAGCCGCTGGAGGTCAAAGCGAAGTTTACGGCTTTCAAGATATCTTTGAATGGTCGCACTATGCACATCTCGCTTTCGGATCCCACCCCGCCATCTTCGCCCAAGTCACCGCCAAAGGCAGCCACGGCATCTACGAGCCTGCCTCCGAGCCCAAGGCCGCCATTTCCAAAATCTTCGTCTGTGCACAGCAGCCCCGGTGAAGCAATGGACGTCGTCGATCCCATGGAAAATCTCTCACAGAACCTGGAGGCCTTCATGGACGATGCCTGATTCTGCAAGCACCACTGAGTAGGCCCTCAATTTTTGATGTCTTTGGCCTTGACATACGAAGCCTAACACAGTTACGGCCCATCGTGATCTGTAGCGCGTAGCCTTGGATGCTCCAAATCTTGCTTTCCGAACCAAAAAGTTAGATTTTTTGCACTCGCGTAGTGTCCGCAACCGGCAGTGCCAAAGCAACATGTCTCATTTTGTTTGCATTACATGCAGCGAAGATTTTGAGTTCAAGTGAAAGGTCCTAGACTTGCTTGCTGGTTCTGCTCCCATGGGGAAGAAGCCCAATAACAACATTGTCGCTAAAAAAGGCAAGCTGCGCAAGGTCCAGAAGCGACCGGCGGCTACAAAGTCATCTTCGTGGAAGTCCGTCAAGTACGTGCGCGGCAACGTCACTGTGGGATCTCGGGGTCAACGCAAAGATCAAGTCAAATGGAAACGCACCTTGCCTCAGCTTCTGAAGGCCAACGACCATGACATCATCAAAATGCTGCTGGCGGACAAGCTTCTGATGGATCTTTCCGGAAAGTTGTGCCCCAGATGTTCAAGTGGAACCTTGTCCAAGCTCCATACAGGTGGCCCTCATCACTTGAAGCATCGTTGCAACAACTACAAGTGCACAGCCGCCATCACACCCTATCATCTTCACCCGCTCTTCTCGGAATGCATGGGCCCGCAGAAACAGAGTCTGCAGATGCAGTCCGCCATGCTCCTCCTAAAGCTTCACAAGGTGCCACAGTCTACAATCCATCTTGTGTTGGACATCAACCACAAAGCCATCGAAGACATGGAAGCTGGTGCTTGCTTAGTATCTACATTTTTCTATTTGTTTTGTTCAATTAAGCACATGGCATGATAGAGTTTGTTTTTAGCCTGCCAATAAGGAGAAGAAGCTTTGTAGATTGCGCAAAGACTTCGTCGATAAGGAGGAGAAAAAGATTGTTTTCGGGAACAAACGCACTTGGGTTGATGTTGTTGAAGCCGACGAGGCTACTTTTGACAAGCGCGACATTTCAAAGGACCCTGATCTCAAGCACCTGATCTCCAAGCCGAACAACACCATTCTATGGGAGCAATGGGCTGGAATCGTACAGCGCGGCCAGCCTCGCACACTCATCCTCCGCAAGCTGAACCCCAAGCTCACACCCACGAGAGCACCGGGCCCAGGAGCAATCCGGAAGATCGAGTGGAAGAGCCTCGCTCAAGAGAAACTTCGCGACCGCAAAGTTGTTCTCCATACCGATTCGGCAAAAAGCTATAAGGCGAAGGTTGACGGGGTGATCCATGACAGAGTCGTTCACTGCAAGAAGCGCGTCAAAATCAACGGCAAGTACCAGTGGACAAGCCCGAAGTATGTCACCATGGTAACCCACAAAGTGCCAGGCAGCAACAAGAAATTGAAGGTCAAATCAGGCACTCAAATCATTGACCGAGCCTGGAGGTTTTTGAAGGACCGCATCGCCATCAACCAAAATGTCAAGGCAGGTTCCAGTCTCTTGCGCGCGAAACTGCGGTCAGCACAATACGACTACTGGTTTAAGAATTCCGATCTTTGGCTGGCGAGCGGCGAGCTTTGTACAGAGGCCCTCAAAAAGTTTTATGTGTAAGCCGTCGCATAAACACGCCACGCATCACCGGAAACACGGCGAACGTACACACGTGTGCATACGATCTCCTCGCGAAGCATCGTCGCTTATTGCTTTCGTTCGAGAAAATATCTGTCAATGTTTCTCTCATTGCTTCTCATGTGGTGGTGTGAGCTCATGAGCATCGGACAAGAACCTCTGACACCGCAGCAGCCATGCTTCTGTGTAGGTTATGTACATGTGCAGATGCATGCATGTCGCTTCCAGAAGCAGCTTGTAAGTAGTTTGGTCCAGTTTGCCACAGTCTGCCGCGCCATGTCTTCCGAGGCCCTTGGGTACTTGATTTGCAGGGTTTAGGGAACAAAACACATAAATCTATTGGTATCTGGGGGGGGGGGGTAGCATATATATATATATATATATATATATATATCAACCCCAAGGTTTACCCACTGTAGCTCCCTAGGATGCCGGACACAGTTCTAACTGTCCCGAACGGATTTAGCAATGTCTACCTGGACCCTAAGGAACCTACCGTTTTAGGGTTCCCTAATATGATTCCATTTTATAAGTCCTTAAAAAGGTAGGTTACGTGGGGTTAAGGTATGGGTGCTCAAAGCTTGAGGCACCCAGACCTTCCAAAATCCCTTAATTAAGGAATATATACCTTAAATTATACTAGGATGCCTAATATGAAGGTATATTCCTTAATTAAGGGATTTCGGAAGGTCTGGGCAGGAGTGTCGGGGTTAGCGCCTTAGCGCTTCAGGGTTGCAGACGAATATCCCGCAATGTTCGGGATCTACGGTTGATGATATGGGAGTTTCCGAAAATAGGGACCCTAATATAGCACCCTAAATAGTAGGATCCTTATTATAAGGACCCCTAAATAAGGTACCCTTAATTTCGGAAACTCCCATATAAATCCTGCATTACCCATAATAAGGAATATACCACAATTACCATAGTTTAGGGTCCTTAGGGTAATGCAGGATTTATATCATCAACAGAATGTTTCGGGTCGCCGGTTTTGGAAATCCCATATACACCGTATTTCAACCCGCGCCTCATGAAACCCGTACATCCTAGGCCCCCCCCAAAACCCCCGAACCCCTTCATACTATCCAACCCTGCCATGCGGGCTCGTCCTTGTGAAGCGGGAGGCAAAAAGACCCCTAAACCGTTAAACTGCCCGAAAAGCTATAATTACCCGAAATCAAGGTCAGCAGAGTCGGAGAAGACTTTGCGAAAAAGGCAGCTCAAGCGCGAGGCCGTGGCTGGAGTTTATCTCTTTGGGGTCCATTGGGGTCATGGTTTAGAGAGCATCAGCTTAATTAGTTTAAGGGTTGTATGGGGTTGGGCTGAATGCTGGACTGGGCTTGCATGTGTACATATATATGTACATATACGGTGCTTGAATCATGTGTTTTTGGTTTCGGTGGGTTGCAGCTTGAGTGGAGTTAGGTTTAGGCTTCACATGTACTTCAGCACCCTGCTGTTTGGCGGGCTCTACTCTGACTATTTGGCAGAGTTTGGGGTCAGGGTCATTCTTAGGTTTTCACAGTAGAAGCCACAAAGTTGGAAACCTAATAGCCTCATTCCAAGAGAGTAATGTATACCTTAACCCCACGTAACCTAACCTTCTAAGGACTTATATAAAGAAATCATTTTAGGGAACCCTAAAAAGGCAGGTTCCTTAGGGTCCAGGTAGGGAGTCCCAGCACTAACTTTATGGGGTTTAGTGTATGTTGACATCGGTGACCGCCTGCCGCTTTACTCTCGTAAAGGACTCTAGCGGGAAATCCACAAGCTTGGGGGGGGTGCTAAATGGAACTCCAGAAAGTTGGAATATGGTTTCAGGGTAGGATACCTTATCATTTACCATAAAGGGTTTAGGATAATCATGTTCCAACTTTCTGGCTTTTACTTTATTCTTTCCGGACGGCGAATGCAACAAGGTTTTCCGTTTGTTCATTTGGGCCTTGAGTTGTGGTGCCTGCGCTGGGAAAGACATGCGCTCAACCCTATAAGCATCATCAAGCGTTAGAGCTCAGCATCGCTCGTCGCATGCCTCCTAAAACCCCAAACCCTCCTAAACCCTGAAGCCTTAGTTACCTTAGTTTGGGGAAGCTGCCTAATTAGCTCCTGAATTCCTTGCTTGGTAGTTCTGTAAGTACGTATTCACCTGTTTGGAGCAGCATCTCTTCTGTTCCAAGGATTGACCATATGTGGGAGTTTCCGAAAATTAGGGGTACCTTATTTTGGGGGTCCTTACAATCAGGATCCTACTATTTGGGGTATTATATTAGGGTCTCCTATTTTCGGAAACTCCCATGTAGATCTCCGAGGAGCATCAACAACCTTAAGTCCTGAACCCTAGACCCTCAAACTCTAAACGTTCAACCCTGAACCCTACACCCTGAACCTCAAAACCCTGAGCTCAATCCCTAAACTCTGAACTTCAGAACCCTATTAAGATTAAGGGATCTATATTACGGAACGCTACTATAGATCTGTTTTGTCCCGTCGTAAGGATCCCGTTAACGGAATCCTGTTCTACTTGCTAAGGCCCCTATATTCTGCTTGCCTAACCTCTAGAACCCTAAACCTTGAACTTCAAAACCCCAAAACCCTGAACCTCAAAGCCCTAGACTTAATCCCTAAACTCTGAGTTTCAAAGCCGTAAACCCTGATTTCTGCTTTGTGTTGTGGGGGCTCGAAAAGCACGAAATGCTGGTGCAGGTGGGCTGTGCTGTGCATCTTCGCGAGAGATGCGCCCGCTTTGCCATGAGCCAAGAGGGCGTCTTAGGGTGCTGGGCTTTGGGGTTTAGGGTTCTGGGGTTTAAGGTTCGGGGTTTAGGCTTTAGGATCCAGTTCTCTGATTTAGGGTTCTGGGATGTTTTTGAGTTTGGAGTTTAAGGGCTTAGGGTTCAGCGGCCAAGGCGCTAAACTACAAAAGCCTACTTGTCAGTAGGGTCCTACATGCACATGCCGTCGCAGGGCCTATCATCAGAGCCTAAACGAAGCGTTGGTTGTAGTCATGGTAGTTTAGGGTTTAGGGTTCAGGGCTGCAGCTCTGCATCGTGGCTGACAGGTGACTGAGTCCCCGAGAGAGAGAGAGAGAGACTTGGACATAAGTGTTTTGTGTTATTACCCTGAACCCTAAACCCTAGGTCCGATAAGAGCCTTCCGCAAAAGGCGGATTCACCCAACCAAGACAGCGAGGGGGAAAAAGGCGCTCAAAAAAAAAAACTAAACCCTCACCACCTTTGTACCTCCCTTTCTTTCTCTACTCGACGGAGGCATTTTGCACTTAGTGCGTTGTTACTTTGGGAGCGCGCGAAGGAGCGAGGCGCAGACCTATGGATCCTTCAGTTAGTTCTGATCAGTCTCAAAAGGGTAAAGGAGGGACCCTTAATGGGGACCCTTAGCCTATAATAAGCTATATAATGGGTATATAATAGCTTTATCCCTCCCTTTCCCCTTTGAGGTCAGTCTGATCTTCTGAAAGCACCGAAAAAGCCACTAGACCAACAAGAGTCTGGGCTGGAATTTCTGTGGGTACTCCAATCTTCCCATTGAAGCCTCCCAAGTCAATAGACCCCGATTGGGATCCATCACGATTGGGGCTCTCATTATATGCACGAGCCTTACGAGAGGGGTCCTACTTCTTGGAAATCCAAGCCCAATCCAAACCGCAAGTAGGGAATCCCGATGTTCGAAAATCATGGGGGAACCTTCAGCATCGTCTATAGGGAATCCCCATATGTGATGATTGAGCCCGAGCTCCTCCCATGCTGAGATCTACGGGCGCGATGCCGAGGGATTTGAGGCTGGACGCTCGTAGCCGGTGGATCCAATAACCATTGGTTCGCGAGATGTACCCCATGCTTGAGGGGTGATGCATGAGTCACAGGATTGAGAGAGAGAGAGAGAGAGAGAGAGAGAGAGAGAGAGAGAGAGAGAGAGAGAGAGAGAGAGAGAGAGAGAGAGAGAGAGAGAGAGAGCCAGAGAGCCGGTGCATAAGCGAATTCATTTACAAGTTCTTCCACAAACTTGAATCTACTCAGTTCTGTTTCGACCAAGTCTTTGTCAAAGCTGGAGGCTGATGAAGTCTTATGAGCATGCTTCTTCATTGAAGTGTTGAGCTGAAAAGCACATCATGTGAAACATCCCAGTGGGTGGGTGGATAGTCGCCTGTTCCCGTGAACAGCACCTATAATTGAACTTATGGCCTGAGCTGCTTAGCCCTTATTGCTTAAAACCGTATCCATAAAAACCTACTTGATCTGTTAGTCTGTTGGTGGTATCTTTGCTGGTCTGCTTTGGGTGCCTGCGTCAGTGCTTGGTATGCCCCCCGAGGTTTATTCGTTTCGTTTTGGTTTGCAACTGTGCGGTTCATACAGTAGTGGCTCGTATACGGTTGTTGCTTCAATGATAGGACTATGCCTAAATGAAAGGGCCTAGTAGATAGGGTGTGCGTAAAATGAGATGTCCGTAGGGTAATCCCAGCAAGGCTATTTGTATCTAAGCTCTGCCTTCATCCTGCTATATACTGGGTTCTGGTTAAGGAGTTTGAAGTAAGTTCACATAATAGAAATCTATAGTAGCCATATCGTTGTAACTTAAACTAGATGAGAGAACAAGTGCCCAGACTAAGCCCCATGAGCCTCTAGGCATGACTCTCGGGAGCATGGGTTCTCGCGCCATAAGGTTTAGGGCTTAGGGTGTGGGGTTTAGAGAGGAACCGGTTTGAATCGTGGTATCGGGGAGTTTGGGACCCTTTTCTTGGTCTTGCAGCGTCGATGAGCTGGAATCCTTACCACTATGGGCTATTAGACCTTATGGGTACCTTAACCTACCCTTAATAGGGTCCTAATAGGGATCTTTAGGGTCTAATAGCCCATAGTGGTATTGGTCCTGAGCCCAGTGACTTCATCTTAACCCTCCAAAACCCTAAGCCCTTGTTCCGCGATCTTTCTACCTTGTACACGAGCTCCGCCCTAAGCTCTAAATCTCCTACCCGGTGAAACACTAGGACCTACAGTAGGCCCTTATTCCCTTTTCAGGGGTTCAGGTTCCGTTACAAGCCCCTTTAAACCAAAAACGGCACCCTTTTCATCCTAGGCTACTCTTGGGTCTAGAACAAAGAGCCATGAGTCCCGAGCCCCCCTGAACGGCAAGGTTTGGGGTTGAGGGGCCCGAAACCGACACCCTATCAGGCCCAGATGAGGGAGGAGGCCAAGGAGCTGGCGAGGGCCTCGTCCGAGGATCCAGCGGGGATTGAAGGATTCATAGAGGTTGGTTTTTTTCTATACCCTAAACCCTATGTATGGCCCTAAACCCTAAACCCCAAATCCTAAACCCTCACTGGCCGACTGGCCTTATGGCAGTTCAGACGGATGCGCGGCCGTAAAAACGGGCTCAAAAAAACCCTGACCGTTAAAATAGGTTCAATGATAGGTAAGGCTCAGGGTTTCCTCGCAAACCCTAAACCCTACATAATTAGTAAGGAGGCAAACACAATTAGTAAGGAGCTCTAGGCAAAGATCCAAACCCTAAACCGTTAATAAGGAGCCCTAGGAAAAGATCCAGACAATCAACTGAACTGCTGAACGTTTAACATTTTTGTTGGGCTGGGATCATCAGCCCTCAGTCTACTCCTGCCGCAGGGTTGAGTGGGGGTTCATGAATATTGGGGAGTTTCCGAAAATGGGGGACCCTAATATAGCACCCCAAATAGTAGGATCCTTATTGTAAGGAACCCGAATGAAGTACCCACCCCAATTTTCGGAAACTCCCATTTGGGTGTGGACTGGGGTGGAATCAGCTAGTCCAAGACTCCAAGATGCAAGTTATGGAGGACTACATGACTGAGGAATGTAGGGTCTGCGTCAAGTTAGATTAGAGGCCATCCGACTGACAACCCTTCCCCAACCTACCTAGTTACTGCCAAGCTCCTCAAACCCCACATCCTGTTGCTTAAGCCTTCATAGCCTGATACCTAACCTGCCATGATGCCGAGGCAGATTCACAGTACGGGCCAGAGCTTTTGCAAGCTTTGGGTGAGCCGGCACCCAAGCGGAAGGGCGTACAGCGTTGTTGCCCCGAGCCGTGTCTAGCCCCAGGCCACGTTTCCTTAAGCTCCGAGTACCATCTGTTTTCCTGAGGACAGTGCATCCTAAACCCTAAGCCCTTGTTTTGCGAGAGGGAAAAGGCCCTAAACCCTAAACCTTACAGACCAAAAAATTGATCCCGGCTCCGGATGTACGGAACTTGAGCACAAAGTCTGAGCCTAACCCTGGACTTGAGATTGGCAGTCCGAAGCAATAATCCTACTGGAGGGGCCTGTATACTACCACTAATCGGAATAAGAAGCAGAATGCCATTAGTACGGAAATATTCAGAGTGTTAGCCATGAAGTAGCACCAGCTGACGCTTCGCCCGTTTGCAGAAGCAGTTGGCACAAGCCTCTACGCGGCGTGTTTAGAGCTTGGCAGTCTGTCGACGACTATTTCTTGCTATTCTATTCTTACTATTAGTACTCTTTACTCTTACTCCAACTATTGCTATTTCTATTTCTGTTACTATTACTATTACTATACTTCTTCTTGTTGTTCGTAGTAGGATTCTTAGTATAAAGTGACCGCATTGAAGTTGTAGACCCCATGCTCTACACCCCAGAGGGAGCTTCGATCGAGTCTGCCATGCCAGGATGTACCTTTCGCGCTCCGAGTGGGCTCCCTGGGCAGTGGGATAAGGGGTTGAGGGTTTCGGGTTTACCGCTTTGGGGTTCATAAATTGTTTAGGGTTTAGGGGGGCAGCGAAGGGAGTGGGACTCAGACTAATTACGCCCTAAAAGCCAGACCCCTAAACCCTAAAACCCTCTTCCCGAAACCCAAACCTTCAACCAAGGGGCCTAGAGACTCGCGCCCAAACTCGCTGCTGTAGAAGTCCCACTCGTGGGGCCGAGGTTGCGCGTTCTTCGCCAGCAGTACAATGTAGGAACCTGATTAAGAACCCTTGCTCTGAACGGATCAGAACATTTGGGTGGTTATGGGGGCAGGGTTTCTTAATTACTCCGGCTCCTACACTATTATGGTACCCTTGTAGATCCCTTAAAGTAACCCGTATAGACCCCTTTAAACGACCCTAATACAGAGCCGGGATACTTAAATTGCCTGGTTCAGGGTTTAGTGATTCAGGCCCCAACGACAGCCGGCAACGGCAAAACCCCTAAACCCCGAAACCGCTGACCCCCTAAGCCCTAAACCCCTATTGTGCGAGTGTGCGAGTCGAAACCTAACAGTCAAAACACCGCCGACTTGAATAAGGTTTCATGCTCATCATTGCCGTCAGGATTGCATATCATTCCCTAAGGATCCATGTACACAAATAGTATATACTTTGGGCCCAATGTACCTATATAGGGAGTACTTTAAAGCCAAAGTATGTACTATTTGGGCACAAGGACCCTTTGGGGATTAACAGCAGCGGCCGTTTCAACATTTCCAAAGTAGAGTGTCCAGCAGTGCATTGCACGTTGGCTCCCAGTGCTTGCGGTCATTCTTTTTTAAAGCCGCCTAGCCCCTACAATTGTAAAAGGCGTCAGCCATCCACGGCCATCCGCAAACGTGCAACCAGGATTTTAGAGTGCATGCTTCAGGGTTGAGTCGGTTCCTCAAACCGTAAACCCTAAACCTATGATCTCGGGATGATTAGGGTTTGCACCGAGAAGCCCAGATTTCAATTCCTGAACCTCAAGCACTGACGGACTTCTGAAACCCATGATCAAGCCCTATCCAGCCCCTGTAAGACCTATAGAGGCCCGATAGAAACAACCCCAAAACCCATTCTCAAATCCTAAACTCAAGAAAACGTTTTATGCCCATCGGAGCTTCAGTCATCTCCTTTTGGAGGTTCACGGGTAATTACAGGCAGGGTCCGGGTTACAACTATAGCTACCCTACTTATAACCCCACTTATAACTCCCCATGAAACCTCAAAATATACGCCTACCTTACAGTAAGCCTTATAGTAGTAACCCTTAGTACGCCTTGTAGCAAGCCTTATAGTAGCAAGCCTTACAGTAACCGTAAAACCCCTGCGCTGCTGGCATGGAGTCACTCCCTGGCACAGTCTGGCACCTTGACCCAGGCAGGGGTTATTTAAGGGTCCCTTTAAGGGTTCCCGGGATCCCGTAAGGGTCCCTTTAAGGGTTCTTCTAAGGGATCTTTGGGGTTTAAACGGTTTAGGGTTTAGGGCTTCTTCTAAGCGATCCTTTCAGGGCTAAGTGGGTTTTTAGAGGGGTTTGTAAAAGCTTGGGGCTTTATGGTGTTTCAGCGTGTCATAGGTTTAGGTGTCTTGTGATCAAGGCCTGAAGGGTTCCTTAGGGGTTAGGCACTGTCAGGTTTCCTGAAAGGGCCATTTATGGGGTACTATACAAGCCCCTGAAAGTGTTCTAAGAGGGCTTCTTCAGTGGGCGTGGGGGTTCAGGCATGTAGGGGCTAGGATTGTTGGCGGCACTGTTGCTGGCACTGCTCCTCTCACTTCTAAGAAGCACAGCAGATACTCCTGCGGCTATTCCTCCTGCTACTGCTACTGCTGCTATTGCCACGACCATTGCATTTGCTAACCTGCATTTTTCATAGTTATGCCAAGGCTACGCTAGAGGCCTCGATCCCTAAACCCCTATATCAACCTGCACACCCCTAACCCCTACACCCTAAACCCTCAACCCTCAACCCCTAAACCCTAAACCCTCAACCCCTAAACCCTAAACCCTGGACCCCAAACCGCAGGCCCGCCCCCCAGAAACCCAGAGCCAGGAGGACCACCGCGGCTATCCGAGTCGCTTCCGGCTGCTCCCAAAGGAGGCTACAAGGCCCAGGAGCCAGGGTTCCCAAAAAGGCATACTGTAAGGCTTACTATAGGATTGCTCTAAGGGTTACTATAAGGTGGGGGTATACTTGGAGGTTCATGAAAGGTTTAGGGTTTAGGGTTCGGTCGGAGGGATAAGTCCCACAAGATGGGTTATAACTCTAGTCACCCTACTTATAACCCCACTTGCAACTACCCAAGAACCTCCAAGTATACTCCAACCTTATGGTAACCCTTTATATAACTGTTTTCTGACCCTTCTTGTAACCCCAATAGTAGCCCTTATAGTAGGCCTTACAGTAACCCTTATAGTAACCTTAATAGTAACCCTTATACTAATCCCTATAGTAAGCCTTATAGTAACCCTGGTTCAGGAAGGAGGAGCTTGTTGGGTGTAAGGCTCAGGATCTGACGCGTTTTTCTTTCCGGGCTGCGCCGCCTAAGGCCACGGTTTAAGGTTTAGGGTTTAGGGTTTAGGGGTTTAGGGTTTAGGGTTTAGGAGGTTGACGCATGGACTCTGGGGTTTTGCTGACGAGATCTAGGGTCCCCTGAGTTTTTGAAGCGCAGGCTCCCCCACCGAGCTGGTTTAGGGGTTTCCTTCGATTGGCTTGTCTCGCTGGTGCTTAGTAGGGAATGGGGAAATGGATTATGGGGAAAGTTATTGGGGATAATTTCGGGACAACTATAGGGATTCTGAACCCTAAGCCCCTTAGACCTAAAGCCCTAAGCATATGCCTCGCCTGGTTTGTCCGAGTGTGGTCGCCGAAACCCCTAAACCCTAAAGCAGCAACGCCCCAAACCTCAGCTTCTTGGCTTTTGTTTTGGCTGCCAGTGTACTTTGGCTCCTTGGAGAGTAAATGAGTAAACCACAGATCAAGCCCCACCGTTGATATTTACGGTAGGGTTTAGGGCCTCGTGTGTTCATTGCCCTAAAGCCCGAAGCCCCGCGCCCGTACCTTTCTGCAGGGCTACCGGGCCGACCGTGCAGTTGCCTGCTTGGCAGTGGCGACAGCTGCTGTCTTAAGGCATGGCCAATATGGGAATTAGCTTCGGGTTTAGGGTATCGTCAGACACGGCCACTACAGGTTGTTTAAGGGTGCTATCGAGGTATGAGGCAATGTGAATCGAGTTCTCGTTGGTGGGCAGATTGGGAGTGGGATAATTATTCGAAAGATGTCCACTGAAATTGTCAAACTTTGGTGAGGTTCCGGCTATTGGCTTTCGGGACTCTATGCCGCGTGGGCAGTGGGCACCTTTCTTAAACATCTACGACGACAAGGGAACCCTTCATGCAGCCCAGGGTGAACGGATGCGACTGTAGGACATGATCAGGCAGCTGCCGGTGTGCACCACGTCAGCACTTTTCACTAGAATTGTAGGTCGCAAAAACTTAGCCCAGGCAATGTTTTAAAGTTTTACGTAGAAGCTGTACTGTAATTATGATGTACCCCGGAACCAATTCTAGCTATTGCCTCTACATTATCATCCCGGTTCCTTCTCGGCCCAAGCATTCATGCTGAGAACCTTGGCAGTCCAAGGCTTCTCCAGGGTCTGAAATTGTGCATTCAATGTGACATTCGCATGTGTTAGAAGCTGCCCCCACCCTGTAATAGTGACTATAAGGATAATATTAGGGCCCTATTATATTCCTACTATACCACTATTACAGGGTGGGGGCAGCTTCTAAAGCATGTGTTAAAACACATCATCGCACATTGAAGTTGTACCATGTAAGAGTATGTTAGCGAGCATTGCAGTTTCCCCGGGTACACAGCGACTTCGCTGCTGTGAATCGCTCCTGCTGAGGAGGGTTCATGTCTCGCATAACTATAGTCTGACATAGGCCAAAACCCGCTTGAATTATTAAGGTTCTTTTGAAACAATAATCAAACCATCTGCTGACATTACTTAAGTTGCCAAAATGTAATACTGGAGCCTCGAGACTCGAAGCGGTGTGTATACTGCTGTAGTTATCACAAGCAGACAACCTACAGAGGAATACTGGCAACTATTCATGATTGTTGTTACGACTTCTCAGCGGCTCGTGGAACTAGTCAAGGGTCTCTTTAACAGGGTCCCATAAGGGATACTAGAAGGATACTATAGTATAGGTGCCTTAAATTATTAGAATAGGGTTTTATGTGTTCCTTTCTTGGCAGGCTACGAGGACGCCGCATCTCTCGACGGGGCACCCATCGATCAACCGACGTCGCGGTTGCCCAGCTGGCGCCACGACAGCATGGTTCCAAGAAGCACCAGCTGTTATGGACCAGGGCAGAGAGCTGGCATGAGCAGTCCTGAGCTTCGGGGGGCTCAAGTTAATATTTTGAGGTACAAGTTGGCCCTTCCAGTTGCTACCGAGAGAGAGAGAGAGAGAGAGAGAGAGAGAGAGAGATAGGGAGGAAACAGGCCAAAAGAGCAACATCGAGAAGCAGAGAGACTACAGTCTTGCAGTGTCAGCATCACATGATGTTTGTCTCTCATATGCGTGATTGCTACCTGCTCTATGTACACTGCTACAGCACTGGATAAGCTAGGACTGCATTACTTGCGGCTTTTCCCCTGGGAATTGCAGGGTTATACTAGTTGTCGCCATATGTTTTTTTTCCATGCTGTTGCTAGCGCCTGTAGTCAAGCTTTTCCCTGACTCGTTGATTTTGAGTTGCCGGAAATTCGGGGTACCTTATTTGAGGGTCCTTATACCTTATAATAAGGATCCTACTATTTCATTTAAGGGTACTATATTAGGGTACCACGTTTTCGGAAACTCCTAATATGTTTGCTCTCAGCCAAGCACTGGGGGTCGTCTCCCGACCCTCGAAAGCAACGCTAAACGCAGCCGCTACCTAGAGGCTCCATAGTAGTTCCTTTTCGGGGTTCATTCTTAGAATCCTATAAGCTAATCCCGAAAGGAACTACTATGGAGCCTATGGTTTACCCCTAAACCCGGAACCCTGTCGCTGAAAGCCAGTCTTGCATCCGAAATGCCCAAACCGCTAGTCTCAAACCCCACAATTTACGGGGCTTGATTGCTTCGGGTTTTGGGCTTGGCGGCCTCACTCCAAGTATTAAATAGCTAGGGGTTCTGCGGAAAAATCATTGCGAATATACACAAATTCTGCGGAAAAACCATTTCGAATATGCACAAAGGCTGCTTTAAACAGCACCAAACCAATACTTAAGATGCGCACCTTCCCGCCCAAGCACCACACCCTACCCTCTACATAATTCTATGACATATCTTATAATTAACTAATCACCTTCCAGCAAAATTCAGGAATGATACTGGCGATGTGTTCCTGGGACCGAGCTCATTTCAATGCTTGGCCCTTGTCACTGGATACTTGGAGATGTGGGGGGAGGCCTTCATATTCCTCTACACAAGCCCTGGAACCGAAGGGGGCGCCACGACTGCCACCACAGTGAATCCAGCGGTCGTGTTGGGGCTTGCCGCAGGGTCCAGTGAGGCTGTCGCCATCACGAGCACGTCCACGCACGCCGCGACGCTCCTGTTGATAGAGGTACAACCACTAGCAATTCACATAAGCCTCAAGCCGCAAGCTTGAAAACACCAAAGCCTAAAGAACCTAACCCCTAAACTCCAAAGCTACCGCACCCTAAAGGCCCACGCCCACAACCCTAAACCCCCAGAAACCCCCTCGAAGCGCCGAACCTGAGCCTCAAAACCCTACGATCCCCAAACCCCGCCCCCTACATACACCTCGATGCCCTGGGATCCTAAACCCTAAATCCCTGGACACCCTAAACCCTAAACCCTAAACCCTAACATCATGAGTAGTGGGACTCGTGTCCCCGCCGTTTCCTGCCAAAGGCGTCAGTTCCGAAGGCCCAACGGTTTTAGGTGTAGCCAAAAAACCCACACCTGCGTTAGGCAAAAGCCTTGGAAGGTTCTAGGGTTTACGGTTCAGGGTTCGTTTAGGGCCTTTAGGGTTTAGAGTATTGAAGCTTCATCAGCAAAGCAATCAATAGCATAATTATCTTGCTATTCTCGCGTGCCTCACCAGGGAAGGCGGGATTTCAGCATTCCTTTGTATAACCTACATTAACTTTCTATTTAACTGATGATTTGATGTTTTTTGCTTTGGTCCCTCCTCTACAAAGGATGCTGCGACGCTGCGACAACTCGGACGTCCTCCTGCGTGGCTGGAGGAGGCTTCGTGCATATTATAAATGTGAGGTGTGTGTGTATATATATATGTATATATGTATATGTATATATATATATATATATATGTATGTTGTATATATATATATATATATATATATATATATATATATATATATATATATATATATATATATGATACACATGTGTAGGTACATCGATAGCCAAAAATGATTATCCATTTACCTGTAGTCGCAAAGCAACATGGATACCCAAAATGATATAGAGATGCAAGGTTCAGGGCCCAATATGAAAGGTTCGGGTTTGGGCCCTGACACGCTTCATAAAGTTTGGGTTCAAAGTTTGGGTTTAGGACTATGGTTTGCGCGGAGCTCCTGCCTTTATTTCAGTTCAGAGCCCCGGCGATGAGGCCACTGCGGCTCTCGCCTGCAGTGGCGCCCTGGCTCCTATAGGGGCCTAAAGAACTACCGATACTGTTGTAGGTTTTCCTTGTTATGACTATAGTAAGATATACACCAAAACCCTATTCTGACAGGTAAGGCCATGTATTACGAGCTGTCGATGTCAGATTTAGTGCGGATGAGCGGACGCCTTGGCCATGACTTGGCCGTACACAGCTTGGATGAGTGCACGGGAACACTGGATGGCGGCGCGCATGTGTACCTGGCAGGTGCCACCCGCACGCACGGGGACACTACCAGGCGGTGTGGTTGGAGGAAAATGCCCCTTGCAGTGCTGATGTCGCTGGTGTTCTACGATCCCTCCGTGGAGATTTGACCGAGTTTGGGGTTTAGGGTTTAGGGCCCAGTGCTTGGGTTTTAGGGTTTAGGGCCTAGGGTTTGGGCTGCAGGCTTTGGGGTTTAGGGCCTAGGGTTTGGGCTTTAGGGTTCAGGGCCTAGGGCTTGGGCTTTAGGATGCCACACCCTTGAAGCTTTATTGAGGCTTTAAGGGTTCAAAGTATGTTTAATAAATTGGCTGTGTTGAACTAAGCTGAAGGTATTGATAAAAACTTTGTATTTCTTAATGTTTTGGGATTCTCTGGGTGGGTGGGTATTGTTCCAAGTCCAACTTGCAAGCTCAACTAGAAACTGCTCGAACCGGAGCTGCCGAACTAAATCCCTAAACCCTAAATTCCTAAATCCCTAAACCCTATATTCCTAAATCCCTAAGCCCTAAATTCCTAAATCCCTAAGCCCTAAATTCCTAAATCCCTAAACCCTAAATTCCTAAATCCCTAAACCCTAAATTCCTAAATCCCTAAACCCTAAATTCCTAAATCCCTAAACCCTAAATTCCTAAATCCCTAAACCATAAAACCCTAAAGCCTGATCCCCCAAGTTCCAGGCAGAGGAGGCCAACTTGCAGCTGGCGAATGGCTGGGAGCCGGTGTCCTCAGAGGTGACTTTGAGGCCAGGGTTTAGGGCCTTTTTGGCGTTTAGGGTTTAGTGCTGCAAAGTGACGTTTTGGGTTGAGACCTTTTTGGCGTTCAGGGTTTAGGGTCGTTTAGGCGGTTGCGGGTTCTGGGCTTTGTTAAGGCCTTTCCAAACGATCAATAGCCCTGTATGTACATCTTCATGCCGCTCATCGACGCACAGGAAATCTGAAGAGAATACCCCTGAACCCTATAAACCCTAAACCTTATACAAGCCCAAAACCCCCTGAGAACTAAGCTGGAAGCCCGACGAGCAAACATCCCAAGCCGAAAATCCTGAACCCTGGAGACCGGTAAGCATAGCCTCCTGAAGCCGTAAACCCTAAGGGTCCATGTGCTCACATAGTATATATACTTTGGCCTTAAAGTACGCCTGAAGCACGCCCTATATAGGTACATTGGGCCCAAAGTATATACTATTTGGGTACATGGACCCTTAGGTAAAAGTACCGAAACGCCAAACCCCAGACTCAAACCAGCAGTCCAACTAAACCATCAACGGCTCTTATAAACCTTAAACCCTGACGCTTTGCATACATTCCTTTTTTTGCGTCAGAAAAACATCCTTTTTTTTCGACTTGTCTGCCAGGAATCTCCGGATCCGTGGGCGCCTCCCGAAGCACGTTCAGGGCGGAATTTTCCTCCGGAATGGGCCCAATCAGGCCAGGGCGGCAGGGCTTATGGGTTTAGGAATTGGGGAATACCCATAGGCCCCAAAGTAGTTCCTTTTTGGGATTGCCTTATAGGGTTCTATATACCAACCCCAAAAAGGAACTACTTTGGGACCTTAGGGTACAGGGTTTATAGGGGATGAGATGTTCACGTGTTGCTCAGACGTTCATTCAGGCGATTGCACGAGTCCTGATGCAAAAAAGAGATTAGGGTCGAAGCCGCGGGTCTCTTGCTGAGGGGTCCTTATGATGTGGATCCAAATAAGATTTAGGGTTCGATTCTTGTGTCGCGAAAGCTCTCGGCCCCAAACCTCAAAGTTTAAGGTTTGGGGTCTAGGGACATCTAGGATTTATAAGGTTTCAGCGTTCAGAGACTGTTTATGGGTTTGAGGATTCAGGGTTGCTTTCATTTTAACGCGGCAGTCGTAGTGCGTGTTGGCGGAGCAGCCCCCTGGCTTCAAGACTTCGAGCAATAATACAGGCGAAACCGCGACAGCAAGACAATTAACCATTCACTGTATGAGCAAGACTTTCTACCAGGTACTTGAGCTCCCTTCTGACCCTTCAAACCTAAGCCTTCAACCTTAAACCGAGGGACTTGAAGTGATGTCGGGACGCCCGGAGTTGACGCGATGCAGTAGATTGCACGAGCACCGCAAATACCCTGAGCCTTGAAACCCTAAAGCCACTAGCCTTGTAGCCTCAGACCCTGAAGCCTTACAAACGCACACACTCCCCGTACAGAGCTCTGTTAAAACCCTAGCCTATATCTATCTCCAAGCTGCATGACTCTAGCTCGGGCAATAAACACTAAGCCTTACCAGGCTCATCCTGGTAAATGCATTTCTCACTCGCAAGAGGAGTGATATAAGGAGCCCTTTGACGAAATAAAAGTCAGAACGAATATTTCAGAGGCGATGTCCCCAGTGTCGATGCAGGACGCTGCCGCTTCTGTTTCCAGCTCACTCTGTTTAGGGTTCAGGGTGGTGCGGTCAAAAGCTATGTGACATCATCGTGACCTAGGAGGTTTTGGAGTTTGTTCAACCCTATCCCTCTAGTTTCATTAGAGCATGCAGTGTAATTGGCGTCGTTTACTTTTCCTGTCACTCCCGTATATTCCGCAGTTTGGATCTTAAAGAGTGTTTTCAGTTTTCAGGACTGTAGCGTAAACCCCAAATTTGGGATTCGAAGCCCTAAACGACAGTTTCAGGGCAAGGCGAGCATGACGACGTGATGGAAAGGTACCGTGAGCTTCAGCCTAAAGCCTTGGATCGGATATTCCGAATCCTAGTGGGATCCTTAAAGGGGTTAGGGGCAGGGTAAGTGTAAGGGTTTAGGGTTTACGGTTAGGGTTATGGCAAGTTTAAGGTTCCGAGTCATGGGATGTTGGCCTCTTCTGCATGCCTTTCACATGTCCACACCGCAAAGCAGTGTGGGCCTTGATAATTGGAACAGGGATCCTTCGATCCGGTCTACAAGGGTTACGAAAAGGGATCTATAAGGGTACTATAGTGAGCAGGACTATCACATCTTCGATGGTCACGGCATGATCCATGCGGTGCACTTCCTGGGAGATGAGGAGGGCGTGACCTGAGCTTCAGATTGGCTCGAAATTGGGAGGGGCATGGGCGGCGGGTACGGTGTTTTGGGGTCCTGAGAGTCAGGTTCCCACGACTTAGGTTTTTATATGGCTTTTAACCCATAGGCTCCATAGTAGTTCCGTTTTGGGGTTCATAATTGGAATCCTATAAGGTAATCCCAAAAAGGAACTACTATGGAGCATATGGGTAATTATGAAAGAGGGGCCAGCTTTCGTTCACGAAACTCCCTTGTTTTGGGCGCCGTTGGTGGACAGGTCGTAGCTTCCTGCTGTTTTCAAGACCCCAAAGGTCCAAGTACCTCATTATCATATACTCTCCAAAACAGTAACCTACATAACTACTCTCCGAAACCCAAGTACCGAACCATCAGGTCCTTTGGACTTTGGACCCTTAGGAAGAGCTGTGAGAGATCCCTTCTGGGGTTTGTAGAACTCTACCAGATTTGAAACGGTTAACCCTTGTTGGGCTAGGGTACTCAGCCCTTCAGTTTCAAGAGCTGCTAGGCATCCCTCGGGCTCCAGTAGCCTTCCGTCTAAATCAAGGCTTAAGGGTTTAGGGTTTAAGGTTTAGGGTTTGAGGTTTAGGGTTAGGGTTTAAGGTTTAGGGTTTAAGGTTTAGGGTTTAAGGTTTAGGGTTTAAGGTTTAGGGTTTAGGGGCTGTCAAGTCTTTGTTGATTAGGGCCTGGGCGTCACACTTCAGTCTGACCGTCTTCGTCCATGATGCTTCCTCTCATGAGTGGCCATGAGTGGGTGTAGATTCCAAGCATTTTTTGGCTATGCTATGCATAGCTCAAGTCACTGCTTCTCTGGTAGTATCTCGCTTTTTAGTTCAGTTCCTTTAGTATGATAAGTATGATGTGTATGACCTATGTCGTCGCGGCTGTATTCCTGTGTTCTGTTGTACTCAGCTGGAACCTTCAGAAAAGCGTTCCATGATCTGACGGCGTCGCAAGCATACCGGCATCGCAATATCCAGAAACTTGTGTGTGTGTGTGTGTGTGGGAGGGCATATGTAAGTATGTATGCATGTATGTATATGTATCACTGTATATGTCTCTGTGTGTATATACATACATACAAGTATGGTTAAGGGATTCGGACATCCTGGAACATGCAGCTAGAGGGGCATACGACTCAGAACTATTTTGAAGTTCGCCTGGAACCGCGAATATGAGTTGTGCTCTTAGTTTATCTCCCCCGTCCCTTCCGCCCGGATCCTTTCTGACAAGCACGAAGAGCCTGCTAAAGCCCTCGAAGCAAGCAACATACCTCAACCTGAATACGACTCAGGAGAGCTCCATATAAAAGGGGAAAAGGAGGGACCCTTAATGGGGACCCCTACCCTATAATGGGCTATATCTTGGGTATATCATAGCTATATTAAGGGTATGTATCTAGGGGTCTTTCTCCAGGGTCCCTCCTTTTACCCTTGGACTATAGTAGAAGCCGGAAAGTTGGAACATCCTTATCCTCATGACCTTAATAAGGGGAAGTATAAGGGATCCTAGCACGAATCCTCCCAAAGCCATGTTCCAACTTTCTGGCTTCTACTATATTGCTTAACATGAGAAGCCCTCACCCTTAAACCAACCCTGGTACGATATTGGAGAACTCTACTCCTTAATTGTCCCTGGGCACCCCGGAAGCGGACAGGGCTTCTCGGAAGCACCATGAAGCACCCGTGTTTTCTTTGCACAGTCCAGAATTCGCAGCAACTCACGATGCGGACCTCTGTAACCCCTTGCTGTCAAGACGTCATTATTTAATAGTTGATACGTTATTTCCTGACACATTTCAACCAGTCGTGAACACGAAATCGAAACTTCCCGTAATTGAGCGAGCCGTCCAGTATCGACAGGCATTTTGAAGCCATGCGGGAGTTTCCGAAAATTCTGGGTACTTCATTTAGGGATCCTTCTAACAAGGATCCTGCTATTTAGGGTACTACATTTAGGGTCCCCTATTTTCGGGGAAACTCCCACGCAGCAAGGCAACCTACGCCCGACGCTACGTCCGGACACAAGCTCTTCAGTTTGAAGAGTCCGAAGGCCGGCCTAGTAGTAGAGTAGGTAACCTTTAACCCTTTTTTTGGTCAGTTTTTGTCCCGTTCCCCTTCAGTTCCCCATGATACCCGACAAGTAGGCCAGCGCCTGTCTATTCCATTCCATTATAAACCCTACCCTCCAAAACCCTAAACCCTTCTGTGGCTTCTTTTGGAGTCTATAGGGTTTCAGGTAAGCCAAAGCGCGAATACTTACAGGTCAAGGTGGTCGGTCTCGTCGCCTGCTAACGCATGACATTTCGTAATTTGTGCACCTAACTCTTCGATCTGGCTAAGCATCCAGGCCTCCTTCTCGGATTACCTGCTGACTGCCTGCATAAATGGTATAGATCCTAAGCCCCAAGCCCAGAACCCCAGACAGCAAGGCCAGTGCCTTTATACTGGCATGAAGAAGATGCTCCCTCAGCTCCCCGGCATTCATTGGGAGATGGCGCCCGGCTTACAGCAGGGCCTAGGGTTCACCTATGGATTAACCCAGGTACCTTCGAAAAAACCTAAATGAACGTTTTTGAGGGTCATATCCCTTGTAAAAAAGGGTACAGTGCTGCTCTGTGTAGAGTTTCGGGGCCTAAGATGTCAGAATGTCAGGAACCTTCGACTGGGTGTTTCAGAGAACTGGGGATCCGGCTTGCGGGTTGAGGGTTTAGGCCTTTGAGGGGTTTAGGCTATATGACAGGCTATATGACATGAGGGTTCAATTATTCTAGCCTGCGATTTCGTGCCCTTGCATTGCGAGACTTCTGATGATGGCACAGCGAGAGAGAGAGAGAGAGAGAGAGAGAGAGAAGGCTGTTATTCTAACCCGGAAACTGACCCTCCCGGAGAAACAACTGCGACAATTTCACACTCCTCCAAAGTCCTCACAAAATATGGGGGGCCCTAGTGGCCGAGGGGTCTTAACAGCCCCTCATGCCCGGCGGAAGAAGAGAGAGAGAGAGAGAGAGAGAGAGAGAGTGAGAGAATTGTTTACGGCTCTATCTAGAGTAAGCCTACATGCCTTTCTGGGTCTCCTACATCAGGGACATCTCATGTGCTTTCAGGCCTCTAGGAGTCTTTACAATGAGTATCCCACTATTCGGTCTCATCCCACTACTTAGATTCTGCTTTAGCGTCCTACTGAAACTGCAATGCAGGCATATATCGATTGTGTGGACTTTTTTCTCTGGACAGGTCCCAAGAAGCCCCATTTGATGACGCTAGTCTTTGTCGGACTGTAGCTTGACATTCAGGCTCATCCAGCAACAGCCGATAGGGGGCAGGCATTCCTGGTGCAGACTGTAAAACATGGAGGCATGCTTATGGAATGTTTACATCAAACACCATATTCAGGTGTAATTTGGGCTGGCCGCGTGTGTGAACCCCTCAACGAAGCCGACAGACAGCTTCACCCTTATCGTCTTATATAGTATAGAAGCCTTACCAATTACCGACAGTACTCCTCAGCGTTCCGAATCCTCACACTATTCTATTTATGAATGCCCCTGAATCCTCAAACTAATATATACATAGCCCTAAACCTTAAACCGTTAGCAATAATTATCCCGTCTAGAAGTTTTGAAGAGCAGGCTATGCAGAACCCTTCAACGGAAACCTATTCCAATGATGACGGCCGCTATGTGAGTCCGATCCAGCACATCAGGTTCCCGACCTTTTTCCGGCTTCTGTTTGAGAAGTACTTCGGGTCCTCCGGGAGCACCTCTGCTGTTCTCTGTCCGGCTGTTGAGCTGTTGAGACTCAATTTGGAGGATTAGGGTTTAGGGCTACAGCTTTTGGGGGATTCCATCTTGCTTACACGACGGAAAACAGAAGCTTAGCTTCCAGGTCTGGTTCAGCAGCGAGCTAAGGCACGGACTCGCCTTACTGGGTCATCCAGAACCGAAATCCTGCCACTTTGCCTGCGATAGGTTGCTTCGAAGGCTTTGGGGTGTTAGATGCGGATGCAGGGTCCCCCAGAACCCCAACTGATGCAAAAAGTCACACTTGCGTCTCAAAGATCGTTCGATTTCTATAAGCCGTAAGAGGTGGGTGAGGGTGGATGCAGCTTTTGGGGCTTCAGAGTCCCGGCATCCCCCCAAACTACCCTAAAACCTAAGCTTCAATCCCAAACCAGGATTCCCGGAAACCTTTTGCTTGTCAAGCCCCCTAAACTCGTCGCGCGCTCCTCGAGCCCTATGCATCTTGCCTGTTGTAGGGTTTAGGGTTCAGGGGATCCGTTGAAGAATCCTCTGGAGGAGCTCTTAACCTGAAAGGAAGTGTTGAAGCAGCCTCCAAACCCTGAACGTTTAAATAAACTGGAAGGCAAAGCCCCGTGCAAAGCGCCTGGGATCGCCCGAGTGTGACTGTCAATGACAACTAAAGCACCATTGAAGCTTACAGCTCCACTGCTCGTTGAAGCCCCAATACAGTACCCTCAAGAATAGGATCCTTGTTAGAAGGACTCCAGAATAGGGTACCCCTAATGCTCGGAAACTCCCACCAGGCCAACAACGGCTGCACCGTGCATGCGGGCCGCGTTTTGGCCACCTGGGAGGCGTCTTGTGACTTCTCCATTTAGGGTCTAGTTTTTTTTGGATTTAGTTTAGGGTTTTTTGGATTTAGGTTTTTGGGTTTTTGGTTCAGAAGGGCTTTCATACTCGGAGGATCGCGAGGGTTTAGGATTTGGGTGGGTTTGGCGGGCTTTTTTCAAAAGGCTTTTTTGAAGGCTTGAAAGGGTTGTATAAGGGTTTCATTCTTCTTCAGAATCGGTTTGATAGGGGCTCTACAGGGTTGCATAAGGATTGAAAAAGGGCTGGGGAGCGTCCTAAGTGTAAACATGTTTTGGGGTAATTTCTTCAAACTATCGGAACTTCCCCCAACGCCAAGAACTCCTCTAATCTTCCCATACAATGGCTGTAGGGGCACCTGTACTATGTAGTCACAGCAACCCCTATAGAACCTTGTGCAGGATCTTTTTAAAGGAACCCTATCCGAATTATTGAGGCCCCTACGTAAAGGATCGGGGGACTTAGTGACTAGGCTGGAAGTACGATAATGGGACACTGAAAACTCTACTACTGAGAACCAGCTTGCTAAGTCCCCGGATCCTTCCAATCCAAAACCTAGTAGTAGAGTAGGGAACCTTTAACCTTTTTGAGCTGTGTAGTCCCCATATATTCAGTATATAGCCAAGAGTGTTCACCTTCAGTCCCCCATGATACCCGACAAGTAGGCCCTTAAGCCAGCCTTCGAAGGGTTACTATAAGAATAAGAGGGTACTATAAGGGTTCCTTAAAAAGGGCACAATAAGGGCTTGGGGTTTAGGGACAAGTAGGATTAGGGTTCCCATAATAGGGTTCATATAAAGGAATCCCTACCCCAAGAATCTTAAACCCACCCTTTTGGCCTCCCATCACGGAAGCTTAAGAGGACAAGTAGGAAAAGATCGGCCAAGCTGTATTCAGGCCGGCTGGGCCTACGAAATGCGGTTGCCGACCTTGGAGCTTGGGCCGTGGGTTCCGTTTATAGTAGAAGCCAGAAAGTTGGAACATGGATTTGGGAGGATTAGTGCTAGGATCCCTTGCACTTTACCTTAAGGACATGAGGATAATGATGTTCCAACTTTCTGGCTTCTACCATAAAGGAACCCTAGTTTACAAGGGCTACTGTAAGGGTTTCTTTAAGAGTCTACTGCAACGGTCGTTTAGGAACTGAAGTAATTATAGAAGGACTACCGTAAGGGTTCCTTTAAGAGTCTACTGCAACGGTCGTTTGGGAACTGAAGTATAGAAGGGCTGCTGTAAGGGTTCTTTTAAGAGTCTACTGCAACGGCTGCTACAAAGGACCACTCTGCCTGGCAGACAGTTTTGGGCTTAGGGTTTGGTCGCAGTATTTAGTCACAGTAGGCCTAGATGCAAAATGGCTTGGCCCTAGGCCCTAGGTTCTGCAGAATTTGTGGTCAACATGCTTTCAGGCTGAGTTCAGGGAGGCTTATTCTCCGGCCTTGAATACAACTTACTGTACGTGTGTTAGAGAAGCAGTCATGCGTCTATGCAGACTTACAAGAACTTCCGTCCCAAAGAACGAATGCAGAAATCAGCACATTCATGGGTCTCACAGTTTCAGGACATCCTACAGTCTTACAGCCTCTCACAGAAGTATCAGTGCGAAGCAGAGATTCCTAAGGTTATCCCGAAGCCACCCACCATGTCCATCTTGTACTGCGTTGAAATGCTAGAGCGACACAGCAATCCCTGAGATTCTATGTCCAGAAGTTGGAGTGTAAGGAAACGCTGGGCCTTTTCGACTACGAGGGAACCTGGGCAGACGGGGCCGTCACGGACAACTGCAGCGCGCATGGAAAGCAGGATTACCAAATTTCCACTAGCATAGTCAGCATAGTGCTGGCTCATAAGGCGTAAGCCTGTTCCAAAAAGGTTCGTTGTCGGTCGAATTTTCACAGAGTTCTCTTATAGGGCCTGCAGGCTTAGCGTTGGCAGAATGGCTTGAAGTTTGGGTTTCCTGAGGGTTTTATGTGAGGGCAATGCTATGTCATGTTATGTCTAGACCCTAACCGAGTACTACAGGAGCTTGAAGAAGTGACTAGTCCTTTAGTCACTAAATTTTTGTCCGCATACAAGCATGCTATAGTACAAAACCCTGCTCCAATACTGTTCCGTAGCATCAAGGACCCGATTGTATATGAGAGCTTCCGAAATTAGGGGTACCTGATTTTGGGGTCTTATAATAAGGATCCTACTATTTATGGTACCAAAGTTGGGCCCCCTATTTTTGGAAACTCCCATATCAATGAGTGTTTGAGGACCCCGAGACCGGGCAACTCATCACGATCTCCTACAACATGATCGAGCTGCCCCCGTGGCTGCGTGTGCCGCTTGGTTCCTAAACACTTAGTACCTTTTGGCGGTTTAGGGTTCATAGGGTTGATAAGTCAACAAAGGGCGGCTCACTGAATGTAGACGAGACTTCGCAAGCCTGCTGCAAAAGGGTTTAGACGTTTAGGGTTTATAGCCTAGGAGTCGGTTCCTGGCATAGGCATAGCCCAGGTGTATGTAGGCGTACTGCTCAACTGATCACGGGAAGCTGGAAGGAGACCGGAATAAAGCTTAAAGGCGGTAAGCGCCATGGACCAACTGGTCCGGTCATGCCTCGCACGCCCTACCCCGCCACCACCGAATACCGATCCGCCCTGTTATTGAAGTCGTTATCAACGCATTTATACCTGTAAACACGCTGGCATGGCAGGATCACAGCCAGCGCGGATGGTGCCTTAGAGAAATCGGTCAAAGTGCCGCTGCCGTCTGGGGCAGCCTTACTGCACGACTTTGGGATCACCAAGCGACGGGTCATCCTCAACGTCGGAGCATAGGCAGCAAGGTAGGGTCAATTCCAGGATTTCGGCATATGAGTGTATTTTCGGGGCTGTATTATGGTGATACCAGTACTCAGTAGTTATGAGTAGCAAAATTAGAATGAATCAATATATGTACCCTTCTTGGCGTTGTTTGAGACGACCTAGACTGTGAGAGTCCTCAAGCGCAATAAGGCATAAACCCTCCAACGGGCCCGCCAAGGACCACTAAACCTGGTGCCGCTGAAGATGGTCAGCGGTGCTCCCCCTTTCGACTTCGACTTCTCGGCGAAGTGGCCGGCCTACACCTACTGTGGAGGGGTCAGGGTTTTAGCTGGTCATAGGTCTTTGGGTTTAAGTGTTTAGGGTCCAGGGTCTATAGTCAGTAGGTTCTACAGGGTTACAGAGTTTAGGGCTGATGGTTTCAGGGTTTAGGGTGCGGCATGTGCGGCTGCGGGCCGGATACAAAAGGGTCGGGGGATGTCTCGGCCCAGGCTGTAGAAGGACTTGTGGACTGGATGTGGCAATGTAAGTGAATGTTTGAATTGAGATTCAATGGTTTTTGCTGCTCTCTCCAACCCGATCCTGCGGTAAACGTGTCGTGTTTTTCAGAAAGATCACTTGAACACCCCTTAACTTGGACAAGGTGTTACTTCGGCATTCTCAGCCGGTCATCCGACTCCGCAGATGACGTGATCTGGGTGGAAGCCGAAAACTGCTTCAATTTTCACGTTCTTAATGCTTACGATGATCCCACAGACCCTTGCCGCGTCATCGTGCACACCTTCCGTCAGGATCTCGGAAGCAATCATGGAACTAAACTGCTAAATTTTATTAATCGTGATAAGTGCGCACTTTCACTTGCTGAATGCTTGCCTTGGAATGGAGGTGTAAAGTTAACCCGAAACCGCCTAAACCTGAAAGTTCAAAGTGGTCCACCCGGTGTCTCCATAGATCGTCCATTCTCTCCCCAGAGGCTTGGAGCAGTTAAAGTTACCTAAACCCTGAAGAACCTGTTTAGGGATCCTTATTATGAGTTCGTTAGATCTGGCCTTACAAAGCTAGGTTATTTCAGGGTACAGGTAAGCACCACATGAACCGCAAGAATTCACCCAGGAAATTGAAGCTTGTGGTGATGTGCAAATGGTTCAAACTTTGGAAGCTGTAGGGACGGAGGGAATAGGGTCCCAAGCACTGCTGAGAGAGGCTCCCGGGGTATCACCGCGGATTCTTTTGCAGTGCTGGAAAGAAATACTGGGAACAACGGCACGTGGATTCTGCAGGTTGTTCTGCAGAACCTACATTAACGTTATTGCCTTCTTCTCACGAGTATGGCAGATCATGATCATTCCTAAAAGCAATCTTTCACACCCCTGTTTAACACTGTTACTGTTCTCGTTGCTGCAGTGCTTTCATCGTTTCTGCTGCCTATGATCGAATTGCAATCGGGTTGGTCTGGTCCCTCTGTTATGTGTAGCCAGTATAGCCACCCTGAATCACTGAAGACGCCCCAGGATGCCTGAAGTGGCTTGAGATTAGTCTTTCCACCGGGCGTCATCTGGGAGCTTCTGAAAGCCAGGGGTACCTTATTTTGGGGTCCTTACAATGAGGATCCTACTATTCGGGTACTATACTAGGGTCCCCTATTTTCGGACACTCCCATCTCCTGAAACACCCAGGACTACACCCTGGGGCTGGGAATGGGATCGAAGCTGAACGAGGACTCACTGCCGGTCTACTATGGGTGGTTGTCAAAATTATGGTCCCTTTTTGGGCACCCTATTTATTAGGTGCCGTACTATAATGGGGACCCAAAAAGGGACCATAATTTTGACAACTACCCATATGCGAAATGCTTTGTGATGTTGATGATGGCGAGAATGTCGGCTGTGCGTGTGATTATCATGCACGGGCTCTGAGGTTTGAGCGTTGGATGTGCATAGGGGTTGCTCTTTATGCCAGTATGCCCAAATAGTTTGCCGATGTGTCCGATTTCTGGGTCGGAAAGGGCCTGCGCCTGCCGTAGATTCGTAGATCCTGAGCTTGCGCATATCATATCTCTTTGACAAGTCCTGGTTCCTCAGTCCGAGAATCTTCAGTTCCTGAATCTACCAGATGGCGAATATCGAAACCATTTCGTGTTGTGTGCTGCGAGCTTCGGGATTCAGGCCTCTCCTTACATGGGCAGAATCTCCCTCACCCAACTTTCTTGCTCATGCTGATGGGTTTACGAGATGGAGTCCTCAACAATGGTGCATCGAGCCCCTTGGCCCTAGTCTCGCCTGTTTCCAATGCTGAAACTGACCATATCACACATACCCTCCTGCAGTCCAGTTCAAGGATAAGAAACACACTGAAATCTGATTCAATACCTTACATCCGACCTCCGACATCTTCCAAATCCGCGGTGACAAAGAAAGCGCAGTCGATGTTTCGTAGACTTCTCGCACCTCTCCAACAAGTGTTTCAACACGTCCTATGTCTATTCATGCTACATAAATCCAGGCTTGTGCGGTAGAGGCCTTAATTGAGTGACTGGTACTCCGTGGCGTCGATTAACCCAGTCAGGGCGAAACATAAGTTCAATGTTTACATAGGTTCCCGCCTTAAACCCGAAGCCCTAACCCCTAAACCTGTAACCCGTGCGAGGAAGCGCGAACGTCCCCACACGGGCATCCCCTGCAAGGTGACACCGCTGTGCTTCATCGGTGGGCCGCTTGCTTAATGGAGTTTCACGAGTCCTAGAGTTCGAGATATGTCTAGAGAGCTGAAGGTGTGCATTCCTGAAGCATGGGATGCTCAGCTCTCTGAGAGGGAGTTTGGGCTCTGGTTTTTCAGTGGAATTTGCGGCTTGAGGCTCAAATTTAGCGCGCAAGCAGCTTCGGAGTGGCTGATGTCTTCCCTGAGAGCACGGGCGGACTTGGCCTAGCCCTAAGATCCAACATTCCAAGCTACGCTCGCAACCATAAAGCCTAAATCCCCTATAACCCTAGTCCCCAGCAGCATGTATCCGAGACCAATATCGCTGCAGACCTTGCCAGGCTTCGTCCGGGTGTGAGTGCCAAAAGGTCCCCAGCAGCTCTGCGGAATCCCCACCTTACCTTTGTTTAGTAGGGAATGGAGGAATGGGGTACAATTATAGCTACTATTACTACCATTCTTCCATTCCCTACTAACCAAAGGCAAGCCACGAACCGGCCGAGGTGATCGATGTGAATGCGGCCAAAGTTGTCGAAAGCACACGCTTACACCAGCCGCCAGCCGATCCCAGGAGGAGTAAAACCCGAAGGTTGCGAGAGAGGGAGGGAGAGAGAGAGAGAGAGAGAGAGAGGGAGAGACAGAGAGAGAGCGACAGAGCCTTAGTAGAATATATGCTAGATTACACTAATTATATTTTAATTGTAGCATATTATATAGTATGTCATGTTTTATCAAATTATCCCACAATTAAGACGACACGTGTAGCCAGTTTCAGGACCTCTGTGTAGTTTAATTAATGGGTATATTATATTCCCTTCTGAAGGTGTCTTGAACTTACCGGCTGTGTTCAGACGTAGGATGGGGCGGGGCAGGATTTGAGCAAAGTGCAACAGGCTGAGTGTATGGGAAGGTTTGGGGTTTGTTTGGGGGAATGGGTGTCCGGGAATCGGAGAGGTTTTGTTTTGGAGTATTCGTGTCCATCCAGGGTCTATAGGGTCTGACAAACCCGAAGAGAAAGGCAACTCGGTTGTAACATGTTGTAACGTTTGAACGAGTTGTCAGTGCATGAAGTATCGTAGCTACAGTGGCCCAAAACCCATCCGTTCAATGTTTGTGGGCTTATAAGGACGTAGTCTCCTCCTGAAAGTATGAACGCTCTACCCCATGGATATTTGGGAAGTAAGTGTAGCCGTAGCAAGCTCGAGGTACTGCAAGTGGGTAGTGTAAATCGGGAGCTGGGCACTCGGGCCACGGTCCGACTGCCAATGTGTGGGCGCCAGGGTAGTAGTAGTAGCAGCAGTAGGAGTAGGAGTACTAGCAGTAGTAGCAGCAGTAGCAGTTGCAGCAGTCGTAGTCGTAGTCGTAGTAGTAGTAGTAGTAGTAGTAGTAGTAGTAGTAGTAGTAGTAGTAGTAGTAGTAGTAGTAGTAGTGCGGTGGATGCTTGGATGGAATCTCTCGATGATTGGGAGACACACTGCAAGCCGGTGTCCTGTTGCGCTCCTCCTTCCACCGCGCACGGAAAGCAGGGTCTGATACAGGGGCTTACAAATTACCAATCCTATTGTGGGGGGTTCCCGATGATGACAATAGACAATCCACCCAAAATCCTATTCTCATTACTGAGGCCCGTCTGTCACTGTGCTTCCTGTAAGCAATTTCAAAGCTCCGCAGGCTCCTACAGAGTGGTCGAAGTAGCAACCGCCAGCCCTCACTCAAAAAAACCCTCGAAAGCCACAACTCTAGCCTCCTCAGCGCTAAACCGTGTCACACAGCCAGAATTCCAGGAGCTGGTTGTCGGATTTCGGAGCTATCAATCCACGTTTCCTGGCCTTTTTGCCTAGAGAGGGATCGATTTATGGCTCTAGTGTCGTTGCTCCCGACGCTATGTTACTCCTCCAGGATTGAGGACATCTTGGGGTGGTACATCATCTTCAGTCGAGGTAAGATGGTACTGCTAAGACCAAAGAAGCTAATATAACTATATGAGAATGTCGAAGTGAGTTCTGATCCGCAAGGTGAAGTTGGGTTTAAGGTTTTGTGGTTTCGCTTAAGGCTACCGGTTGTTCTGGCAAACTCCATACCGAGTTGTCGTTGCCTAAACAGTCCCCGAAACAGGGAGAGGCTCTGTCGACGGGCACAGTCACTTTATGTGTTGCTATACTTTGATGCTGTCATCCTTGTGACGAAGCCTCTTAGCGCTGTTTCACTCTGCAGACTCCGAACCATATGCCTCGCCTGGATTGTCCGAGTGTGAGCGCCGAAACCCTAAACTTTAAACTCCTAAACCCCTAAACCCTAAACCGGACAGGCACTGGAGGCCTTGGCTCTGCCGGGGGTGCCGTTTTGTTTGCCAAATGGGAGTTTCCGAAAATTAGGGGTACCTTAATTGGGGTCCTTATTATAAGGATCCTACTATTTAGGGTATTATATTAGGGTCACCTATCTTCAGAAACTCCCAAATCTTGGAAGAAAAGTTAAAGGTTTCCCACGGAATGCAGATCAACATCAACGACCGTCAAAACTCATCACCTTCCTCGGCCTTGAAGCACAGCACCGATATATCTCAACGGTTGCGCTAAAGAAGGCACAAATATAGGGGAGCTGCATTGGAGAATCTGGGTAGTGGCTAAATATGCTTGGTCGTGCAGATCTCGCGCTGCAGCCGGGTAAGGTGTAGTCTAGTTTCCATGAAGCTTTGGGCTGAACCAAACTATGGGCACGTCCAGCCGGCAGAGAAGGTAGTGGTGATCTTCAAACTCAACGAATCATGTTATCGGTTTTCATGCCGTGGCGAGGCAGTGCAGAATTCAAGCCGGCCGACAAAAGCTTTGAGAAGTGCAATTGCCGCATCACAACAGATGCTGTCCCGGGATGCACCTGCCTCCCTCCCCTCTTCTACACCAGATCATGCGATAACGGGACTGTATGTGAACCCTAACTTTCTCAATGCACAGCCAAGGCTACGTTGGCAGACCCCATCGCTACGGCTGGTCTTTGGGCTGCTCCGCCTCCTTTAAAGGAAGCCTCACAGGAACCCTTAAAGGAACCCTCAGGGGACCCTTAAAGGAAGATAAAAGGAAGCCCTTAAAGGAATCGACCTGAAAGGAAGCCTTTAAAGGGCACCTTAAAGGAATCATTAAAAGGAACCCTGAAGGCACCCTTAAAGGAAGCCTTGAAGGAACCCTTAGCAGCCCAAGACGCCAAGGTTTCGCTTCCGAGATCCAGGCCGGGTCGCCAGTGCCCGAAGGCTCCGTGGCACGCTTCACGAGGGCTCCTTGGCGGAGGGGGGGGGGGTTGGGGTTTAGGGTTTAGGTTCAGGGTTTAGAAGTTGTGATTTAGGGTTTAGGTGTGGGGTTGCTTAAAATTCCGGGTTTAGGGTTGAGGATTAGGTTAGGGCTGAGGGTTAAGAGTTGAGGGTTCTTTGGTGCCTTCAACTCAACGTTATCGGTTAGCGTATGGCGATACATAACTTCTGACTCTAAAGCCCCGAACATGGGAGTTCTTTATCATCCCAAAGGGTCCTTTGTACTGTTATGGGGGATACTTCCCTAAGTCATAATAGTAATTCCTAATATGGGAACCCTACATTCTAGTATATCGGTACATTGGACCCTTTTATCATTGGTACCTGCTGCAGCAGAGCCCGACAGTAGAACAGCAACCTGGCTCCCCATGTGGGTGGTTGTCAAAATTAGGGTCCTTTTTTGGATCCTTTTTATGATACGGCACCTATTATTTAGGGTGCCCACCCATGTACGTGGGAAGTTGCAGACAAACACAGCGGTTTAGGGTAGTTCAGATAGAACTTTTCCGACGACCAAGGTACTGAAACATGACCTCAAGACGGGGGAGCTCCTTTCCCTGCACGTCTGCTGGGAATTCGGAATTCTCGTCGTGAAGGGCCCTCACTATCTCTCCAGGGGTCGGGATGATGAGCCATAGCGTTCCCTTAAATTTAGGCTCTATATATAATCACAGTATGTTTTCGCAACATAATTATACTTTATAGACCTATTCCAGCTATCCAGGCCCCGACATTTCATCAACTTGACCTCCCATGGCAGGGGACATGTAAGGAGAAACAATCAAAAAGGCGCCCGACGTCTTAAGCCGCGAGTCTGGGACGTGTGACTTAGTAACTAGGGTTATAATACTACTACTACTACTACTACTACTACTACTACTACTACTACTACTACCACTACTACTACTACTACTAATAATAATAATAATAATAGCGAAGATATAGTCATAATTACTTATAGCTTCAATGAAGGTACTCGAGAAACCTTACTCCGAAGCCTTAGATCCTCATCTGGCGATCCCGAATCCGAAAGCATAAGCCCCAGAGCCCCAAACCCAAACAAGAACTGCTAACATGCATATAGTCCCATTATAACCCCCTTATAAACTACTATAAACCCAGCAACTTCAAAACTCTATAGCCCCGTCCGTGGGCATCAACATATCCCAAAAGCCTGATATAGTATGATCTTTGGGCCAAAAGGCCTTTGTTATATATGAGGCGTAAACTCTACACCCGAAACCCTAAGCCCTGCACCCTATCCGGAACTTTGCTTCACTGGAGGCTGCTCGAGCGCGATTTCCTCCACAGCGCAGGCCCGGCTCCGAAACCAACGTGTCAGAAGAGCTAGATCCCAATACCCCTTATTTACGGAATAGACCTTAAATCATGATATTAAGGCTTCTATAATTTAAGGTATATTCCGTAATTAAGGGGTATTGGGATCTCTGGGTAGTGGCGCTACAGTTAGGATGGGGATCGGTCCTTAGAGCCTTATGGTACAGTATGGCAAGCCCCAAGGCTGCGTAGGGCGGCCGAGGGATGGGGTTTAGGGCCCTCTTCGCTCTTCTCAAGGACGACCGCTGCTTAAAATCAAGGGGCAGCATGTTGCCACCGTGGTTTATCACTCACATTGAGTGGATGTGCAGGATGTGAAGCTTAAACCCTATGGGAGTGGAGATACTGTGGACTATGTGGAGCTTTGCCTGCCTTGTGCGAGTGTGAGCGTCGAAACCCCTATAAGCCCTTACATGCTGAACCCCCTAAGCCCAAACCTTGAAGCCTTATCATCGCCGTGTCAGGTGCTTCCGCTGTAGGGGCCGATGAAAGCCGCTTCGCCTGCAACGACCTGGTGGTCGTCCCTGGAGGAGGCGTTGATCTTGTTTTCTGTTTTGACGTAGGGGTTAGGGCAGCCACGGATTCCAGGGTTTGGGGTCAGGGTTTGAGTTTACTGTTGTGTGCGGTGTGGCACTTTGTGAGAAGCTGCTAAGTTTAGGCCAGAATACAGAATAAGCAGTAACGCTATCCGTTAGGGCTTAAATGCACCCCAAGCTCCATCCAAAATATTTAGGTCCTTGCAATACATACAATGCTTGTGTGTGGAATAGAACTTCGGTGTAAATTCTACTATGAATATATACGGATGACAAGGGAACAAAACTTGACTAGACCACCATTGTTGACCTCTCGCACGAGCTGCGGGTTTGGACCGCGCATCCGATTCAAGATAGAGGAAGTCTGTCAAGAAACAAATTCGGTTCGGCACATCGAGATGCACTCTCTCAGAATAAGGGCCCGATTAGTTGGCACTGCTAGCCCTCAGGGCTCATGAACGGTTCCATGGCACCCCTTGGTCCAATGTCTCATGCCCGTAGAACAATCTTCCCCCCCAATGAAGGCGATGAAGATGACGCCTCGCTGCTGCTATTGGTCCACGACCTTGTTGAGGCAGCGCAGTTGAGTGTAAGGTTTAGCAAAACCCAGACCTCCAGTTCTACCTAAAAGGTAGGGTTTAGGCTTGAGGGTTCGGGGACCGACCAATTTAGGTAGCTGGAGCCTTAGGGAAAGCTAGGCTGCTGCATCCGTCGACTTCGCAGAGGATTCTGCTTGTGTCCTCCAGCTTTGGGTTCTTCTCTCGCAGAAAGCACAATAATACAGAAGCTGGCAAAGATGCCGGCGTATTTCCTGGGGCTCCTTAGTCGAATGATACTAAAACATACACTCCAAACCCTGTCCTAAGTTTCACGGCCCCTACTTAGAGGGTCGCGGGACTTAGTAAGTAGGTAGTAAGTAGACTTATAAGTACCCTAAAAGGGACCTTAATTGGGGTTAAGGTACTTATAAGTCCCTAAAACAACCAGTTACTAAGTCCCCCGACCCTCCAAGTATGTTACACAACCTTGTCCTTCGAACTGCAGCTGAGGTTTCCGGGCTTGAAACTTACTGGTCCTGGGAGCCATGGGGTCCGCCCGCTTAATATAGGTGCCTAAATACTTATCTCTACTATTTTCGGGTTTTTTGTTTTAATGATAATATAATTTGGGCACCAAAACCCTATATTCTGTTTATTAAGGCCCCTATATTAGCCTCAAGATTTCTTGACGACGGAGAAATTTCTCAGAGCAGGGTTTTGAGCTTAGGGCCTGGCGCTTAGGGTTCGGATCCAGGATGTTGGACCCGCCTTTACTCTGAAAGTGTTCGACAGTAGCAGTACCCTACCCCTGTTTTAGGTTGCCTAGTTTTATGGTTAGGATCTCCTATATAGAAAAGTAGATACCTTAAAAAAGTAGGGTATGAGCCTATAGGTACATGGCTGATACAGCTCGGTGTTTGGGATCCCTAGCCCAGTCGTGAAGGAGATGCCAAAAGCCCAAACACGCAGAGGCAGAGGCCGTGATACTGACGAAAGTACCCCAAATCCTAACTCCGGTATTGCCTCTATAGAAACCCTGAACTAACCCAAAACCCTAGGTCCAAAACCCTTGACCCTCCAAAAATCGTCGTTGGCTCACGCAACGACAGGAGACAGCCGAACTGAGGGTATTGGATGCCGCCACACTGCCGCTTGGTTTCCGGGCTTAGGGTGTAGTTTGAGGTCGGACCTCCACCCGGCGATGTGGGAGAAGTTGCAAAACATGAACGACTCAACGAAAAATTCAATCTCAGTTTTCAAATATAGCTTACGTAGCGGAATCATCACGAGACCTCCAGCTAAGAAGACCTCCCCTAAACCTCGAGACCTCCAAACCCAAAACCTCCAAACCCTAAGCCCCAAACCCTATAAACCCGAACCCTAAACCCCTAAAACCCTGACTGCGATTCGGACTTTGTCCTAACGTGGCTGCAGTTGAAGGACCCCTGGATTCCTGAACCGCTTTTTGAAGTAAACCTATAGTCTCCATTGTAGTTCTTTTTTAGGGTTACCTTTAAGGATCCTTACTATTAAATTTGTTTAATCCAAAAAAACGAACTACAATGGAGACGATAGGAAGGGTCTTTCAGGGTGTAGGGGTTTAGGGTTCCTGAAGGCTTATAGGGTTTAGGGGAAAAGGCTTCGTGAGGGCATGTGCAATGCAGCCCCTCCTCAAAAAGGGGTTTAGGGTCTAGGGTCAGAATAGGCGTCACAATAGTCTCTTCTGGCAGGTGGCTGTGAGGGTTGGATAACATTCTCCTGCATGTTTCGATAGCGTGCTTCGGAAGTCTCTCAGCAATATACTTGAGAGTGAGTCCAGGCAACATCAACGAACTTGATCTCAATCTCGAAACCCTGAACCGAAACCCTGAAAAGGCAAACTGGTCACGAGACTGGGTGGAATGTTGGCATTGGCCGAGGCCATGTCCATTGAATCGTTTCCAGCCGTGTTCATTCGCCATGCTATAGTGGATCTATATGAAGCTCTGAGGGCGACGAACGGTGCACAACCATAGGCCGCAGTCATGTGATGTTTGCTGTGTAATTGTTGTTTGTATTGTGTTGCTGAGTTGTCCAACGAGCATCCTTGTTGAACCGTTGCTGGCAGACCCAAGGGATAACACAGGCTGGGCCGAACCGACAATGGGAGTAGAAATCCCGAAGCCTAGGAATCTGCAGTGCGCCGTTGAGCATCTTGCCACAGATTTGGACTGCATAAAGTCTGTGGGGTTCACAGGTCTAGCAGGAAAGATTGATGAAATCATAATTCATGAAATCATATTGCTGGAGGTACTTCAGAGAGAGACTGCGTTCAATAAAGGGTCCTGAGATCCCGGTAGCTCGTGTTTGACGTAGCCTAGCTTAGGTTTATATCCTTGCATGAAACAACAAGGCAATATGAAAGTCCAAGGGTTTGAACAACTAGCAGGCAGCGCCCATTATAGTATCCAGATGCCAATACTGTAAGAAACTTCCAATCATTAAGGCCTCCTACATTAACCAAAAATGCAACACCCTAAGTCCTAAACGCAACGCAAATGTTGGGTGTTGCCTGGGTTTTGGGCGTTACGGGTTGAAAGTCTGCGCAGCAACCGCTGGTTTGCGCCTTGGTTTATTTGTTGAACAAAAACTGTGTTTCGTGACGGGCTAGGGCGGACTTCGTTGGCAAGTCGAAGTAAGGTGTCATAATGTGTTTTCAGAAACTTAGCTTGCGCTCCCAAGCGTGGCGAGCAGGTGAAGGTGGAGTGTTCGGGTGAACGATCGCGAGAAGGGCGTTGGAAGCCTTCCTTTTCATGTCGATGATGGGTGCTGGTGATGATATATATATATATATACATATATAATCGTGACGGTCATGGTGATGGTCACCCGTCACCGGAAGCCGGATGCTGTCGTCGCATGCTCCAGCCGAGGATCCCTACACGGGTGCCTCTTGGCTTCCACTGCAGCAGCCTGCCCGCAAGAAGTCGAACTCTTGAACATCTAGAGTTGTGATGCGGCGATCCCAGCTAGGGTCCTATATTATTGGTTTCGTCTTATGGCAAGCATATGGAAGCAATATGAGCACCCAGGGCTTTACACAACAGCAGAGAGCTGATACTTTTCTGAATTGTGTCGGGCTGCAAGTAGGAGAATCCTGCTTCGATCTCTGTCCCAAAATTAATAATATTAATAACAGCCTATCCAGCAAACCTAGTCTAGTTATTTTTTGTTATTATTACTAGTATCATTGTTGTTGCTATGGTTCTTATTCTCATAAACCCGATAACCCCTAAGCCTTTAAACCTATCATAAACCCTGCAGTCCCTAAGCCCTCGGTCTTTATGGCAATCGCTTCCCAGGCTTTGCGGCCGCGGGCTCCTTCGACCCCGGGGAAGTCTGAGGGATGCCTCTCCCTACTTGGAGGGTCGTGGGACTTAGTAAGTGGGTAGTAAGTAGACTCTAATTGGGGTTATGGTACTTATAAGTCCTTAAAATAACCAGTTACTAAGTCCCCCGACCCTCCAAGTAGACCCTCAAAAGTAGGCAAAATAATGGCCCAAAGCCTATAAACGGCTATTATTCTACATACTTTGGGGGTCCAGGTAGAATTCCACCCAAAAAATAGCGTGCAGCCTAGTACAGGGGCCTCAAAAAATAGAGGGGCCTTGATAGTTCCCGATAATATAGGGTTCCTAACGAAGGGTCCTGTAAGGGTACTATGATATAGGGGCCCTAACAACGCCAAGACAGTACGGATCAAGACAACCCACGCCAAACAGTCCCCTACCGATCAATGTGGCAGCAGCCAAAAATGTGCTGAGCCCTGGATTGCATCGAGCATCTTAGGCTTGCTCATATTTCGTTTAAGGAGGATCCAACAAATCGCAGCTGCGTGACATGGCAGAAGAAAAGCTCTTGCACCGCACTGACAAGAATTTTGCAATACGTTCATCCTCCCTTCGGTGATTCAGAAGAAAAGTAGGTGGCGCCAAGACAGATTTCTCAGGGATGGTGTTGGGTATGCACGGAGGAGGCCGCATTCCGGGAGTCTCGGTGTGTTAGAGCACGGTACCCATGTGTTCTGCAAGAGGATCATCCCACGGTTGAGCATGCACATTCAGCAACGACAAAATCCAGTCTCCCAGCACCGCAGCCAAACTGCAGCACAATTCCCTCGATCCTGTGATTTGCACTCCAGCCTTAAACCCTAAACCCCTAGTATAGGAGTTCTATCTGAATCTGCAGGCGGAAAAGAGCCCATAAAATACAAAAAAACTAAACCCCAAAAGCAAGCCCAAGCAGCCTCGAGTCGTTGAGTCTCATACACGAAGCACTGTCGAACGTTCGCGCTGAACTGAAGCCACATCCTGTAGCCCAAGCTATGGGTTAGGGTTTAGGGTTTAGGATCCCAAGCTCGTCAAGCCATCACTCTTGCATCAAGTCAACGTCCCCCACCACCGCTGGATTCCTGCAGTTTCCTAAATCTCACATGGTGCTCCTCTACACAGGTTGAAGGGTTCTTTAGGCTTATGTAAGTGTTTAGGGGTTACTTGGATCAGGGTTTGGGGTGCCCGCTCATGGTACTGATAACTGTACTTACAAAGAGAGGCAAGAGAAGGAGATAGGGAGAGAGAGAGAGAGAGAGAGAGAACAACGCCGAAACCCAAAAAAAACACATAGTTCAACCTGTGCTTCGGAAAACCTTTCAAGCCCTAAACCGTATACAGTTTTTTGCCCCAACCCACCTACATAGAGACGCATCGAGTTCTCACATCCTTAGAGGTCCCAGAGCAGCATAGCAGAAGCGGTTGCAAGAGCTCATGAGTTCAGAGTTTAGGGTTTTCGAGGTTTTCAGACTTTATGGTTCCCTTGTAGTCAAGCTGTTCTCGTGGTCCGATGATGGGTTCATTCAGGATCTACCTGGCCAACGAGCTCCATGGCAGGATATCCCTGACGAAGCACTTGGGCTGCAATGGGTCACGAGTGCCAGACTTGACCCTACCCGTAGGCTCCACAGTAGTTCCTTTTTGGGATGACCTTCTAGGTTTCTAAACATGAACTTCCAAAAGGAACTACTATGGAGCCTATATAGGCAAACCCTAAACCCTAGACTCCAGACGCCAAGCAGGAGGGAAAAAAGACTCTAGACGCTGCAACTATGGTCTTGGGCCGCAGCGCACAGCATTTGGGCACATGGACCCTTTGGCCCGAAGCCCGAAACGTAGGGTTTGGTTTCAGGTTGTTCCTCGATTGGCTGCATTCTTGGCCAGGGTTTCAGGTTCAGGGCATAGGGTGATAGGGTTTAGGGTGCCTTTCCTGGCTATGGTGTAGGGTTTAGGATTCAGGGGTTCGCTCCAACGTGTCATAACAAGCATGCTCTCCGTCTCCCGCCACAACAGGCACCGTGGCAATATCTCTGTCTAAAGTCTAAGGTTTGGGGCTTACTTAGCTGGGGCTTGAAGCTCACTACCTGGTAAGCAGAAGATACGAAGAAAGGAGATGACAAATATCCAGACCTTATAGAACCCTTGTGGATCCCGTAAAGGAGCCCTTAAAGGAGCCCTTAAAGGGACCCTTAAAGGGACCCTTAGGGTTCTACGATCGAAACCCCTGCATTTCTGAGGTCTCGGGCTTCCATGAAGCACAACGGCCGAAGCCTCGATCTGGCCATGGCCTTCCCAGAGACTCCGATATCCCATACCTTCAACCAGGGTTCCTTTAAGGGATCTATAAGGGATCTATAGGGTATAGGATTTAGGGTACTTGCGCCATGGATTTGAGGGCTTCGAAACTACTTGGAGGTTCATGGGTAGATATAAGTGGAGCTATAAAAAGTTATAAAAATCCCTAATATGGGCTGTAACTCTTTACCCTACTTATTTGACAGTGCTTGTACCCCCCAAAGCATACACAATAGGAGGTTATGACCCCTCAATCGGGAGATACAACCCTTCAAACGGTAGGTTTTTGGATCCCCCGGTAGGGCTTTCGGGTATTCGGGGGTGCCTCAACGCCGTCGACGTTTCGAGAGCGCGAGTGACGGCTTCCTCGAAACCCTCAACCCCAAAGCCTATAAACCCTATACACCCTAAACGCTGTAAACCCTAAACCCTAAGCCCAAATGCTAAACTAAATCCCGCGAAGAACCCATTGAACAACAGAACATTCGAGCGTCGCCTGCCCCGATGAATCGCATCACGTAAGCAGTGTTTGTGTCACCGCGAATGTAGTGGATTATGCCTCAAGCCCCAAACAGTAACACTCCAGAAACCACAAAATTCCTCGAAACCCCGAAGCCCTAGAGACTGCAAATCCTAAGCTTGAAATCATCCCAAACCCCGGATCTTGTCATTCTAGCGCGTTAGGTTTTTCGAGAGCGAGGATAGAACCTCCCATACAGCTGGCCTTTAGGGTCTGAGGCTAGTGCATGTGGATTTCTACCCTACGTTGTACTGTAGGTCCTTTTGGTAGCGAGCTTGCTTTCGAAGCCAAAACCGCAAGATTGGCTGGCCGTGAAAGGGAGGTATAATTGCCTAGCTAAGGGGAGTTGGGACCAGCTTCAAGACTTGGTCGGGTGAGAGAGCGTACTGACATCGCCGAAAGTTCCAGCAAAAACACCGTTTTTGCCTGCGGCAACGTGACCCCAAGGGAACTTCGCGGTGGTTTCGCGAGGGTTCTCGACCCACAGCTTGGAGCCGACAACGGGCTGAAACCGTGTCAGAATGACAAGAACGAGAAGCTTCAGGCGAAACTCAAGGCGGTAGCTCTCGAAGTCGATGCAAGTCACTCTGCGGATACCGAGAACCAGAAGAGGGCGGCTGCCAGCGGCGCTGGTTGGCGTGGATGGTCCCGGACAGGCTAGGGAACTGTTCGCTGCAACGGACGGCGCACCAGTGGGTGATCTTGGCGGAAAGCAGGGGCTCCTGTCTGTCGAAGCCGCACGGCGTCGTCGTGTTCAACGTGCTCTTCGCCGACGGCAAGCCCAGGCCAAGAAGTAGGGAATTGAGAAGATAAAGCTTGCTGTAATCCCTGGATGTTTGCGGTGGGGTCTTGGCGGGCTACTAAGCACGACATATCAGTGCCTTTGGTGGGAATGCAAACCAGGGGTTGTATCACGCATTCTTGCTCGAATGTAGGTTCGTGTGTATTGTGTATTTGTGCAGGTGTGCAAAATGTAAACCCTAAGCCGCCTAAACCCTGAACTGAAAGCCAAAACGCTCAACTTAATCCCTACCCTAAGGCTCCTGGACCCTCGTAGTGAGATACCAAACCTTAGCCCCAAAGCCCAAACCCTTTCCCCAGACAGTCCATGACCCCTTTCGGAGCCTTACGGTACACCCGAACCCCCCTGTAGCTTGTTGGTTCACGTCTGAGTTCTGAGTTCAAGTCGACTGACGAGTCTTGTAGGCTCTGACGTCGTAGGGGCTTGGGGGCAACAGAGGGTCCTTCAAGAGTCTGTCTCTATAAGGGTACTATAAGGGTCTCAGGGTTTAGAGCTGGTGCTCCCAGATCTAAGCTCTGAAAGTCAGTGATGATTTTCGCTTACTACTTGATCTTTCTTTGGCATCTAAAGCCTCAGGGTTTACACCCGAAGCCTCAAAGCCTAAACGTCAAAACCTGAAACCCCGAAGCACGAGCCGGGCTGTGCAAGGTCTTGTCTTCAAGCATAGCCTCCGCTTCTACAGGCGCGGGTAAAAGGGGTTTAGGGTCAGGAATCTGGGCCGACTCCTAACATTCAGACTATACTTGTAGCCTTGGTTTTCCTCAATAGTTGCTGCGTGTGTGGTTTACACTGTATATTGTTAAGCCCAGGGATATTACACAAAACATTCGTACTCATGGTGTCACGGCCAAGGGGGTTTGAAAATAGTCTCGAATGAAGTGGGTTGTAGAGAATTGTTAACTTGGTGGACCGACACAAGGAACGCAATAGAAACTGCTGGTATGATCTACATCCCTGGAACTATCACAGAACTCCTTATTCAGTTGCTGTTGAAGAGAAAGATACAACACATCCCCGACGTGTTCGAGGAATGTGTAGGGTGGAGGGAGGCCGGTCCCGAATGCATACAGGCAGCCCGAAACCTACACCAGGGTTGCATATGCATGATGCAGGCCCATGCTACGCACTACTACCCCACTACCCTACCCTACCCTACCCTACCATCCCACCCTTCTGCCCTACCCTACCCTACCCTACTACCCCACCCTACTACCCTACCCAACCCTACCCTACCCGAGACTGCACGTGACATGCCCGGTCAGCAGGAATGCAGCTGGGAGCCTGATCAAGGCCGGCAAGGCAGGGCGGCAGCAAGAGAGGGTGAGTTGGATGTGCAGGGTTTAGGGTTTAGGCGTTTAGGGTTTAGGGGTTTAGGGTTTATGGGTTTAGGGTTTAGGGGTTTAGGGTTTAGGGTTTAGGGTTCATAAACAAATCGTCCTCATTGCTGTTTAAGAATTTGACAGAATCGGAACGGAGAAAATGCAGTTGTTTCGCAGTGATAGGAAGTGCGGATGGGTCCACAGCTGCCGGCACTTGCACTTTTATTCGGATAGACTCATTCATTAGCTGAAAAAGCCCCCAGGATAAATAACCCGGTAATCAGGGGATGTTGCTTGACTCGAAGATGGATTCTTTCGATGATGTAAAGCCTTGTCCAGTAGCCTTGCCCTTACCTGTATCCTACAAAATGGTTGGTTATGACCCCTTTCATTAGGAGGTAGAATCCTTAATGAAGTGGGCCTTGCAAGGCTCAGACAGTTTCTGACATGATGGCACGCTGGAGCTCTTCGGAATGGTGGCTTCCCTTCTGGGTGTCTGCAGAATGGAAGTAAATCGCGTTTCACTGAGGCGTAGTTTTTTCTGAGATGACGTCTTCTCAAGGTCAAGGGCTGCGCTTCATAGGAAGGTCTTTCAAAGAAAATGTGATCGCATTGTTCTGAAACTCCCATAGATCGAAGGCAGTTCCCGGGAGATCATCCATGCGAGCTTGCACTGACGGCTCAACCAGGCTTTGTGATTTTTAGGATGCACAAAGGCCTCTACTGTCAGTAGCTTTGCCGCCGAATTTCGCTTTTGCGGCCTTTCGTGCCGGCCGGTGGCGCAGCATGGCAGCCTGGCTTGCACGGGGACAAATGCTAGGCATGGGGTACTGCCCCCACTCAGTAACAGTTGGATAATATTCTTAATATAGATATATACGGACCTTAATAGTAGCCCGGTTATAGACTGTTACTGTAACTGTATGGGGGCCGTACCCAAGCTAGGCATGCAGCACAAGGGCTGACACTAGTCATGGGCCCCAAGGTAGTTCCTTTTTGGGTTTCATATTTAGAATCCGATAAGCTAATCCCAAAAAGGAACTACTACGGGGCCTATGGGTAGTCATGGGATGTGTCCTTTTTTGTGCCCTCGTAAACCACTGCGGCCTCCAACCCTTTGATCGCGAATCCCGACAATGATCATTTAGTATAAGGGATAGTTACCAATATTATTCTGTAAGAGGGTCCTTTAATGTAGTTCTACAATCGTATACACTATTCGCAATTATTCCTCAAAGCCGTAGAAACGTCCCACAGCATAGCCAGAAGCCGAAGTGCCTAGCAGTAGTGTAGGGAACCTTTAACCTTTTTGGGGTAGTACAGTCCCTATATAATCCCTATATAACCAAAAAGGTTAACCTTTAGTTCCCCACGATACCCGACAGTAAGCCCTTAATCCAGCCTTTGAAGGGTTACTATAAGACTATAAGGGTACTATAAGGGTTCCTTAAAAAGGACACAATAAGGGTTTGGGGTTTAGGGACCGTAAGGTGACTGAGGAAGGCTCTGCCAGGGAGCTTCGCTGCCGGCATACACTCCAAGTCCGTGCTTAAAAAGGGACAAGTAGGACAGGTAGGTTAGGGTGCAGGGTTTAGGTTTTGGATTTGGCAGGGATCTGGGTTCACATAATAGGGCTCATATTCAGGAATCCCTACCCCAAGAATCTTAACCCCCCCTAGGCCCTTAATCCAGCCTTTGAAGGGATACTATAAGAGCATAAGGGTACTATAAGGGTTCCTCAAAAACGGCACAATAAGGGTTTCGGGTTTAGGGACAAGTAGGAGTGCGAATCCGCTCCGGAAGTCCGGGTTCCCAGACCCCCGGGAGGATCCAAAAAGTAGATCTCTGAATGGGGGTTCCTTTAGGGGTTCGTTTAAGGGTCCCTTTAAGGGATCTACAGGGTTTTAGGGTTTAGGGTAGATCCCTTAATGGGGGTTGCTATAAAGTACCCTCAGTAGTATAGGGCTCAAAATTAGGGGATCTACTTTCTAGATCCTCCCGGGGGCTGGGTTGGTAGCACTCGACTAGATATAACTCCAAGCCCCTGAGCCATATAGGTCCCTAAAGCCCCAAACCGTTTGGGGCGAGGGTGTAGGTTGCTGCATGCTTGCAGTCGCGTTTCTTGAGGCAGTCAGTTTTTTAATTGGAGCTTCCAGGGTGCCCAAATTAGAGGGCTTCGAGGAACTTAGAGTCATGAAAGATTATTGGTGGGGCGGTATCTTAAAATGCGTTAAAGACCCTATCAAGTTGCGTTTCATATAGCTACATTTATTCCTGGTAGTCTGAAGCCGCCGAAGTCGTGTCAGCCTGTTCGTCGACCCTCCCTAAGCCCTAGACTACCCTGCACCGCTGTTCTAGTAGCATAGGGTGGAAAACGGGGTTCAACTAACAAAAACGAGGTCAGAGCCAGATGCAGTCCAATGTCGGAGCGATGCTCCCGAAGGGTTTAGGGTTTGGGGTGCAAGCACAACCAAGCATATATAGAATCATCAGGATGACAGTTCCAGAAAAAGACTGATGATCTAAGCAGAGAAACCATCGAATGGTCTCGGAGCTCAGGGGAAAGAGCGCCTCATACCCCTTCTTCTGGCTGTGGCTGTGCTGTGGCCGGAATTTCCCAGACTGTGATCGGTCCTGGGCTGACGTATGCGTGCACAAGTAGGGTTTAGGGTTTACGGTGTAGGGTTATCATCAGCGTTGCCTTGCCTAGCTATGGCAGAGTGATTGCTTCGTGCTTCAACCCTAGAGGATTTGAGGCTTTGGTGTTGGAGAGCTGCCTAGTCGAACTTCGGCTTCTCATCGCACATTTGCCTTGGGGCCTAAACCGTACCTGTAGTCTCCAACGCAGCTCCTTCCTAAGACTCCTACGGCCCCTGACTCTACAGATCCTCGAAAACCCCCTAAACTCCTCACTCCGAAACCCTGAACCTGGCTTCAAGATTTGGTACAACCTCTCCAGGCCAGGCGGTTCGGCAATCCACCGCCCCCTCCATGAAGAAAGCGGTGTAAATGTTATGGCTGAATTAAATGCTTAGTAACATGGTTTTAGGGTTACTGAATCCCACTAGAGTACAATACACGCCAAAACCCTTCTCCAATTCTAAACCCTAGCTAAGGTTTAGCACTGCGCATCGTTTAGGTGGTGAGCCCACTTAAAGTCTCCTGCAATGTAGCCATTGAGGAAGGCGCACTAGGGGTCATTCTTAATTCTTCCCGAGTCCCGATAATAGGGATCCGACTTCGGTTCCATTGTTCTGAAAGTGCTTCTTCGTCTTTGCGTCGCAGGGGATAATCAGGTCCTGTACAACGCTGGCGCGGGCGATACCTCCAACGACGATGTCGCGACGGCTTTGAGATCCGAGGCCAGTACGCTAATCCTTAGGGTTGCTTGTACAGTAGGTGAACACAAGTAGTGGGTTTCGTTTGTTGCGTTTTCATGTCACTTTTATCGAAGTGTACTAATCTACAAGAGCTGTTTAAGATATGACCCCCGTGAGGGTGCTTACTACACGTAAACGCCATCAACAATACATGAGTACATATATATATATACACACACACGCAGACCCAGCACAACCCCCTTCCTCATATGGTTTTCGATCAGGAGCAAGGGGTACGTCTTCAAGCTTGCTGGTGGGTTGAGCTCCGGCTTTGGTGACTTAAAAATAGATGAGCCCTGCACACTAAACCCTAAACCCTCAACCGTTACTTGGAGGTCCCAGCTGCCAAACATTAAGGCCTGGACCAAACACTCTTGGGGCTCAGTGAAGGAATCAGGGGACTAGCAAACTGGCTACCAGTAGATTATCAGCAGGAGAACCCCACTTAGGGCACTTAGAACTGTAATTCTGTATAACCTACTGACGCAGTCTGTTCTTGCCCCATTGGCGAGCCAAACCCTCTAAACTCTACAAGCCCTAAGCGCGAATCTGGCTTGGTTAAAGGGTTGCTTCGACGTCGGTTTGAGATTTACTGGAAGAGGATATCCAGAATTTCCGACCCTGGACTCTATATCCCTCTTCCCAGAAGTAGAGCAAGTAACCTCTAACCTTTTCGGGAGGTAGCATAAGCCCTAAGCCTATATAAACCCAAAGGCTTACCTTTAGTTTCCTGTTGTAATGAACAGGCAAGTCTGTAAAGCCGTATCCTACAATCATACTTTTGTAATAGAGAAAAGTGATAACAACGGTCATCCGAAACCTTAGACCCATAAACCCTCTGACCCACCTTACACCCTAAACCCCAAAAGCCAAAACCCACAACTAGCATCCTAAACCCTAATCCCTAAACACGTTAGTATCACACGACCTTGCACCGAGAACCTCGCCTGGCATGTCCGAGTCGTCAGAGCGTAACCCCCAAAAGTGTGTTTTACTTCTTAACCCTACATCCTAAACCCTAAACCCCTGAAGTTTATTCAAGTTGTCTTACATCCTGAACCAAAGCTTTGGAGGAAGCCGACTGCCCAGAAGCTCTCCGGCTCCTCCAGCGCCGGCAGCGGCGCAGCGAATTGGAATGCAGTCAGCGGCTTTGGGGAACTAGGACTTTAGGGCTTAGGATGTAGGGAAGTACGTAGGAGTTTATAGTGAACATGGATTTAGGATGATTCATGCTGGGTTTCCCTTTACTTTACCTTAAGGGCATGAGGCTACTGATGTTCCAACTTTTTGGCTTCTACTGTAAGAGCTTTAGGGAATTCATTATGAGACTTTATGGCTCCGTGGTTTGGGAAGATTGGGGTCTAAGGCGGGTGTTTTTTAAGTTTAAGGGTTTATTGGTTTTGCACTTGGGGCTGCAAACCAAGGCTTCGTGTTTTAAGCTTACGATGGCATTTCTGTTTGTGTAGGTTGAGATTTCGTTGGTGTTTGCTTTGTTGGTGGTGTTGGCGTACGGCGAAGGCTAAGGCTTGGCGGTGGTAAGCATGCAGTGAGGCTTTTGGGTGTAAGATTCAGGGTTTAGTAATTTATGGCTTAAGGTTTAGGATCTTGTGAATTATGGGCGGCGCACCCTAACTTTTCCAGATGCAGCAAGGCAGGGGTCTGAACAGCAACATTGTCCATACCGTACGTGCACGGTAATGTGCTTAAACATCCTCTTCGTCTTGTTCAAGACCCCTATAGCGATTTAAACTTAACTGTGTTCCCGATGTGTACCCCAAGTTACCCCAACAGAGGGAAGCTGCAGGAATGTTGCCTTTTGCAGCCAAACCTTCCAAAGCTTTAAGACTTTGCAAACCCCATTTCAGCCTAGTTACTCGGGCGGGGGTTTGGGGATGTTTGGGGTGCAGGGTCAGTTCTTCAAAGAACAATGAGGATAAACCAGATAAGTTCATGATAATATGTAAAAACAAGTACACAGATGCACATGTACTCTCTTTGTTATATTGCATATATGTATGAGTATGTATATGTTAAAACCGTGTATTCGTAAAAAAAATATTGCCAAACATTGAGGTTCTATAAGTCAAAGTATATATGTATGTGTAGGTATATATATATATATATGTATAGATATGTTGATTTTTTGTGCGATCTTCAGATCTTCCGAAGGATTGAATGAAGCCTACAGTCGAACCTGAAGCCGAACCTAAAAATCATTCCGCGAGAAGGCTTGGAGATGGCTGGTGACACAGACCTGGCTCAGGCTGGAGCAGTGGATTGCTCCAGCGTGGAGATCTTGGATTTGTTTCTTGGATCGACTCCAGGGTTGCCTCTTCCTGCCGTCATTAAGGGTGTTGGGTTTCCGCCAAGGGTTGGGACAGGCCACCCTTATTGTCTGTCTGAAAATGTTGTCAAACGCCCTGAATCCTGGACCTTGAACCCCAAACCGAAAAAACATGTGGGCCTGAACAGGCAGCAATATGGTTCCCTAGGCCTCCCTATTGCAATTCTACCATGACTATAACGCACCACCCCATTCTAAAAATCAAGACTCCCATCTTCTAGAACCCTTGTACTTCGCAATCCTTATGGTACTTAGAGGTCCAAGGGAGTTACAATTGGGTTAATAAGTAAGGTAACTATAGTTATAACCCATAAGGGGACTTATAACCCCACTTATAACTACCCATGAAACTCCAAGTGACCCTTTCAGACCCTTAAACCCTGTAAACCCTGCACCTTGAACCCTGACCAGGCTGACCAGGTACCGACGTGGGATAGTGTTTTCTAATTTCCTTCATTGTTTACAGATCCCTACCTAGTAGAGTGCAACCTTTAACTTTTTTTGGGTAGTATAGTCCCTATATAATAATCCTTATATGCTTCTATAACCAAAGAGGTTAACCTTTAGTTCCCCATGATACCCGACAATTAGGCCTAAATACAATACAAGCAAACATTGGAGGACTGTTGAAGCCAACACCCAGCTGAGGTCCGGCAGTCGGATTACTCGCTGGCCCTTCCGGCCGGGACAAAGTTGCCCTCAGCTACAAAACCTTGACTTGTCCGACAACCTCCTGCAGGACAATGGGTGAGTGTTTGTGTGGGTGTGTTTGCTTTTTGCAGTTTCCGAATTCAGGCTTCAGCAGGGTTAGATAGGGATTTCCGACTACCTCCAGACACTGGGTGTCCATCAGGATTCTACAAATTGTTGTTGCATGTTTGTTTGTGTCGGTGGCAAAGGTTGAACTTTGGAGGGCCTACTGTAGGCAGGTCAGGGTTTGGGGTGTCAGCATCGAATTCTGGTTAAGTTTTCGATTTAGGGTTTAGGGCCTAAGGGTTTTGGATGTTCCTCTTCAATGCTACAACATAGCCCGGCACGTGACAGGATGTTTGTTTCGGCTTCAGGTTTGTAAAGAGCCAGCAAGCAGAGCAGACTTACGCTTATCAGTCCTGTAGCCGCCCTTGAGCGACATATGCTCAAAAAACCGCAACGTTTAAAGTAGGGCTTTTGGAAAAGATTTCAGACAGCGTGTATTCAGCTGCTTCAACTGGGAGTGTATGTTCTCGGTTTTATCAGTACAAGGATACAAGCAGTTGCAGACAATTTTGACTTGCTTCACAAAATGGGGCTTAGTGTCAGAAAATAGGAAGTCATCACATAGAGCCCCGTCCGTACCATAAGGACCCCCCAGTGGAGCACAACCATAAATTTAAGAAAAACACATACACCTCTGATCCTAAGCCCAAACCGCCCAAACCCTGAACCTACCCAAAGCCCCACGTTTTTCTTCTCAAACCTTGCATTGCATACTGAGTCCTTGCTAGGCGAGAGGCAAAAGCAAAACTGAACCAAACCTACACCCCTAAACTCTGAACCCAAATGCCAAGAAGGAGCTTCCGGACGGCGCTTTTGTCGGCATGCCCAATCTAACCGTCCTCCGGCTCGCCCACAACGGCTTGATGGAGTTTCCGCACCGTGGTTTAAGATTCGGATTGGGGGATTAGTAGAGGGTTTAGCTTTTAAAGTTCACGGTTTAGGATTTGGCGACAGCTGTGCCTTTCGAGAGACTGCTGCAAACAGGGTTTGGAACTAGGATTTAAGGTCAGCGTCAGGACTTCGGATGTGGGTACAGTAGGTAGCCTTTTACCCTTTTTGATATATCCCAGGCAACTGCAGAAGTCTTCAATAAACCGGCGAACTACACAAGTCAGGAACATGACGGGCTTGAGATCTCTCTGGGAGTTGGACCTGAGCTCCAATGCCATCTCCTCGATACCTGCGGGAGCTTTGTTCGACAATCCCGAGGCACATTCAGGGCTGGTTTGCTCTTAGGCTACTATGTTTAGATCTTATGAGATACGTTACAAGGTTGATTGGTTTCTATAACTCTACCTACAGTTTCGTTTCCTCTATGTTCCTGCCTCCAACTATGTACCCAAACCCTTAAGCCTTAAACGCTTCTTAAAGTAAGATCTATAAGCATTCTCGAAACTCCTCTGACCTGGGCACGACGCCCCTGCCGCACCTCTGTGAATGCCAACTTCATGTCAACCAATTTCAACAACCCAGATACAGAATCCCGCTTTTGCACATCCTTGACTATAGACTTATACATAAGGCAACCATACCAACAACTAGTTATAACCCCAGCTAAGGTATTTGTACTTCCACTTACTAAGTCCCAAAACCCCGCCAAGCAGGTGGTGCATCTGGACCTGAGCCGGAACGAGCTCAGTGACCTGCCCAGCTCCGGCGAGTGGCTGCCCGAGTCCAACGTCCTTAGCTACCTGACGGTCGCTCACAACCGGATCAGCCACCCGGTTTACCTCGGGATCCCAGAGACTGCTATTCTGTAGGGCTTTGAGAGTTTAGGGTCCTGGCGGGCTAGACCCCAGATGAGATGTTTCTTCACGGGTTCAAGGATTCTAGTCGGAGAAGCATGGCACAGCAAGCAGACTCCGGACCATGGCACAGCCTTCTGCTATGACGGCTGAGTGTCTAACACTCAGAAGCCATACAGAATCGGCGCCCAGGGCTCGAAACTTCAAGCAGATTTGGTGGTAGGGCCTGAAGCGACTGAAGAGGATCTTACAGTTACAAGCATGCTGAATCTTATCTCGGTGGTGTTGAAGCCTTCCCAGCCCAGAGCATTAGCAGAACCGCCACTGGCGCGTGAAAGTATTAACACGATAAGGCTGAAACTGAACCCAGTGCCCTCACCATAGTCGCTGATTTCCCATAGTGTGCAAGGCTGGGGCAACTGAGTTTCGTATGTAATGCGGCTGGCATGTTCATGTATCCCGGACGAGCATGCGCCCATTCTTCCTTTATTTCCGTAGAACGAGTTCCAGCATGCCCGAATCTTCAAGCAGCTACTATCGGGTAGGGATGAGTCCCAACGGATTCCCTTATGGTCCTTTGTTTCCTTAATCTCCCGCAAAACCTTCTGCTATTCATTCAAGCCCTTAAATTTCGGAACCCTTCTACCAATACTTAGTGTCGCGCTTAAAGAACGATGAATGGAACCCTTTTCTGACTAACGAGGCCCCTACGGTATAGAATCAGTAAAGGGAACCCTCTTCTAATTGGTTATTGGGGCCCCCGTATTATGAAAGTATTGACCCTGCAAAGAAAACCCTACCGGAACCTATTGTAGTTACTAAGGACCCTATCAAGAATAGAGCTGTTGTTGTACCCGTTTCAAGGAATAAAGGATGGCCCCCCCTTCCTTGCAGGCTCTCTTGGAGACGCGTTCCTTCGGGGATTTGAGGATCTGGACTGGCTGGACTTGAGCGGGAACGGCTTAATGATGCTGGATCCCGAAAGATGGCAGCACAAAGGAGCTTAAGCAAAACAAAAGATGGCAGCACGGATTTGCCGGATTCGGGAACGGTTTGATTATCCTGCGAGGGGTTGATTGATAGTCTGATAGCAGGGTAAGGACTTGTGTATTGGTCATGCTGCTGCTGGTGGTGGTGGTGGTGGTGGTCTTGGTGGTGGTGGTGGTGGTGGTGGTGGCAGAAGATGCAGGATTGGTATTTGGTTGGATTGAGTGTGTGGCAGAGGAATGAGGATGGGATTGCGCTGCATTGTGGTGCTAATACGATGCCTTGCTTAAGGCTTAATCTACATGCGTTGAATCCTTGCTTGCCTGCCCCAACTCAGGAATCTTTTGCGGGAGTAGAGGACTTGGACAATCTTCTTCTCATCGGCAACCCGTACCACGGCATCAATTTGAGAAAGTGTTGAAGTTGTTCATGCAGTGTTGGCTTTCGGTTCGTCAAGGATACATGTGCATGCAAGGTTTGTAGTCTCAAGATGCCATTACACTTAGATAGCCGATGGGAGAACTTTATTGCTTTTGGCATTTTACATGGGACCTCTCTTCAACAAAAAATTGAAACCCTAAACCCTTCGGTCCGGTTATGGAAAGAGTATACGAAGGTCTTGGTCTCCTTGGAATCACCATAGGGATCCTTAGGGGTGTAGGGGGAGGGGGGGGTAGGGGGCCTTAAGGCCCATAATAAGGACTAATAAGGCCTATTTAAGGAAATATAGTCCCCTACACCCCTCCCCCCTACACCCCTAAGGATCCACGGGGTCATTTGGTCGTACTGTTGTCGGGTCATCCAGAGCCGGGTTGCTTCCGAAGTCTTCGAAGTTCTCCTCTACCTGTGGCTCATACCCTACCCCTTTTTTACAGTAGCTGCTTGGCTATATAACAGATCCTAGCCATAGAAGCTTAAATGACTGCCAAGACGATTCCGCGGGGTTCCTTTGTTAGCTTGTTTATACCTCAGCTACTATACCTCAAATCCTGTTCTAAATCCTATTCCGGCCCCTGCAAAGTAGGGTCTCGAGTTTTGCATTCGAGGGACGTTTTGCGCTGCAGGCTCGGCTGCCGACTCCCTCTTATTGCGACCTGCTTCTGTCCTGGCGATTGCTCTGCGAACACTACACGCGAGGCAGCAGAGGAGGGGGATGAGGAGGATGGTGAGGACGAGGATGAGGATGAGATTGACGACGGGCCTTTGATAAAGGTTCCTGCCTCCTGGTGCGAACTGCCACTGTGCATTTCCAAGCGTTCCGTCAACTCGAGCAGCAATGCCTCCGTCGCCAGAGCCGAGCGGGAGACGTTTGGAAACAGCACATCTGGCAGTGCAGTCGGGAATGTTTCCAACACCACCTATGTGGCCGCGAAGAGCGGAAGCAGTCTCAACAAGACATCCGCCAGCGTAACTGGCGGCAGTTCAAACACTACCTACGTGGAGGCAAAAGCCAAAAGCTCTGGAAACAGCACATTAGCGAGTAAAGCCGAGAACATATCCAAAAGCCTGGATGTGGATGCTCAAGCCAAAGGCATGCGCACGAGGACACATCCTATTCTGTAGATACAAATGTTGGCAACCTCTCCCCGAATGGATCCAGACTGGTCCTGCAAATTGGAGGTCCAATGAGGCAAAGATTCCCTCAGAGATCTGGCCCCTCAGCCCTAAAAGCCTTTAGCACAAGACACTATACACTATAAACCCGCAACCGCTGCAGCTGTGGCCCAGTACATGCGCAGCGTTCTGAAAAGCACACGTCGCCGCGCAATAGCCGCGAGCAGGACAAGAATCGACGAGAAGCCCCGGACGGAAAAAGTTGCCATGTAGGGGTTTAGGCACTTCCCATCAAGACTGCACATAGGTTTGGATTCAACCTGGGCTTAGGGTACAGGTCTCAAGGCTTATAAGGATTCAGGCTTTGAACCACGTCCACTCACCAAGAGCTTCCATTTTGCTAGAACCCAAGGCAGAAGTTGAAGTTCGAAACTCCCAAACCTGAGTTGTCCTTTGAGATGTTTCTCAATTTTCCCGATTATTTCGTAGAGAACCATAAAAGGCAATAATTGTCAAAGGGCTTGAAGGCCAACTCAGAAACTTGCTGACTGTGATGTTCAACTCGGCTTCTTGCCCAAGTTGCGAGTGTCAAAACCACAAGCCTCATCGACATGCACCTGTCCTTTGATGCTTCCGCACCTTGCAGTACAAGAGCGCCAGAGCCCCTTAGTCTAAACCGACATTACCACAAGGTAACGAAAACACGGCACTGAATGGAAGGGTGGATATGTAGAATAGTTCCCATGCCCACCCTGAACCCCGATCCCGAAAGCGTCACCTCAAAGACTGGAGGGCTCCACCTACCTGCATGACGCAGCCCTCAACAAGGCTTATGTAGCATGATCTTTTGGTCGATATGGGTATACTGTTGCCCCAAATTTATGCTTAAAAACTCTAAAGGCCAAATCCCCTAAAACCCGTGTAAAACCTGCGCCGCCACATCCCCAAAACCTACACCCCAGCCGCAGGTCTACAGTGCGGCTACAAAGATTCCGAAGGAAAAGGAAGGAGAGGCATCAGCAGACGCAGGCCGAGTAATTCTCTTCCCAAGGTGTAGGATTTAGGGATCCTCTGTTTGTTTGTTTGCACACGCTCTGTAGGAATCGCCATGTAGCTATATAATATGTTCTGGACCCGGTATGATAAAAACCTTATGTGGTTAGTAGACATGTTGACATACTTTGTGCATGCTGGGTGTACGAGTCTAATCATGTCTTCTAGGTGTATCCCTAAGGGTCCATGTGCCCGACTAGCATATGCTTCGGCCCCTGAAACAACTTTTGCATAGTATAGCCCAGAATCCTATTCTATAGCTACTAACTGACGAATGGCTGATTCAGGCTCCCCTAGAAAGGTGTTAGGTTAAGGATGATTGAGGGGGGTTCCTCCATGTCCGTCTTATTTGTGGTGGCTGTGCACACGATTTGAGAGTTTAGGAGTTTACGAAGTGTGCTAACATGCTTGCTAGTCTTGTTCTAGTATGACTACCACGACTTTCATGAACCTCACTGCTACTATGGAGGCTGTAAACGAGCTTCTCAATGTCGATGCAGTGTCCCCAGGCGAAAGGGCGACAAAAAGATAGACCTGATCTTCTAAGGGTTCTGTGCCCGGGAGCTTATTCTTAAGAACTTATCCAATGCAGGGTCGACGGCATTTCGAGCGCCTCTTCCCGATGTCTACATAAGTAGCCGCAGAGCCGGGTCCCTTGTTCTATAGGTTGGCAGCTTGGAAACATTCTTGGGCTCCGAAGTAGATCAACCCGTCTCCACCCAGATGTACAGTACAAACCCAGCGAAAACCTTGACTAGCAGAGGAGGGAATTACGGTGCCATGATGGGCAAGGAACATGCTCGCGCAGCTGAACTCCAAAGCCGAAGTTGCCCAGAAACCCCACGCCGCAAGCCACGAGCACCCCAATAAACAAACTTCCTGCCGTGCTGGAAAGGCGAAGCTTCTGTTCCGGAGGAGCAAGCGCAGGAGGTCAGCTCGGCCCAACCTTGGGGCTCTAAAGCCTAAAGCAGGTAGGTACATATATATATATATATATATATATATATGAATATCGATCTATCTCTCTCTCTCTCTCTCTATGTATCTATCTCTCTCTTTCTCTCTCTCTCTCTCTCTCTCTCTCTCTCTCTCTCTCTCTCTCTCTCTCTCTCTCTCTGCATATATATATATATATATATATATATTCATGTGTAGACTATAGGGCCCGCCCAAAGTAGGTACTACCTGCATACTTGGAGCCCAAGGGCAAGATGTGAGCTGCACCTTTGACTTCGGGTGTAATCAGTGTTTTAGGCTCGGGTGCAGACATTAAAATTAAAATGGAGGGACAACGGTACTTCTACTTGGTACTAAGCCCTCAAAGTAACCTTTAGTCTAGAAAGACCTTAATATTCGATGTCATGGCAGTTTAAACTGTGCCAAGCCCCTTCGTTTTCAACCTGTATAGTAACCCTTCATTTAAACGAGCCCTTAAGGCATGCTACTCTAATCGCGACATGTCCCTACATTGAGACTTCCGAGGTCGAGGCAGCGATGGAGGATGCTCTTCCCAGTTTTCTGCAAACTGCGTGGGCCTACGTCGTCCGCGACATCGACAAGACGGTGCGCCGCCATGCGGTTAGGGTGTAATTACAGGGTTTATAGGGTTTCTGAGCTCTGTGTTCCTAGATGAGTTGCCGGGACTTTTGCTCATTTGGCTAGGGTCTAAGGGTTTAGGGGTTTAGGGTTTCGGCGATCCTGCTGAGCGCTAGCAGGCCCTAGCACCCGAACCCTCGACGGATGTTGGACGTTGAATGACTGAAGCTGACCGGTCATCAGACCTTCATCTCGGTTCCATCCTAGCGGAGGCCAGAAGATAGTATTTGATTAGCAGGATCCGTGTTATAATAAGACCCCCAAATCCCTTATTTTCATTCCGAAGCTCGCTCGACCTACCCTAAACCCTAAACCCCAACATGAGGTACCCCTTGCTTCAATTCCGAAGCTCGCTCGACCTGAAACTCTTGCATGCCGACCCTGAAACTAAACACCAGGCATCCATGCCGGAGAGTCCCTTTGGATCAGTAATATAGTGGCCTTAACAGTTCCCTATAAAAAGGGTTCCTTCAAAAAGGGTCCTATAAGGGTACTATGATATAGGGGCCTTAATAATTGCCTATCATACTATTCTGGGGGTTTCTGATTATATGTATCCCCAAAACCCTGTTCCAATTATTAAAGCCTGTATATGAATGTCCTGACAGCTTTGCGCATCCCGCTGATGGTTTTCTCTTGTGGTGTCCAGGTTCGGCAATGTGAACGCAAGAAAACAGCTGCATTCAAAAGTCTCGGCTGAGGAACAAGGTTCAAGAACGAAGCCCGTGTCGAAGTGAGTGCTCTTTAGTCGACAAGACAAGAACGACCCAACACGATGCAGATGTGCTGCAAGTTTTGTAAGTACGAGATTCCGGGCACATGACTCTTTGCGATGTGGTTGATGTTGACCTGCGTGCTTGGGGTTTTAAACGCTATGCGTACCATGTAAAGCTTGACTGAAGACCAGAACCCCAAAGCCAAAGCCTCAAACACTGAATCACTGAATCACCCCCACCCTAAATACTAAAGCTTAGGCTTATAACAAAGGGCCTTCATAATTAGAACAGGGTTTAGGGAAGGGGCCTCAATAATTAGAACAGGGTTTCGGGGCCCATGATGCTGTACTTATAATAAGGAACCCCCAAAATAGAATTGGTACTGAATTAGGCCCCATATAGTAAAGACCTTCCTGTAACCCGATCACATGAAACGAGCCATGCTCCAAGCCGCAATGGTTCCCAATCGTAAGAGCTCTAGTAGGGGCTTAGATAAAGACTTCGTCGGGATCAGGAACACTATCTTCAGACAGACTTGAAATGTGCTGCTGGATACAGCTCCACTACAAACGATGAGACCTATATTCCCCACCCACGACTCTCTCTTTGCCCGGCACTGTCACGCGACCGAAAGGTGAGGGACGTGGGCCGCAAGTTCCTTCAAGACAAGTCGGTGTGCGCCGCTTAGAGCGGCTGGTGTTTGGGAAAGGAGTGAAGTGTGTGTTGGGCACTTGCACGATATTCCTTCCTGTATTTCCATGCCCCTAAACCCTGACCCGTTCAACCAGGGAGCAGGTTGGCTTGTTAGCGAAACTGATCTACATGATGCTTATGCCTGCTTTACGTATGAACAGAGAAGTTGTGACAATATATGAAAGCGCAACACTGCCGCACTGCATCCTGGGAGGGAAGATGCAGTCCGTGTTGTGCACTGTCAAGCCATCGTAGGATTAAGCTAAAAGCCCTGTTGCCGTTTCAGTCGACGAAATAAGTATCATCATTGCACCGCCTTCATGAGTGACATGTATCCTTATGCCGTCTATGCTGTTGTGTCAGATGCTAGGCATGTATGTGTTTGACCTGTGCTTCCACAACATGTATCAGTGTTGCGATCCGGGTCCTGGCATAGGACATCATGCAACCTTGCAACCAATGAATCTAGTGCCTAGAGATGAGACAGGATGAGGTTGGGGCAGTTATATCGGGAGCCCAGGGATGTCGAATTAAGAGCGAAAGTCCTTGCTGCACGCAGCCCGAGGCTGTGAATTGCCTTCGGGCTTGGGTGAATGTAAGCAAACTGAAAAATAGATAAATGCATGATCGGGTTTTCGTTTGTGTATGCCAACAACAAATTTTCGGTTCGTTTCAGCGCTTGCTTCCCTAAGCATTGAAACCTTATGCAGGCCGTAACATCTCGAACCATTGAACCCTAACCTTAAAGCCAGAACGCTGAACATTTTAAAGCACGCCGAAAGTCTTAGCAACAGCCTTTATACGGCCTTGAAGCCGACGCTACGAATAGAGCCCCATAACTACTGTAGTCTACTTAACTTTCGATTCAAGGATTCAAGAAAACTCCCAGGCCATGGCAGATCCGGATCCGACGAGCTCAGGCGTTACAGCGGCTTGGCCTCGGCCTCGGAGTCCTTCCCAAGACTCGCTTTGTCTCTCCCTCCCTCTCTCTTTCGCTCGCTCTCTATTCTGCGTGACTGAATGCTGAGATAGGCACACGTTTGTATATATATATATATACATATGTATGTATGTAGTTATGACTTCTTATAAGAAGTACATGTGCATATAGATACATCTCTATACACACATATAAATATTAATTGTTTTACTGATATGTATATTATGCGTGTGTATCTGCGTGTATTTGTATGTATGTGTGCATGCATGCATGCATGCATGCATGCATGGATGGATAGATGTGGATTTGTATGCAATTATATATATATATATATATATATATATATACATACATACATACATATATATATATATATATATATATATGTATATATACACACACATGTAACGTTCCGTCTGTAAACCACCCCGCCCCCTAATCATACACACTTTCCGAGCAATCCACCTGACATCATCCCTGCCTTTTGATGCCTATTTTGAATTACGGGTTCAGGACCAGGAAATCCCAAAACCGAACCATTTCTGCGAACGCAAAAAGCCTAAAGCAGAGGAGGGAAAGCTGCAGCTTGACAAAGCAACCTACCTGTATCCCCAAACTCTACAAATAGTAGGTTATGACCCCTTAGTTAGGAGGTAGAACGCTTAAAACCGTAGGTTTTTGGATCCCCAGGTAAACCCAAAACTCTGAGCCCAATCCGAGGTCAAGTCTTTGTTTCGGAGGGCGCTTTGGCGGCAAAAGCCGCGGCTGCCAGCTCCGTCCCCGATCCAGGTTGGAGGGCCCAGAGGGTTTTTTTCTGGTGGTGGGCTTTAGGGTGTAGGGGTATATACAAGTCTGTGCACACATGGTATCCCCCACCCTTAATGCCACGAACACCGGGAGAGAGAGCCTCGCGTGATGAGCACCTCGACCGAAACAATTGACTCGTCGTGGGATGAGCACAGGGTCACGGACACTGCACCGGAGCCCAAGCCCATATCCGCGCACCCTACTGCCTGAAAGGTGCTGCCAACGCAGAGGCTGCTGGCCCCACTTCGGCAGCGAAGGCTGTCTTGCAGGAGGCAGGACGCAAGATTTACCATGCGCGCTGATGGTTCGTTGCGCATATCCGTTGAGCCTCCGTCAAGGTAAATTCCAAAATTTAGGGGCGACGCCGTAACCCCACGAGCCCCACAGCGAGAATTCCGACGCAGTAAGACTCGAAATACCCGGCCACGATAGACTCCGAAGCTAGACTTTGAAATTTCAAAGAATGTCTAGACGCCAATTTCTATCCAAGACCGCCCTTTCCAACACAAAAAAACTCAAACCCCCACCTCGGAACCATGTAAACTCTTCATCCCCGCATCCCTACACTATCCTAAACTCTGAACGACCCCCTCGAGCCCCCAATGCGTTTTAGGGTTTATCCTTTTGGTGCCGCATGTTCTGAGCTTGCAGTTATAAACTAACCTTGAATGACCTACCTGCCTGTGTAGGGCTCCTGATTCTGATTTCCTTCTCTACATCCTTCAAAAAGCTATAATGTCCCGGGTCCAGGCCGGGTTTCAGAGGTGGACCTCAAACTACCATAACCCGCGTTTCTGTCCTTCCTTAGTATTAAAAATGGTTTCGCTAGTTCAGGGTACCTGGAGGGTCGCACCCTGACCCTGCCCTTTTTTCGGGGGGCGGGGGGGGGAGGGGGTCACCTACCCGGTTTCATGGTTAGGGGTTTTTGTAGAGAAAAGTAGGTACTGAACGAAGGGGTGTGGGGTCCCTATAAGCCCGATGCCCTTACCCAGACCTTGAAGAAACAAATCCTGAAAAGGGGGTTCCTATAAAGTACCCGTGGTGGGCCGAAAATGTCGTGCGTTACCCTGGGAAATTCAAAGGCTTGTGCAAGCGCGTTCGCGCCCTGACCGTGGCTCAGCAAGGCGTTCGAGCTGCACTCGAAGCCCTACACCGTCTGTTGCGCAATGGGGCTGGGGACGACCACCCCCAAAGGGCAGGTGACGGAGGGCAGGAAACACACCAGCATCTGTGTGTTCCCTGTAAGAGGAGCTTTCCGAGTTTGGTTTCCTGGGCGGGGCACGCGGCGCGCGTCCATGGTTACCGCTCCCGTGCGTTTCTACTACCCACGGACCATGTTTGCCGGGCTTGTTCCAAAGCCTTTGCCAACCGAGGCCGCCTGCGGAGACACCTTGTCACCAGTGTCGGTTGTGTGGCTCAGTGGGGAAGCTTCCAGCCTACCGCCCAGGCAGTCCAAGCAGTGGTGCACCCTTTGGCACCACCCATGCCGTTAGACTCGCAACTGCCTCCATCTGTCGTGCCCGAGCAGCTGCTCGACATTTCAGTGCCCCTGCTGGAAGCCCTTGAGGTGTTGGAGGGTTGTGATGAGACTGAGGTGTTTGAGGTAGTTGAGAGCTATGTTGAGCCTCTCCCCATGCTGCGAAAAACGGTGCGTACATGGGGGGACAACCACCTTGGATCAGCCTGGCATGAGATGGTCGTTGAAAGCCTTCTTCTGGTGTTAGATCCTGATGTCTTGGCAGAGTCGCGTCAGCAATCAGTCCGGCCCCCAGCCATTTCGTCTCTTCCTCCGGACAAATGGCCTTCTCCTAGTCCGCTACCAATGACGTTGTCTGGCGAACCGGAGGTTAAGTCGCTGATGCCTCCACCGAGTCAAGTTCTGTCAATCCAGGAACCGACCAGCATGACTGTACGACAAGCTGTGTCGTACGTTATGTGGCTGGATGCTGCGACAGCACTGTGTGCTGAGTGCGTTGAGACCGTGCGTACCGGACCTGTCAGCCTCCTGTGCCCAGGACTGAAACAAGCTCTAGGACCCGGTGCAGTTTGGCTTGAGGCCGCTGGCTTCGCCTTCAATCCCATAGGGATGCACTCAGCCCACTGAGCCCAACCTGTCTCACCCGAATTCATGTTTGTTTGCTAGGCGAGCGTCAGGAGATGACACTACCGCGGTGAATGGAAAAAATGGTAGTATAGGGCCCCAAATTAGGGGATCTACTTTTTAGATCCTCTCTGCGGGTCTGGGTACAGGTGGGGTTCGGGGCTCCCGAAGCCAGGCCATGCTTGGGGCCATGCGCAGCAGCCTGAGACGGTGCATTCATCGTTAGGACTTGGTTTTTTGGGTGTATAGGGCTCAGGGTTTACGGCTTAGGGCTGGTGTTAGTTTTTTTTCACGTTCTTCTGCATTTTGGTAGCTTCGAGGCCGGAAGCTCGGACAGGGTGATCGCGTGTGAGTTTGGCAAGAGAGTCATGTTATTCTCCGGTGCGCATTCAGTTGGAGGTCCAGATGCCACCGGCGACCCTTTCCCTAAACCTTAACCTAAATCCTCTATCCGAAACGCCGACGTGATGATCATCTTTATTTGGGGGCCTATTACATGCCGCGAGCTCTGACTCCAACGCTCTGAAATCTGACCTTAAGGCTGAAGATTAAGGCCAGGCGTGGTTCAACCTGCGTCGTTAGTAAGAGATTGAGACCGAGTATGCTGAGGAAGATGAAGAAATTATAGTCCGATCTCAGTGTTTACTGCGATGACCATGCGGACTCGGAATGATCGAATGCAAACTTCAACCGAAGCCCAAACAGAAATCGTTTTGGGTCTCAGAACCGCGAAAGGCCTGAGACTTGAAATTCGAAACACTATAAGCAACGCTCGCAAAACTTGATGCTTGTCCCGAGGCTCCATAGATGTTCCTTTTGGGGCCTCATATTTAGGACCAACAAGGTAATCCCCAAAAGCGACTACTGTGGAGCCAGGAGAGAAGTGAATTGCCGCCACCTTCTTTCCTCGGCCGCTCGACAAGCATTATAGCGGCGTTTTGCCGTAGTGTGGCCACTTGACAGAGGTACCTTAATGCTTCCATGACATTCCCTCATAAGTATGGTAATCATGGTGCTTGTGGTTTAGGAGTCGACGTCAGACGCGCTCGGCACTTTTCAGAGATGTCTCGATTTGAAACGAGTCTCAAAGGAATCGCTCACTGGGCTTGTTGACCTGAACATCTCCCTTTGCTTCCCAAAGGGTCCAAAGTACCGATATAGTAGAATGTAGAGTTTCTATACTCTCTCTGTACTATTATGATTTGGAGAAGTATTCCCCAGCATAGTACATAGGACCCTTTGGGCTTGTAAGCCTGTGCCCAGGTAAGCGTGCCGTTGACTCTACCTGAGCCCTACACCCAAACACCAAAGCGGAAAAAATGAACACTGTCAGAGCTCAAGCGCATGCAAGTATACATGCATGCATCCATACCTACATACATAAATGCACATGCCCATATCCATGTACATTTACATGTAGACTTACATTTATGTTCGTGTGTAACTATGTACACACATCTTTGCTGATTGTACATGCGCACATGCGACCTAACGGTCTATATATATATATATATACACCTCTATATATATATGTATATATAATGTTGTATATGGGTATGTGTGTGCACATGTAGTTTGTATGTATGTGTATGTATGCATGTATGTATGTGTGTAGGTACGTATGTACGTACGTACACAGGTATGTATACATTTATGTGTGTATGTACTTATGTAGAGAGATACACGTGGGAACGTACAAATGAACAAATAAATAACTATACATCTCTATATGTGCATAGACCTACACACAAATATGTATAATGTTTATGTGTATATATATATATATATATACACATGTGCAAATAACCCCACATTCATGCGTGCAAAAATATGCACATAGATACCTACCTACTTACCTACCTATCCACCTATGGAGACGGACGCAGAGACAGACGAACCTCCATCCGAATCCGTTTGAACACGACTGCGTTTTGTGTAAAGAGCGCAACCCCGGAAAGAAAAGCAAATACAGCCAACATAAATACTTTCTGCCTTGAGCGCTTTCGCCAGTGGAGCCTTGCCGAGAGCTTGTGCTGTTTTGAGACTCACCTTACCCTAAAACTTAACCCTCAGACGTTACAACAAGCCCAAGCATACACCCCAAAGACTGAGGCAAGAGGCTTTTGTTTTGGCCACGCCCATCCACTCAGAGCCTCCAGCCACCAGGGCGGAGGTCGGAGGGTTTGGGACGGTTTAGGGGTTTAGGGTTTTGGGGTTTTCGAATGCGTGGGAGAGAGAGAGAGAGAGAGAGAGAGAGAGAGAGAGAGAGAGAGAGAGAGAGGGTTTTGGGTTTTGGATGATTTAGGGGCTTAGGGTTTCTGTGGGATTGGAGACACGGCCACTTTATGAAGTCTCGGTGTCTCTGCTAAGAGACTTCGGGTTGCGTGTTGTAGGGCGTAGAGCTTACGTTTAGGGTGGTTTGGGCTTGAAGCAAGGCTTCGGGTAGAGGCTGTAGGATTTTGAGATTAGCAGTTGAGGTTTGAGCTGCCGCAGAGTCTATTCGTTTGCCGGGGTATTGCTCACCTTTGTGTTGCGGATGCTGCTAACAGTCGATTGAATTGTTGTGCTCGCAGTCGTTGTCGTTGTCGTCGGCGGGATTGCTCTTTTCTGGCATTGCTGTTGATGATGTTGTCGTTCTTGTTGCCGCTGCCGTGTACCAGCAGTTAACAGAGCTAGATTCAGCTAGACTTTGAGAGTGTGGCTGTCGGGTTGAAGTCTGGCTTCATGCAGCAAACGGCAGCAGTTTCAATCCTACACCCTAAACCTAAACACTAAATCCTGGACCCTAAAATCCTAAACAAGCGCTTTGAACCCTGAACTCTGATTGAATCCTGGACCCTAAATCTAAACCACAAACCCAGAAATCTCTGAGTTCCTGGACTCTTTCAGCCGCCAGGAGTTGAGATGAGTGTGGGCATGCCTTTTCACTTTGGCCGCTTCCGGTTTAGGCTTTGGGTTAGTAACAGAGGTGATCGCTGTCGTGGTCGTGGTGCTGGCAGTAGTCGTCGTAATAGTAGTAGTAGTAGTAGTAGTAGTAGTAGTAGTAGTAGTAGTAGTAGTAGTAGTAGTAGTAGTAGTAGTAGTAGTAGGAGTAGTAGTAGGAGGAGGAGGAGGAGGAGGGGTGTAGGAGTACGAGCAGCAGGAGTTATCGGCAGTAGAGACGTAAAAGAAGAAGTGGTTAGCATCGTTGCCGCCGTCGGAATGGCAGCAGAAGTAGTAGCGGTAGGAGTGATGGTGCTAGTAGTTGTACTCGTCGTCGTCGTAGTCGTAGCAGCAGCAGTAGTAGTAGTATAGTATACAACAGTAGTGAAACAAAAACAAAAAAGTGATTTCGTGGGACATCTGCTTGGCCAGAAGGTCAGGCTGGCATGCCGCGGCTGCAGGAATTGCTTACCGTTTTCCTGTGCTAAGACTCACGCTGGCCGGCAAACTGTACAGATTTCCCGTGCCGCTGCCGCCATCTTTCTAGATGAAATGCAGTGTCAACGCATTGTCTCAGGTTTCTTGCGCAGGGTGCTTTCCCAACGTTTCGCTAACTTGGCAGACTCACAGAGTCATAGTTCGTTGAGGTGGATCGGTTGCAATTGATGGAAACCAAAGGCTGCAGGATCTTGGGCATCAGCCGCCCGACCATCCATTAGTGGAGTCACGGCCGTCAATACCTCGCAGCACAGCTCAGTTTGTTTTTACCCCTAAGCCGCAATCATGCGCAATCCCCAAACCGCTCTGGGTTCAGGTCAGCCCCATTTCGATTCAGGCGGGTCTTTATCTTGGACTGCAAGTCAGCTGGCAGTTTGCTTGGCCAATCGAGGTCTGGGACAAGTTGCTCCGTGGATGTTGGGGGGAGACCCTCCTGCACTCCGAAAGACTCCGTTGGTAGTGTGCTGGTGGAAGAGCCCTGAGCCTTATAGGCCTTAGGCGGAAAATACCGACAAACCTTCCTGCTTCGAGGCTCCTTGACAGTGGTGTCCCTGTGCGAAGCGAGTGTTCGAACTAGGCTTAGTGTAAGGGTTGAAGAAACCGTCTTCGCAGCTTGTTGAAGCAGCGCGTGCGCAAGTCCTTGGATACGAGGAGTGCTAATGACGCTAAGTAAGCGAAGTAGACGGCCCGAGGGTTCTGCAAGTGTTCAGGGCCCAAGTTTTCAGGCCGTAAGTTGGTGTTGAGGGTTTGTCAGCTGGAGGAACCTCTAACCCAGCCTCAAAATTGACCTTGAGCCAACGTTCCCCAAAGCTAGCGGAGCTTTTGCGACAGCAGTTGTACAGGCTTGGAGTGGCACAGACGAGCTTGCTGTCAAAATCGGAATAGTGATCCCTGGCTAGAAAGGCTTAGGGGCTGAGTAGGTAACCTTTAACCTTTTGGTGCTAATCTAACTCTGCCATAATTGAAGGGTTGACCTTTTTTGGGCTAGGGTACTCAGCCCTAAGAAGGAGAGTGGCGACGGTGGGACGTACAGGGAATACTGTAGGGGCCCGAAAAGTTACCAATACTATTTTGGGGGTTCCTGATTATGATACTGTACTGTGCCACAAAACCCTACTCTAATCATTCAGGCCGCTATACTAGTTGTCTAGGTCTCGCTGCCGTCTCGGCAGGTGGAGGCTCTGTAGAGAAGAGAGAGAGGGTTTAGGGTGTACGGAATAGGTGTAGGGCGACATAGATAGATATAGAGAGAGGGAGAGAGAGAGAGAGAGAGGGGTCTTAACAGCCCCTCATGCCCGGCGGAAGAAGAGAGAGAGAGAGAGAGAGAGAGAGAGACCAAACGTGAACCCAATAGAGCCCTCTGTAAGGAAGGAAGGGGGAAGGCGGTGAAGAAGGAGGGATGCAATACTATTCTCATGCTCCCGGTGTGCAGTTGTTGTGCTTCGGAGCCGCAAACCCTAAACCCTAGACACTTAACTGCAATGCGGGTTTCGTCCATGCTGAGTATAGGGAAAAACCTTTAACCGCTACACCATCCTACCCCTAAACCGAGTTTGGGCTTGAAGATTTGCTGGCTTGGACTTTTGGTTGCTGGGTTCCCTTCGGATGTCCAGGCCAAGCTGTCGCGCAGATCCTAAACGCTGCTATGGTCAGAAGCTGGAATAATTGTCATGTAATCATACACCCAAGGCTCTCTTCGGGGGACACTAAGGCGCCTCTATCACGCCCAAGCTCTGCTCCACTTGTGCACCGCCTCCTGGTGGCTCCAGCTCCGTTGCGCAGATCCGGGGACACAATCCACGCCCGATGCAAGTCTGCGACGCGGGTCAGGCGTTTGCACAGCAGAAACCCGAAATACTGCAAAGACCGAACGAAGCACATGGCAGCAAGACGCCTTCCGGATCTAATTAAAGTTACAATGCAGGGGCCTGACTAATTCGAAGTGGGCTTTGAGGTGTCTCGTCGCACTATTGTTCACACTGTATCATAACTATACACGTAGATGTATATACAGGTGTATACCCGCATAGACATAGCATCCTGAAGTTTTTCATTCTTATTATTAAGGCCCCCACTAACCCCGGGAATTGTGTTGCTTCTCTGGCATTCGGCAGCAGAGCTTCCTTCCTAAACGCTACGTAGACCCTAAAGTAAACCGTAAACACCTGGTCTCCAAACCTCTCAGACGCTGTAAGGCCACCAAAGCACGAAACCCTAAATCGTTCGATACCCTGAAAACAGCTCAGCATACGCTCAACGCTGAAATCCTAAACCCGAGAGCCTAAACCCCTTAGCCCGATTGTAAAAGCCTTCTGAAACCTTCAGTGGCGCATCCCTTAAACCCTAAACCCTCCTGCCGCGTGGCGCTGCAATGCCGAAGAGGTGGACCTATGCCCCGAGTCCGCAAATTGGGTTCTGGTCTCATAGGGCTTCTTGGGTTTGATAGAGAAGCTTGAACTCGACTTACTGTTCCTCTCGGTTCCTTATGAGTATATGTATAACGGCAATTTAAGAACCTTAGGTGATCAGAACTTGTAACAGGCCTTAGTTGCACTGTAATCCCCTCCCCCAAACAATAAACAGACCCCTAATTATAAAAACGCTTTTCCCCCGATCCACCCGGAAGTAGCACCGCCCTTTAAACCCTAATTTGCATTAGGGGGAAGGTTTAGGGTCTACAGATTGAGGGTTTAGGGGGAAGAATTATAATTGCATGACTCAGCAACTGCTCAATTGAGCCGCATGAAAAGCTTTATTAGCCAAGCCTTTATTGAAGCCTATTTTTTTAATGCGTATTTACGGATTTAGTGTGTATTTGCACGGATTTGTGTATTTGCACGGATTTAGTGTGTATTTGCACGGATTCAGTGTGTATTTGCACGGATTTAGTATGTATTTGCACGGATTCACGGATTTAGATGTATTTGCACGGATTCCGTGTGTATTTGCACGGATTTGGTGTGTATTTGCATTCACGTCCTGTGTAGTTGCACGAATTTAGTGTGTATTTGCATGGATTTGGTGTGTATCTATACGCATTCAGCGTGTGTTTGCACGGATCCTGAGTATTTGCACGGATTGAGTGTGTATTTGCACAGATTCCGTGTGTATTTGCACGCATTTACTGTGTACCTGGTGTGTAGTTAGAGGGATTTAGTGTGTGTCTTTACACGGATTTAGTGTGTGTATTTACACGGATTTAGCGTGTGTTTGCACGGATTCGGCGTGTATTTGCGCGGATTTAGTGTGCATTTGCATGGATTTGGTGTGTATTTGCACGCATATCGTGTGTATTTGCACGAATTTCGTATGTCTTTGCACGGATTTAGTGTGTATCTGCACGGATTTAGTGTGCATTTGCACGGATTTGGTGTGATTTGCAGCCCTTATAATAGCGTTTCTTAAGTTTCCAGAGAGCCCAGAGCGGTCACCCCAAAATCTCGATTCCGGGTGGGGAAAGAGCCCAAATGACACCCCCGGGGATTGAGCCCGCGACATTTTCCAGGAAGGCTTTGGAGGCAGACGTTTACCCATTAGGCCATGGCCAGATAGTTCTGGGGGCGGGCGAGGGGGTTTCGGCACGGTCGCAGGCCCAATTCTGGCGGTGTCCTTTTGGGCCCTTTCCCCATCCAGAATCGAAATTTTGAAATGACCAAAAACCGCCAAGAGCACAACCAAACCCGCCCTAAACCGCGCAAACCCACCAAAACCCACCCATTCCCACTTTCCCATGCCCCTTTGCCCAAATGCTATTGGTGCTGATGCTGCGGATGTTCTACTCCTGCTAGTGACAATACCACTACTACTCCTGCTCCTGCTGCAGCTGCGATTGCTGCTACTGCTGCGACTGCTACCACTACTAGTACTGCTATTTCTCCGACTACTACTACTACTCCTCCTCCTCCTCCTCCTGCTGCTGCTGCTGCTGCTGCTAGTACTACTACTGATCCTGCTGCTAGTACTACTCCTTGTACTATTCCTTGTACTACGATGACGACGACTACTTCCACCACCACCACCACCACCACCACCACCACCACCACCACCACCACCAATTACCACTGCCACTAATTAGCACTGCTGCTCCTGCTGCTGCTGCTATTCTTGTTATCACTACAACAACAACCACTCCTCCTATTACGACGACAACTACTAACTGCTACCACTACCGCAACAATGAGCGAGCGTGCATTGACCGGATGGAAGATGAGATGCCTGCAATGGCTACTCCAAACCTTCGACATCGACATCATCATCATCATCATTATAAGCATCCTCATCCTCATTCTCATCCTCCTCATCATCCTCCTCATCATCATCATATTAAGCAAAGTACTGCCGTCAGACTGTCGGAACAACATTCATGATGAAACTCAGATACGAATCTTACTAGCATTGAAAAGAACGTTTCCTAATCATAACCGTCACATCACTAGCACGTGGATGGGTGCGATGCTTCCAAAGGATTACAATTGCATGACTCAGCAACTGCTCAATTGAACCGCATTCAAAGCTTTGTTCGCTAAGCCTTTATTGAAGCCTTATTTTTTAATGCGTATTTACAGATTTAGTGTGTATTTGCACGGATTCCGTGTGTATTTGCACGGATTTACATGTATTTGCACGGATTCTGTGTGTATTTGCACGGATTTGGTGTGTATTTGCACGCATGTCCTGCGTAGTTGCACGAATTTAGTGTGTATTTGCATGGATTTGGTGTGTATCTATACGGATCCTGAGTATTTGCACGCATTTGGTGTCTAATTAATTACAGGGATTTAGTGTGTGTATTTACACGGATGCACAGATTCCGTGTGTATTTGCACGCATTTACTGTGCACCTGAGAGGGATTTAGTGTGTGTCTTTACACGGATTTAGTGTGTTTTTGCACGGATTTAGCGTGTGTTTGCACGGATTCGGCGTGTATTTGCGCGGATTTAGTGTGCATTTGCATGGATTTGGTGTGTATTTGCACGCATATCGTGTGTATTTGCACGAATTTCGTATGTCTTTGCACGGATTTAGTGTGTATCTGCACGGATTTAGTGTGCATTTGCACGAATTGTGTGATTTGCAGCCCTTATAATAGCGTTTCTTAAGTCTCCAGAGAGCCCAGAGCTTCAGGTCACCCCAAAATCTCGATTCCGGGTGGGGAAAGGGCCCAAATGACACCCCGGGGATTGAGCCCGCAACCTTTCCAGGAAGGCTTTGGAGGCAGACGTTTACCCATTAGGCCATGGCCAGATAGTTCTGGGGGCGGGCGGCTGCCTCGGCAGGGGGTTTGGGCACGGTCGCAGGCCCAATTCTGGCGGTGTCCTTTTGGGCCCTTTCCCCATCCAGAATCGAAATTTTGAAATGACCAAAAACCGCGAAGCACTCACTCGGTCCTGTCTGCCTAAGAAGTGAGTGTGAGTGAGTGTTTGTGTTTGAGTGCTCCGGTGGGTCTCACAGCACCTTGTCTGTGCTTGAGTGTGAGTGTGAGTGTGTGCGTGTGTGTGTGTGTATGTCCGTGTGTGTGTGTGTGTGTGAGTGTCTGTTTGACAGCCTGTGGCTCGGGCCTTCGTGCCCCAAGGCACAAAGGCCTCCTTTGAGGCTGCCTGTCTGTGGCGGAGCGGGCAGATTGCTGACAGAACTCAACACACCCTCTCAGAAGCAAAGCACTTGTAGCGAATGCCAGAAGCTTGGAACATCATTAATTAGTTCTTATCATATGTAATTATCATTAATTAGTCATTAATGATAATTAAGTCTTTCACATATGTCCAAGCTTCTGGCATTCACCACATGTGCTCATTTATTTATCGATTTTTTTTCTATTTGATTACTTGTAGAACCTGTGTTTCTGGCAGTTGAGATAACAGCAACCCCCTAATTATAAAAACATTCTCGAGTTTTTATTTAGGGCGGGGGGGGGGGGGCCCTGACCATTTAATGTTAGGGGGAAGGGATTAGTCTTGGCCGTTTTGAATTCGGGTGCATTCCGGGCAAAAAGCCGCGCGAAGCATATTCTCTGTGAAGGGGGCTGGTAATCGTAGGAGGGGAATATCAAGGCCACCATCTTAGAGTTCTGGACAGGTTCCATGTGGGCTGTATTTGGGGGGTGTTCTTAGGGAGTTACGGTTAGGGGCCAGTATCCCTTCGGGGTAGCCAGTCGCAGATACGCCTGTGTGCTTTGTTGTTTCATGACCGAGTTGAAACGAAAATCTTGATGGCTTTCTCCTGCTGAGGGGGTCCTGAACTTGACCTTAAACCTGGACAACAAACAACTTTCGCTGCGAACTTGTTTACCTTTCAATGCCGCCACATTCCGAGACACCTCCGTGAACACACCCGCAACCGGATACATAAAACAAAATCCAGCCCACCTAAGATTTTCGCCTGTCAGGTTGATGAAGTCCAGGGCGAAGGTGTTTAGGGGTTTAGGGTTTTTAGAGCTAAAGTCATTGCTCAAAAAGGGTTTATAACCCTTGGGTCAAACCGAGAGACGAGGCAACAAATCCAGATGACGTGGAGCAGTGCGCTCCATCCGAGCTGGAGCAGCTCTCGGCCCTGTCCTTTGATGGCTTCTGGGCCCCGTGGCTCCATAATAATTACTATTTTTACTACTATTATTATGATTGTTAAAAAAAAAAAAATATATATATATATATATATATACATATATATATATAGTATGTTATCATATACTGTCCATCTCTGAAGTCCAATCCAGGGCTCTCAGGTCAAGTGCTCCATCCTCTCGGTGTTTGGGGTTTGGGGTTTAGGATATGGGGCTTGGGGTTTAGGGTCTGGAGTCTGGAGCTTAGGGTTCAGGTCAGTTGTAGCATCCTTAGTATCAGCGCACGAAGCTGTAGAATTGTCAGCAGATGTGCTGCGGTTGCTTTTGCTGGTGTTCCTGCTGCTGCGCCTAGAATGAGCAGGCATTCGAAGGGGGAGCATCGTAACAGAGGTCTTGAGTGCTAGATGAACATCGATGTTCTCAGACTTGTCTGGAAAAAAGCAAAAGAGCTCCCAAGTTCGGATCCCAAAATCCAAATCCTAAGCCTTATCAAACCCTAAACTCCTAAACGCATAAATGAGCCCTAAACCAGATGCCAAGACGCCGTTGTCATGCATCCGGGTATCTTAAGGCCTTCTCCTTTAATGGGACCCAGAATTCGGAATTCTGCACTACGCCCGGTGCACACTTTTCTCGATGTGGCTGTGAACACTTATTTGTTTTTGTGTGTGTGGGTGGGTTAGCAGTGATAGGCGCATGATGAGGTAAGGGTGCGGGAGCCATCCATGTAACATGTATGTCGTTTTAGGCAAGTCCATGGAACCTTGTAATCAGGCCATGTTGAGTCGTTTCTTCCAGCATCTCGGTCCTTGATCCAGGAAGGTACAATGGCGGTGGGAAACACCATGAGCTCCACAACTGTCATCATTTCAGGCCGGTTGCTTCCGGAACACTTACTATCCCTATCATAAACTCTGGTGTGATCAATCAGGCCCCTATTTTGCCCTGCCCGTGCTGAGTTAGTCAGAGTCGTCAGAGTCATTTTGAATGTGACAGGCAGAAACGTCTTCCACGATGGGAGCCTGTTTGCCAAAATTAAAGTGCTGAATGCGGAGACCTGTGTCATCATCACGGACTACGAAGACGTGCGAGGCTACCTCAGCACCGATGGTAAGGCCATCGATTGGGAAGATGGCGACTGCTGGCGGAGGGTAGCTGCTCCTCAGTCTGGCCAGTACGAGGAGCGCAGTGGTCACAATGCGGGACAGGGACAATGACTGGGCTTAATACCTTGAGCAAGCGCAATCTTGATATGCGTGAAATGATATACATTCCTTGAGGTGCTTGTTATATACTCGCAACTAGCTTGAAATAAGATGCTCGGCAAGCCCAGATACGAGTGGCTTCTTGAGTGTTTACCGCGGTGCTTGGCGGTCCAGTGAGGGGAACAGTTCCAGGACATCCAGTGTTCATGCTGTAGTCCGGAAGTCAGGCATAAGCAACATCCTTGGCAGCAACATCGATTCCGGGCTGTTGTGTCCACGAGTCCTCAATACTCGGCTGGATGGGCTTTGCTGTGTAACTTCTGATGCAAAACGGTCATGAATACTGCATAATCTGTTTAATGTACAGTCGATATCGAAGCCTTTCAAGACTCTTTCCTTCACAGGGTTGCACGGGTGGCAGTTGGATCCCAGTCCCGAACCAAGAGAGCCGAAAGCGAAAGTTCCTTGGTCTGACCCCCAAGCCGTAAGCCCAAAGCCCAAAACCGTATGTTTCTCCACGTGTGGCCTGTTGCTGATGTAGACGTTGTGTGCCAGGTGGCTCTAGTGCTTTGGTCGAGCTGGAGAGTATACAGTTTAAGTTAAGCCCGCACATTCAACAACTGCGCACAATGCAGTGTGATGTAGTCACTGCTACGGCAACACCTCCAAACTTCATTGCAGATGACCTACGTAGTTGAAACCCTAAACCCTAAACCCAGCTGCATGGCACCATTTTGCCTGGACTCTGGTCGCTGGGGAGCGCCCTGCGTTCTGTAGCTCGTGGCATCGCAAAGTGACCTGTCATGGGTGAAGAGGCTTTGGCGCTTCAGCGGAGTGCTTCTCCTGCGGCACTATCACTAGCTGCCATCGCGCAGAGCCATTCCGATATTCATGACATCGGCACGGTGTCGCCATCAATCTCCGAACCGCGACAGCATCAGATTCAGCAGATCCCTCTCTGGATGCGATGGCGGAAGTTCTGGGGAGTCCTCGCCATTATCACTGCAATTGTGGCCGTAAGCATATGGAATCTGAGTGAATCCGACGCTTCTTTGCTGCGAAAGGCACGGCAGTCTGTGCACTACGTCGCTCGCACGCAGGCCGGTGACATCACTCGACAACTGCGGACTTCTGTTGGTTCCCTTCAGGCGCTCGCGGGTGTCATCCAAATCGACCCGTATGGCTCGGCCTTTGAGGAGTTTGACAAGCTGGCGGAGACGCTCATCCGAACGTACAAGGGTATCTCCAATCTGCAACTGGCCCCATTTGGGACTGTTTGCTGCGTCTTTCCCTTGGTGGACGATTCCCAAGACACTTCGGGGTACTTAGAAATAGTTTTTCATTTTTGGTTGTTATAATCCCTAAGAAACAGCTAAAACTATATGTTTGCTAGGGTTCTAAGTTCAGGACAACCGTGTGGTGCTTGGCCATGCGCTTCTGCTGGATCCTGCACGCAAAGTGCAAGCATTCGAGGCTATACGGTCAGGCCAGACACATGTGAATGGGCCTCTTAGACTATTGCAGGGTGGAATTGGGGCCGTCGCCCGGCGACCCATCTTTACCCGCCATGCGCCAGAGTTTCTCCCAGACGAGTGGTGGGTCGGTGGAGATGGCGTGAACTACACCAGGACTTGCTCTGTACCGGAGCTCCGGGATGATCAGGAGTGCTCCATTCCTGGGCCAGTGGATTCCGATGGGAGCTCTACGTATTTCTGGGGTTTCGCCACGATGCTCTTTCGCGTAGAGGACCTCCTCTCCACAACCGAGTTAGCCTCTCTTGAGACTGGGGTTCAGGGCGGCGAGGTTGGTGTTGCTGGCATCTCACAGTTTGCCTTCGAGCTCTCCGACCCAAGCCCACACCCATCGATGGTGGAGCTGGGAGGAATCTGGTTGCAATCTAACAACACAGATTCGCTAAGCGACGCGATTCAGGTGACGGTGGCCCTGGAGGAATTTGCGTTGCAGTGGATCTTGAAGGTCGCACCACTGGCCGGATGGCCCATGGTTTCCGAAGACTTCTGGAGGCAGCTACTGCTGGTGCTGCCGCTGACGGCGGTGGCGGGCGTTCTGCTTGGGTTCAATATCATCCTTGCCCTGCGTCGACAAGCCAGGGCGCTGCAGGACCTGGCCAAGCACTTGACACTTCAGAAGTGCAAGTCTATCCGAAGGGCTGTGAGAAACCTGGATACCTTCCTCTTTCCGATGTATTTAGTGGAGCTGCCAGAGTTTCTACACATGGGCCAACTGGTTCGCCACGAACTCGCAAGGGAAGCTGGGCAGTTGCGGTGTTTCGAGCCACACGAGGCCGACGTGGTGTCGGCGTGCTCGGGCGCCGTCTTCGTCAGTCATCAGTGGGCTGGTTTCGAGCATCCTGACCCGGATGGCCGCCAATACAGCGCCATGCTGGTGGCCCTGCAAGGGCTTCAGGAGAGGAGCATTGCTTGTGGCTACATCTGGGTGGACTATACATCCATTCCGCAAGTGAATGAGTATCAACAGCAAGCAGCTGTCAACTCCTTGTCCGTCTACGCTTCTCGGTGTTCCGTGCTGGTGGCGGTGGCTCCTACTTGCACGCACGTAGACACGGGCGCAGAGGTGAACCTGCAGACCTACGGTTGTGGCATTGAGAACCGCCCCCTGGTGCCCCTCGGCACCTTGGCTGCCACGGAGCTGGTGCTGGCGTCTGCACTGGCCGCGAAGAGTTCTCCGGAAGAGGGTGAGGCGGGCTGTGGGCGTGGGCTTCAGCTTGCGGTCGTGGCTTCACCGAGGGCGGGCACAAGCTTGGCATTGAAAGCCCACTGGGGCACCTTATGCTTGGGGTGCGTGGAGGCGGAGTTCAAGTACTGTGTCATGACGGGTTTCCTTGGAAACGATGAGATGGCTGGCAACGAGGGTGGCCACACGGGTGCGGGAAATCATGAGGCCGGCGATTTTGTGACTACGGATGGCGGGCACCGTCTTCGAAGAGTGGTGCTTGCATGTTCGGGTCTGCCGTGGGCTGAGATCCTGCTGAAAAGAAATTGGGGATGGAGAGCCTGCCGTGTCGGTGAGGCTAGCCACCCAGGGCCGGGCGCTGATGTTACCGACAAGAAGCGCAGAGAAAGGGAGGGCATGCACATTGTTCAGGTTCTCCTCCAGCTCATTCTCAAGCTGCTCCAGGACGGCGAGGGCATCAATCTTGGGGGCATTGTGGCTCAGTTGGGGGCCTTGGTCGGGCAAGGGTCAGCTGCCCAGCCAGGGGCGGCGGCGCAACCGCCAAAGAAGAAGAAGAAAAAGAAGAAGCGGAAGTTTGGCCTTTTCGCATTGGCAAAGGGGGCACCTTCGGCGGCACCCGCGGCTTTCAACGGCGCTGCCATCACTGATGCCACTGGCGGCAAGGCGAAGGGCAAGGGCAAAGGGAAGGGCAGCGACGGAATTGTCCAGGCTCCAAGTCGGAGCGAGCAGCCGTCGCGTGTGCAAGGCAAGGGCAAGGGCCACGGCGCCCACATTGAACAGGGCGGCGGAGGTGGATGGGCGGCTCCATGGCGGCTTCGCGCGGCCGACTGGAAGGGGCCTCCCAACCTTAAGGTGCTGCCCGCCGATGCGGTTCACCATGAGGGCGGCCACCCAGCATTGGTCCAGGTCTTCAGCGAGGAGGAGCTCGAGGTGACGATGGCCTACTTGCGGGGAAAGGACGCGGCAAAGACCACCGTGGTTTGGGAGAAATCCCTTATTGCGGAGCCGGGGGAGGAGTACCAGTTGAAGACTAGCTCAGTGAAGGTCCGCGAGGCCACGGTGCCGGGCAGAATTGGTGGACACATCAGGGCAAGGCGAGTCGGCATGATCACGACCCATGCGGATGCCCCGGCCTTGAAGGAGGCCACCTTTACCTCTACAAGGACTTCCCTGCAACCAAGCAAGCAAACAGTCGTGCTGCGCTTCAGCACCGAGGCCCGCTATGTTGCCAAGGAGTCGTGGGAGCAGCTTTGCAAAAGTCCGGGGCCACGTGCCCGCATTTGGTTGCGGGGCATTGCCACCGATGAGTTGCAGGACACTTGGGGATGGCAAGTTGAAACCATCAAGGGCAGGGACGTCGTCACTGGCTTGGCCCGCCTCACTCCGGAGGCTGGGGCGGCTGTGATCATGTGTTCGGGCCGCAGCTGTGGCGGCATGCATTGGTTCGTCGAGCCTCTCCGATGGGAGGCACCATTGCCCACTGAGTTTGCGACTCCTCCTAGGGTCGAGTGGATTGACAAGGGCAAGGACGAGGATTATGCCACCTACGCCAAGAGGGTGCTTGCAGGCGCGGCCAAGTTGGGAGTTGCCAGGGGCCACATCCAGCTCGGAGTTCGATGCACCAAAGGACCGGAAGATGCCACGCGGCAGCGGGTGTGGGTGCTGGGCCCGGCGCCAAAAGCTTGGCTGGCACAGGACGTCGAGGAGCTGCTTGAGGAGGCCGACTTCATTGAGTACACGGTGCTGCAAAAGAAGTTTGGTCGGCAGGGGGCTTCATGGACTTTTCGTGCAAAGCGTAAGGACGGCAAGGACTTTCTCGCCATCACCGTCAACGGCCAGGACATGACAGCGGCGGTTACCGGCATCACGGCGGCACCGTCGGCTACAAGGAAGCTTCCTGCTGAGCGGGCCCATTCATTCCGAGGCAAGCCGAGGGAGGAGGACAAGACTGCCGACAGGTCCGTGCACATGGACGTTGACGCGGCAGAGCGGCAGGCGGGGGGAGGTTCGCGGCGCCCATCCAATGCGCCAGTTCCTGCACCAAAGCGTTGCAAAATCGACAAGTTGCCCGCGGGACTGAAGCGACAGGACACCCCCAAGGATGGCAACTGTCTCTTCACCGCCATTGCGCAGACGGTCACCACGGTGGCAAAACCGAAATCGCCTGAGGTTGTCAGGGCGGCAGCGGTAGCCATTATGCAAAAGAGTGTGGCAAAATTTGCAAACCACTGGGACGGCAAACAACCAGCAGCTGAGGAGGCCAACCTCGAGGGAAAGGACCTCCACGAGCGCTTTTGCAAGTACCTCACGGCCATTGCGTCAACGGGGTCGTGGGGTGGAGGACTGGAGCTGGCGGCAATCGCGGTCGGCATGAAGGCACCGATTCTGGTGATGGGACCCGACACCCCAACTGAGATCTACAACCGTGAGGGGGAGAACAAGATGATCATGTTGTGGTACGAGGACCGGCACTACTCCAGCCTCTTCGGCAAAGTCCCCGAGGACATTGTGGCGGCAGCGGCTCCTGGGAGTTGGCAAGGCCGTCGCGGCGGTGGCGATGATAATGGGCATGAGCCTGGGGAGGAGGCCAGCGAGTGGGGCGGGCCAGCTTCGGTTGGTTCGTTCTGGGCGGCGGGTGAGGCTTTGGCGGCGGACCAACCCGCACCAGCAGCTCCTGCCATTGACCATGAGGTAGCCACGAGCAGCAGCGCCGATGGCCACCAGAGTGCTATCACACGTTGGGCTGTTCCTCGGGCCTCTACGGTTGCCGCTGACTTGGACGACCTGCTGGAGGATGATGAGCAGCCTGTGCCGGAGGTGCCACCCGCACCGGTGGCTTGGACACGGAGGCCCAAGCGGCGTGATGGATGGAAGTGCCCGGAATGCCAATGGCGCACACCTCCGGGCTCAGACTGGATTCGCAAAAAGCAGACCCACATCATCAACTACCACCCGGAGCTCAAGCGACAGCTATCTTTGCACCCGGCGCCGGCTGTGAATGTTGCGCCCTATGATGCTGCGACCTGCTCTTGGCAATGCCCTGTTGATGGATGTGGGCTTGGACTGCTGAATAACCCTGAGGCCACAACCGACATGAAGTACGCGGCCAAGCTCAGGCACAGAGAGGAGTACCACCCCGAGGTCCCGAAGGGCGTCTTCGTCGGCCGCTCCTATGTGAACAATGCGTCTAAGAAGGCCACTGGGGCGCGATTGAGTGCTGCAATGGCTAGCCGCCTGATTGACCTCAAGGCGGGGAAGGCGGGCGAGCATGATGTCGTCGTCCTCCGTCTACCGTGCACGCGGGCACCAAAGGAGGGGAGGAAAAAGCGCAATGCGGTCGCCCAGGTGATATGCCGCAAATGCACTCGGATGGCGGATACGGTTGCTAAGCTTGGCAAGCTTGAGTGTTCCTTGGGAGCAGGGGGGCATCGACGCAAGGCGCTCGTTGCCAACATCGAGAAGGAGCTCCAGGCGGGCTCCCACACGGAGGAGATCGTCCAGAGCATGAAGACGTTTCTGGAGATTGTCAAGGGCACGGTGGCGGGACAGTCGGTCGAGGCCGATGGGGAGCACATCCTTCATGCGCTACCGTGGCCAAAGGGGGAGGGATTCGAGATTCGTTTCGGTTGCCAGCGTTGCGGGGGACTTTGGACCAACCTCTCCAATGCCAACCGCGCGGTGTGCCACCCGGCAAAACGGCGCCGACATGACAAGGGCATTGCTGAGCTTCGGAACTTCGCTACTGAGGCGGGCATCCGGGGCCGTGCGGCCAGCGACATCCTCGCCAAGCTCGGCATTGCTGCTGAGCGCACCACTGAGGCGGAGGACCATGTGGCGGATCGGGCCATCTTGGAGGCGGGCCTTCGTGGGAGCCATGGCGCCCGCTGAGGGCGTCCGCATTGGAACGTGCAATGTCCGCACCATGGGTGCGGGGAGGGTGGCGGCCATCACTACTATGGCCGTGAACGAGGGCATTCGCATTCTTTGTCTTCAGGAAACGCGGGTTACCAACGAGGGCCTCCATGCTATTCGACAGGCGCTGCGGCAGTCTGGTTGGCAGTTGCTTTTAGGCCCTCAGGGGTGGGATGCACGAGGACAACCGAGCGGTGGAGTTGCTATCATTGCGGATTGGCCCATCGAGCAGATCCAGTTGCCCTCGGAGCTGCAGTGGGACGGTCGCCTCATGGCGGCAAAGATGCACAGACCTGGCATGCGACCACTTCTCATCCTGAATGGCTACTTCCCTGCAAATGACGAGAGCCTCAACAAAACCATGGTGAGTGCTGTCTGTGAGTGGGCGGGCTCGACTGCTGAGGACTTCATGATACTTGGTGACTGGAATCGCGAGGCTCGGCAACAACCGCTTGCAACCATGCTGGCTGCTGGCCGGGTCTATGCTATGGACCCCGACCCCTTTGTGGATCAGAAGGGCACCAGGAGGCTGGACAATGGCGACTACACGCACCGGGTCATCGACTATGGCATCGCTGGTCCTGGTATCGCGGTGGACGGCAGGCAGCAAACTTTGGGGCCGGCGGATCACGATGTGGTGTCGTATTGGGTGGCGCTGCAAAGTGGGCTGCGAGGATGGCGCTGGCAGTCTCAGCGGTACCTCACCCCCGAGCCGGCGCAGGATTGGAGCGATGTGTGGCCGACCTATGAGCGGGACTACGTGAACCACTTGGCCGCGGGCAACACTACTTCGGCTTGGGCTTCGCTGTCTGCGGCGGCGGAGGAGCTACTTGCGACGCCTCAGGCTCCTACGGCACCTCCGCGTGGCATCGTGGGCAAACCTGTGCTCAAGGAGGACCACCACGCAAAGATTGCCAAGGCCCAGACTTTGTGGGAACGGAGGCTTCGTCGTGTGGCGCGTCGGGCATCTTCATTGGCAGACGGGCGAGGTGCTCATCCCAGCACGGCGGAGCGGGTGACCAAGGACGTATACGCTTTGGCCCGCCGCGACCCGGACATTATCCAGGCCTACGACCAGGGCTATGGCAAGCTGGCGGAGATGCTGAACCACAAGGCGGCGGAGGAGGCACACCGGGCGGCTAAAGCCAGACTGCAGCGGTGGCGGGAGGACGTTAAGTGCAACCTCCCACGGCTTGCGCGCTGGATTCGCGCGACGGAGGACGAGGCCACTCATGGAATGGACCAGTTTGGCCACGACCCCGATCCCCAAGCTCGTGCTGTCGAGGAGGCGGCCAAATGGGACCGTATGTGGAATCGGAGGGGGAGGCCTCCGCTCCACCCCTTCTGGGACTTCCTTCGTGAGCTTGGTGCACAGCCTGGACAGGGCAGGCCTCCTGCAGTGGGGCCCGTTTTCCAAGGTGGCTTGACCATTGACGGCGAGGACCTCTACCGACGGGCGCGGGCGGCAGCACGTAAAGCTGGAGGTTGCGATGGCTGGACGGGCAAGCTATGGGCCGCTTTGCCGCGGCAGTTCTTCGACAAGCTGGCGGGCATTTGGCAACGTGTCCTGGAGGGCGACGACATTCCGGCCCCATGGTTGCAAGTGAGAGTCTGCCTCATGCCGAAGTCCGATGGCGGCACACGGCCGTTAGCCATAGCTGCCCTTGCGTGGAGGTTGGGAGCGAGTGCTCTGGTTGCCCAGCTTACTTCGTGGGCCTCTCGTGCCCTTCCTGTTGAGCTGTGTGGCGGAGTGTCGGGACGGGACACCTCTGATGTCCATGCTGCCCTCTGCAGTGACATGTTTGTGCAGAGACGCGGAGGCCCTCTTGCTGGCTGCAAGGCGGACATTCGCAAGTGCTTCGATACGGCATCGCCGACTCTTGCTGCCGAAGCTTTTCAGTGGTTGGGTGGCCCTCCGGTCATTGCTGCACTGCTGGAGCGGTTTTACAGGAGCCATGAACGCTGGATCACGAATCAGTGCTTCGTGGCGCCTCGTCCGGTTAAGGACGCGGCGGCACTACTCCAAGGATGCCCGCTGTCCCCGCTCATGCTGAACTGCCTTATGGCGGTGTGGTGCCGCACGGTTCGCCTTCGTTCTCCGGGGATTAGGTTTGCGCTTTTTCTTGACGACAGGACTTTGTGGCACCGTGGAGCCCGGCCAGCCGCGCAAGTGCATCAGGCAATGTTGGAAGGCGGACGGGCTGACGCCGTTATGGGGTTCACGCTCCATCCTGACAAACTTGAGTCCTTCGGCACTTCTCATGGCACTCGTGAGGCGCTGTTTGCTGTCTCTGACGTGGTCGGGATTCCCCAGGTGACCTTCACGCTGCTTGGAGTCAAGTACAACGTGGACCGTGCTGACCCGGTTAACGCTGGCGTCCTCACTGACAAGCTTGTGCGCCGATGCAGGCGCATTCGTTGGGCTGGACCAACCGTGAAGCAGCGAGTATTCCTTGTGGGCATCATGGTGATTTCGCTTTTTCGATGGTGCGCTCCTTGGGTGAGGTTTTACAAACACAACCTGCATAAGTGGCGCACCCACATCGAGTCTGCTGTTTGGGGCCGCGCCCCCCCTCCGGGCAGGTCACCGGCCATTTTCTGGTCGGCTTTAGCTACGGTGAGCCTTCATCCCGAGTTTGCTCTGACTGAGGCCACTTTGCTTAGCGAAAGGAAACGGCTCCGCGACGGCAGACACTTGGCTAGGGCTTCGCGCACTTTGGCTGCTTTCAAGGAGATGGGCTGGACAGTGGAGGGAGATGTGTGGAGCACGCCGCATGGACCCTTCCATCCTGGCCAGGTTTCTCAGGCCTTCCTGCGGAGGGCGCTTCGTGATGATTGGACTCGCCGTCTTCTCCTTCGTGATCCTAAAGTCGCGGGGCAGCAGGTGGCAGAGGATTTTGTGCTCAGCTTCCACCAGAAGGAGGTCCACGCTACAAACTGGGCAGGTCTTCGAGTGCTTGCGGCCGCGGCGGTGGACAGCAGAGTGTTGGCAAGGCGACGTTGTGCTTTGCCTTGTGTCTGTGGTGAGCAGGTGCCGTCCCGCACTCACGTGACTTTCGACTGCGAGGCCCGACCGTGGACGGCTGCGAGACGCACTGCAGTCGAGCGCCGGATGCTGGCGCCTTTGGGACTGGTTGCCCCCGCTTTCATCGACGGCGACGTGGAGGCGAGCATCGAGGAGGTTGTGCGCTACGTGCAGCGGCTCCCCCTCGACTTTGACATCGTCATTGCCACCGACGGGGGCTGCCTGGTCCACCCTGGCCTTGATGCTCACCAGAGGGCAGCATGGGCGGTGGTTTTCTACGAGGGCGCTTGTTTTTCTGGACTGGTGCCAGGACCGGAGCAGACTGCTGCGGCCGGCGAGCGGACTGCTCTCCTGATTGTGGCGGTGGCACTGGCTCGTGCCAATCGTCAGGGCAAGCTCCTCATTGACAACTTGCCCATTGTGCAGCGGCTTCACGCGGGGAGGTCCAGGTGTGAGGCGGGCGACCCTTGGGAGACATGGCGACGCATTGCCGGCGCTTGTCATCTGATTACGCCTGCCTGGATCCCATCGCATGGAAAGTGTACCGAGTGGCAGCCTCCTGACGGCTTCCCCGCAGCTGAGATTTGCAGACGGCTGAATGACAAGGCCGATTCTCTGGCAACGCAGCAGCTGGCCCGCTTCAAGGGCGAGTTCGAGGACAAGGTGCGGCACATCAAGAATTGTGGAGTTTGGGCTGCGGCGGCTCACCGTACTCAGCTGGAAAGGACTGCACCTTTTCGAGAGGCGCTTCTCGAGTCTTACGTTCCTCGCGCTCGTGCTGCAGCGCTGGCGGGATGAGCTTTTTCTAGTTTCACTTTGAGGGCAGGTGCTTTTTCCTCTTCGAGTTTTTGGCATGGCTGTGATCGCATTTTGCGATCGCTCAGTGACTGGCTGCGCCTTCGGGCTCAGATGAGGCAGCGAGACCACCTTCGGGTGCCAGTCTGCTGTCGTGCTTCAAACAACAACAACAACAACAATGCAGACCTACGGTTCGCGCGGGTGGTGCCGGCTTGAGCTCCTGAGCTATAAGACGGGGTCTGGCCGCCGTTCAGGGGATCCGACCACATTCATCTGCGATGACAGCGGCTTGAGAAGTGGTGACGCCGACGACTCCCTGGCGGATCAGAGCATACTTCACGTGCTCGGCGGCTCTTTCACATGCTGCAGCCGGAAGCACCCGGATGACATGCCGTGCGACCGGCATAAGATCAGGGATGTGCTCCTCGGTATCTATTGGAGACTCAGTAGCATAGAACGGGATGGGGACCTGGTCGCATCTTCGTGGGCAAGAGAGATGCTGCAGAGTGCTGACGCTGACAGCGAGAAGTATTTCCCCAGCCACAGCATGTATCACACAGCGAGCGGCGCAGAGCTGCAGGAGCATTTTGATGGGTATTTGCCCTTGCTGCGAGAGATGTTCGCTACTGACGCGGAACTGGAGAACGAAAGCCAACGACACGCCCTTGATCGACGGTCATCCTTCAGCGTTTGAGTGCGGGCGTTGACGAGCTTTTCGTCAAATGGCTCGAGTGTGCTATGTTTTTTGGATCGGGTTGCTCTGAAAGCTGTAGCTGGCCGAAGGTAAATTTCAGAGGGGGCCCAACCCAACATGCTGCGCAAGTCTTAGTCACGGGGACAGTGAGCTGGAATTCAGGTTTGGTCCGACAAGTATATCGGTTCTAGAAGACTCTAGCATAGTATAATTTATGAGATATTGTTTTTTGAAGTACCCTTGACGTCGCAATACCTTGGCATTCCCTGAAGCAAAGCGCGGCTTTTGCCTTGCAAGTTGTCCGGGCTATTATCTTCCGAGATCCTCCCTCATGGGGTCCGTCTTTGCTTTGCCTGCAAACCCCAAGGGTCCAAAGGACCCAATAATTGGGTATTCGGTTTTTGGATAATGTAGGAACTCGATTAAGAAACCTTGGGCCTATAATCCCAAAAACAGTGGGATTCATGAAAGGAACCCTAATAAAGGCCCGGGTTTCTTAATCAGGTTCCTACATTGACTGACATGTGCATAGTCCAGGTGTAAAAAGGTTCGAATTCCGACATTGGTAGTTATGTAGGTTAGATTCTGGAGAGTGTATGATTTCAAAGTACTTGGGCCCTGGGGAAAGTTTCAGACATGCATCATGCAAAGCATGGTGTGCGAAGGTATCCAGAGACACCAATATGCCTTAATTAAGGAATACACCTCAAATTGTAGTAGGGTCCGAAATATGATTTAGGCTATATTCCTTAATTAAGGGATCAAAGAAGCCCCTAAGCCCTATACCCTATAGATCCCTTACCCTAGGTCTTTGGTACGTTGTATCAGTTTTAGGCGGTCCATGGGCCGCCCCTGCCTTGAGCGGAGAGGAACGAAATGAAAAGAGTCGCCTGCTGGGTCAGGTACTAAAGGGGCCTTAATAGTCACCAATACTATTTTGGGGGATCCTTACAAATTATAACATATTATAATTAGTGATATGAATATATATATATATATATATATATGCCTATACATATATATAAAGCTAAAATATAATGGGCCCCATAACCCCTTATTCTAATTAAGCGATTATTTTGGCACAATATCTGTTCCTAGAGTTAAGTGCTGATGGGCTCTGGACATTCTTGCCTCCCGCGTGGAAGGGACTTTGGATGCATCGCAGGGTTCGAAGGAGGGACGACATGTGGTGCAGCAATAGGCTGATGCATTGTTGCGCGAAGCTTACTACAGGGGCCTTAATTGATGTACACAAGAATTTTTACAATGAGACAAGTATTCACAACATGCTGAAACCATGATTCCGTTTTGAAGGAGACCGCCTCGGGCTACCGGGCGAACAAAGCGGTACCCGGACAGGCAAGCTCTCGGGCAGGGTCTGGAAGTCTAGGACTCTAGGACTCGCTGCATACGTTGTATCAGTATAACGTAGTATAGACATTTGTAACAAAGCAGTCTGGTATACTATGTGCTTATAGTCCTTGTATCATACACCCCTCCTCCAGAAAACACAAATTTAATCTCTACTTATTCAGGCCCTTATCTTACAGGCCGTTCGGTATGTTTGGGCTTCAGGGTGTGGCGGTTTGGGGAGGAGTCAACACACTTAACCCGAAACCCTAAACCCTGAAACCGTTGCTTTGCGGCTTTAAGCCCCCTGCACAGGAGGGCTTCGGCTTCCTTGCGCCCGGAAATCCACTTGGTTTAGGGTCTGCTGCTGTTACTGGTTACAAAGTATCCGTTGAGGTATTACTAGCACTATTACTACTGCGGGAGTTTCTTACGAGTAGTATGACTATAAAAATACTACCAGTGTTTCCATTACTGGCTGCATTTTGCCCATTGCTATTGCTGTTACTTTTACTTCAACTATTAGTATCAGTAGGTATACGAAACCCTAAACCCTAAATCATTACGACTACCATTGTAACTGTCGTGTATGCTGGCTGTGTCCGAGCTCCCTTGCCAAACGGTTTCGCTCCAAGACGCCCGGTTCAGTTTCAAAACCATAACCTCGACATTAGGATGTAAGGCTTAGGACCTTAAGCCAAAATAACCTACCTGTTTAAGGACCCATGTAATTTTTTATTAGGGAGTCCTAAAGGTAGGTTATTTGGGGTCCAGGGAACGAACCCCTAAGGCCCAAAGCTCCAAAACCCTTCCGGACGTCACTCGCCGCATGGATTTCGATAGTTCTTCTTCGGACCCAAAGTCTCCATAGTAGTTCCTTTTAATGGGCTTCATATTCAGAATCCTATAAGGTAATCCCAAAAAGGAACTACTATGGAGCCTATGGGCACACGGAATCTGAGCCCGAAAGCGAGGCACGGCAAATGACAAGATGAACAATGGAAATACGAAGTCATGGAATTCCTGCGTAGTCACATTCTATTGGTTATGCGGCATCCATATATGGGTATAGTTTTCAAAATTGAGGTCCCTTTTTGGACCCTGAATATGGGGTGCCGTACTATACTAGGGACCCAAATAACAGGTCAGGGTGCGAGCACCCCAAGACCTCCCAGAGGCTCGTACACTTCCCGTCATCGAGACCCTTCTGCTCCGGGACGCTGATGCCTTGGCCAAACTGCTTGATGCCGGCACATCGGCGGAGGTGGAGGCAAAAGAGGGCCTTTAGGGCTTAGGGTCCTGGGCTGACTTCCTAAACAAGCTGCGATGGGGTTCTGTTTGTCTGCTTCACCCTTCTTTTTGCGGTTAGATCAGATCCTCTCAGCAGAAAGCAAGGTACAAGAAGCCCGAACCCAAACCTTGGTTGGCATGTAGACGGAGATTCTGCTTGCAGCCTGTGCTCTGCGCAGAGAGTGTCAGTAGTTGGTACCACCCATACAGGCACCACCGAAAGTCTCCAGTTTCGGAGCTTCTAGACTGCTTAAGCCAGTGAGTGACGCCTTTAAATCCTGTGTAGAAGTCACATTTGTTTTAAGGTTTCGGGCTCTAAAAGCCTCCACTGCCCCAACTCACCCTAAACCTGCGACTTCAGTGGTTTGGCTCCATTGTCATCTACCCTATCATGCGGTGAAAAGCTTCGGCGTCGAAGCACTAGTGCATCAGGTTGAGTTGATAAGGTGTGTAACCTCAGCATTACCATCTGCATACCCGCCTGCATTTTTTCCATGTAGCCGGGCTGCTTGGAAAAAGCTCAGAATGGTCATAAGGCCTTGCCGTGTGAACAGCCAGCCTGCGGAAGGTGAAGCCCACGGAAGCTTTCTGGGAGTCAATGCGATGGCGCCCTGATTCCGGTGAGCCGACGTCGATACCGAAGCTTGTGCCCGAATATACTCAGCTGTTTGTCTTTCTCTCTCTCTATCTCTCTCTCTCTCTCTATATATATATATATATCTCTCTCTCTCTCTCTGTCTCTCTGTGTCCCTCCGTTTGTCTCTATCTCTCGCTGTGTCTCTGTGTACACAGACAACGGATTCGATCCGTTTGTTTATCTTTCGTTCTGTCGTTATTCCTGTCCTTCTTATGTAAGTGATGTTAACCTAAGTCTTATGTTTTGTCTTATCCTAGTCTAGTCTTTTCTAATCTGTAATCTAATCAATCTGATCACTATCCACCTGACGATCATGTATGTGAGGTATGTTCGGATGAATCTATGAGCTTGTGCTTTATGGATGTATGACATTTGTGTGTATGTACGTGCATGGTTGCATACCCATCCACCTGCCTCCCTGCCTAGCACATGCAGAGAAACATTCGTATCGTTATTCGTGCTTTTGCTGAGCCGTCATCCACTTTTCCTTTGTAGTTAAAGCTCCAAAATGCCTGATCTTGCTTGCTTGAGCTACATGTGCCTGCAAAGTGAAGTATAGGTCTGGTTGTAACATGAACGGTTTGTGGAGTGCGAGTTAAAATTGAAGCTGGTTTCAGTGTTTTCAAAAGTGCTATCCAACTATTTCGGCCGGATACGGGATGGCAGGCAGATGCTCGGAACTGAAACTTTGGAAGAACACACTTCGGCGCTGAGTAGGTAACCTTTAACCTCTTGGGTTTAATATCACCCTACCATAACTGAAAAGGTTAAGCTTCTTCGCGGCTAGGGTACTCAGCCCTTAAGCACACAAAGGTCAAACAACTTTACAGCAAAGGCCGTAAGGATTCAATTTGGAGTTTCCGAAAATAGGGCGGCCTGATATGTTACCCTAAATAGTAGGATCCTTATTATAAGGATCCCCGAATACGGTACCCCTAGTTTTCGGAAACTCCCATACATCTTCAAGCCCCAGAAGTCACTGAGACCCTCAACCCCCAACTTCCACGAGCCCTAAACACCTTGAGCCCGAAGCTTGAACCCAAATCCTTCGAGCCCCCCTCCCCCCGAATACCCTTGACTACAGCAGCCTTAAAGAGGAAGCCTTATATCACCCCTTAAGAAGGAGCCCTTATAGCCTTATAGCACCCCCCCAAAAAGGAGCCCTGATTTATCGCACCCTTAAAACGGAATCGAGAGACCAGGATCGCTACAGACCTTGCCAGGCTTTGTCCGATTCAAAAAAAAACCGGAAGCCTCAGTAATTCCTAATATAGAGACCCTACATTCTACTATATCGGTACCTTGGACCCTTTGGGACCTCAGCAGCTTCAGCCCTGAGGCTGATCGTGGCCGCGATCTTGCTGCAATGGCCCGAGGCCGGCCGTTCAAGCTCAGCTACACGATATACTCTCTCTCTCTCTCTCTCTCTCTCTCTATATATATATATATATATAAATATATGTGTGTGTGGGTGTGTGTGTGTGTAGTGTGTGTATATATATATACACATCATAATGAACTGTAGTATACTTTCACGACCCACCATATACTATACTGAACTCTAATTATGCTAAACTGATTTCGTGTTTAGGGCATAGGGTGGATTGTGGAGTTCGGATCTGGGAGCCCGACACCCCACTGAGCCCTAAACCGTCAACCCCCCTCCCTCCAACAAAAAGCAGCTGAATCCTAACCCTGGGTTTAGGATTTAGGGTCCTGCAAT